TTAAGTCACGAGTCTTTAATTCACTAGAACTTTGATCCTAAACACTGAACTGTCTAATTAGGATCATGAGTCATGACTCGTAATCCCTGAATCCTATTGAGTCTCGTTTCCTAAGTCTTGTATCTACGTAATTCAAAATTTTCGTCCCAAGTTGTGAATCCTTAATCCTGAAACCTCTTGGGTCTTGAATCGTGTATTCTGAATCCCATGTCCTCTCTCCTTTTCTGAGTGCCGAGCCCTGAATCCTCTTGAATCTTCCACACCGAATTTTCAATACAGGGTCATGTTTCCTGAATTTATAAGTCCTGATTCCTAAATCGGATTCGTAAATCTTGAATTCTCGACCGTAAATTTTGGAATCTAAATTCGAAATTTCCGCTTGAGTTTTGAGAAGTTTGGATCTTGAATTCTAAATTCGCACAAAAACGGATCCGCGGAATTTTAAATCCGGCGGCAACTTGAGCCATGCTTTCTTAATATTGAAATCCCGAGCAGTTCCAGGTCATTAATCCTTAATCCTGAATTGTCTCGAATCTTGAATTGTGTACTCTGGATTCCGTACCTTTTTGAGTCTTGAGCCCACTTAAATCTTAACTTGTAAATCCTGAACCATGACTTTATCATGATTATGTCTCAAGGTCTGAAGAGTTTCTAAGCGTCGGGGTCTCGAGACCTTAGGGTCTGGATAGAAAACTCACAGTTCAGGATTTAGGATTCAAGCTTCGCGAGACAAAATTTAAGAGTATTCAGTGAGGAGGATTCAGGATTCTACATGTAAGAGGATACAGGGTTTAGAATGCACGATTCAAGACTTAACTCACGATTAACGCCTGAGAACTAGAGACCCTTGGATCATCCGAATTCGGGGCTCAGGAGTTCAAAATTAAATTTAAAAGAATTCAGGACCCAAGGCCCTGAATTCAAGGCTTAATAGGATTCAGAATTCAGGACGTTCCAACGTTCAGGATTTATAATTCGAGACTTAATTGGGAGGATTCACCCATGGCTCTGGAAAGAAAACTCACAGTTCAGGATTTAGGATTCAAGCTTCGCGAGACAAAATTTAAGAGTATTCAGTGAGGAGGATTCAGGATTCTACATGTAAGAGGATACAGGGTTTAGAATGCACGATTCAAGACTTAACTCACGATTAACGCCTGAGAACTAGAGACCCTTGGATCATCCGAATTCGGGGCTCAGGAGTTCAAAATTAAATTTAAAAGAATTCAGGACCCAAGGCCCTGAATTCAAGGCTTAATAGGATTCAGAATTCAGGACGTTCCAACGTTCAGGATTTATAATTCGAGACTTAATTGGGAGGATTCACCCATGGCTCTGGAAAGAAAACTCACAGTTCAGGATTTAGGACTCAAGTTTCGCGAGACAAAATTTAAGAGTATTCAGTGAGTTCAAGACTTAGGCTTAGGATTTACGATTCAAGGATCAAGACTCAAAAGAGTTCAGTAACCAAGAATGTTTAATGACGAAGAGAAGGATAATAAACCCCGAGTATTTGTGTTTTCGGTGGCCAATTCTGAACTTTCTAGAATCTTGAAGTGGTTCTGAGCTTTGGGTCATATGATCTGAATCCCCAGAACTCTAGTTATCCAATCCGAAATTTTAAATCCTGCATCCTGGACCATGTATTCTGAGTTTTAAAATCTGAATCCACTCTATTGAACTGTCAAGTCTCGATCTCTGCGCGATGCTCTCGGAATCGTTAAATCCCCGGATGTTTAATCCGTAATTTTGAATCTTGCATTCTGAATATCGAATCCTCTTGACACTAAATCTGGAAGTTGAATCCTGAATCCTGTTGAACCTTGAATTCTGAATCCGGCTGAGCCTTCAACCGCAAGCTCTGAATCCTGTATCCGCTTGAGTGTTAAGTCACGAGTCTTTAATTCACTAGAACTTTGATCCTAAACACTGAACTGTCTAATTAGGATCATGAGTCATGACTCGTAATCCCTGAATCCTATTGAGTCTCGTTTCCTAAGTATTGTATCTACGTAATTCGTGCCGAGCCCTGAATCCTCTTGAATCTTCCACACCGAATTTTCTATACTGGGTCGTGTCTCCTGAGTTATAAGTCCTGATTCCTAAATCAGATTCGTAAATTTTGAAATCTCGATCGCAAATTTTGGAGTCTGAATTCGAAATTTCCGCTTGAGTTTTGAGAACTTTGGGTCTTGAATCCTAAATTCACACACAAACGGATCCGCGGAATTTTAAATTCGGCGGCACCTTGAGCCATGCTTTCGGAATACTGAAATCCCGAGCAGTTCCAAGTCATTAATCCTTAATCCTGAATTGTCTGGAATCTTGAATTGTGAACTCTGGATTCCGTACCTTTTGAGTCTTGAGCCCACTTAATTCTTAACTTGTAAATCCTGAACCATGACTTTATCATGATTATGTCTCAAGGTCTGAAGAGCTTCTAAGCGTCGGGGGAGACCTTAGGGTCTGGATAGAAAACTCACAGTTCAGGATTTAAGACTCAAGCTTCGCGAGACAAAATTTAAGAGTATTCAGTGAGGAGGATTCAGGATTCTACATGTAAAAGGATACAGGATTTAGAATGCACAATTCAAGACTTATCTCAGGATGAACGCCTGAGGACTTGAGACTCTTGGATCATCAAAATTCAGAGCTCAGGAGTTCAAAATTGAATTCAAAAGAATTCAGGGCCCAAGGCTGGGAATTCAAGGCTTAATAGGATTCACAATTCAGGACGTTCCAACGTTCAGGATTTATAATTCGAGACTTAATTGGGAGGATAGACCCATGGCTCTGGATAGAAAACTCACAGTTCAGGATTTAGACCTCTAGCTTCGCGAGACAAAAATTTAGGAGTATTCAGTGAGGAGGATTCAGGATTCTACATGTAAGAGGATACAGGATTTAGAATGCACGATTCAAGACTTAACTCAGGATTAACGCCTGAGGACTTGAGACCCTTAGATTATCAGAATTCAAGGCTCAGGAGTTGAAAATTAAATTTAAAGAATTCAGGACCCAAGGCTCGGAATTCAAGGTTTAATAGGATTCATAATTCAAGAGGTTCCAACGTTCACGAGTTATAATTCGAGACTTAATTGGGAGGATAGACCCACGGCTCTGGATAGAAAACTCACAGTTCAGGATCTAGGACTCAAGCTTGGCGAGACAAAATTTAAGTGTATTCAGTGAGGAGGATTCAGGATTCTACATGTAAGAGAATACATGATTTAGAATGCACGATTCAAGACTTAACTCAGGATTAACGCCTGAGGACTTGAGACTCTTGGATCATCAGAATTCAAAGCTCAGGAGTTGAAAATTAAATTTAAAGAATTCAGGACCCAAGGCTCGGAATTCAAGGTTTAATAGGATTCATAATTCAAGAGGTTCCAACGTTCACGAGTTATAATTCGAGACTTAATTGGGAGGATAGACCCACGGCTCTGGATAGAAAACTCACAGTTCAGGATCTAGGACTCAAGCTTGGCGAGACAAAATTTAAGTGTATTCAGTGAGGAGGATTCAGGATTCTACATGTAAGAGAATACATGATTTAGAATGCACGATTCAAGACTTAACTCAGGATTAACGCCTGAGGACTTGAGACTCTTGGATCATCAGAATTCAAAGCTCAGGAGTTGAAAATTAAATTTAAAGAATTCAGGACCCAAGGCTCGGAATTCAAGGTTTAATAGGATTCACAATTCAGGAGGTTCCAACGTTCACGAGTTATAATTCGAGACTTAACTGGGAGGATCCAAGCCATGGCTCTGGACAGAAAACTCACAGTTCAGGATTCGGGACTCAAGCTTCGCGAGACAAAATTTAAGTCCTGTTGAACCTTGAATTCTGAATCCGCCTGAGCCTTGAACCGCAAGCTGTGAATCCTGTATCCGCTTGAGTGTTAAGTCACGGGTTTTTCATTCACTAGAACTTTTGATCCTAAACACTGAACTGTCTAATTAGGATCATGAGTCATTACTCGTAACTCCTGAATCCTATTGAGTCTCGTTTCCTAAGTCTTATATCTACGTAATTTACAATTTGCGTCCCAAGTCGTGAATCCTTAATCCTGAACACTCTTGGAGCTTGAATCGTGTATTCTGAATCCCATGTCCTCTCTCCTTTTCTGAGTGCCGAGCCCTGAATCCTCTTGAATCTTCCATACCGAATTTTCAGTACAGGGTCATGTTTTCTGAGTTTATAAGTCCTGATTCCTAAATCTTGAATTCTCGACCGTCAATTTTGGAATCCGAATTCGAAATTTCCGTTTGAGTTTTGAGAACTTTGGATCCTGAATTCTAAATTCACACAAAAACGGATCCGCTGAATTTTAAATCCGGCGGCATCCCGAGCAGTTACAAGCCATTAATCCTTAAACCTGAATTGTGTTGAATCTTGAATTGTGCACTCTGAATTCCGTACCTTTTTGAGTCTTGAACCCACTTAAATCTTAACTTGTAAATCCATGACTTTATGTCTCAAGGTCTGAAGAGTTTCGACCTTAGGGTCTCTTGTGGTTTTGCGATTGATACCTGGAAACCTTAGGGTTCTTGAAGCTTTTGAAATCCTTGCAGACCTTGATGCTTTTGAGTTGCTAAATTTTTAGACACTTCCGAACTCTCCTTGAGATCCTTGAGATCTGGGATCTTGAATATTGGATCTGGATGTTGTGAGACCTTATGATCTTGAGACCTTGTTATTTAATTTGCCAAAGTTCTTGAGTTCCTAGTGAATCTTAGAGGTACTGAGATCTTTTGACCATGAAAAACTTTCTGATCGATTTACTGAAGGACTTATGGTAAATGAGGTCCCTTCTGAGGATATTTGTCAAAGAATTCCGAACACAATTCCGTAGGGATTCTTCAAATCACCAGAGAATGTAGCTTCAGAAGGTCATTATAAGATTTCTTAAGAAACCTTTTAGGAAGTTCTTCCCTGGGGAAACCTTGAGACCCTTCTAGAAGGTTTGCTTAAACAAGGTACTTAAAACCAAACAATTGACGACGCCTTTATTTAATCAATATCGAGCTTTTTGAACGATCCATCCGTACCGATTCCCAAATCTTCATCCATATAAGACGGTCGGGAGTCGCGAAAATCTTCTTTTGAAACAAAACCCTCTTCTTCTACAAAAAAGTCCGCATACTCAGTGTACAATTTGTGCATGTTTTCTAAAAACTGGAATGATCTACTGTGGATAATGGTAAGGCTCACCGTGCAACTCCTTGGTGGTGGGGCCTTTGCCTCCTACGTCAGCGGGGAGTGATTCTAGCGGTAGAAACTTGGACAAAGCCTCGTAAGAGTCGTGGAAGTGCAACTGAAATTGTGAGATTAGAAATCTGGCCGCTAGTGAGCGTGTACCAAATCCGCGAGCTCCTTCTTCATGAAAGGCTTGAACAGGGGCATGATCAGGTTAATCAATCCTGCCTTGACAATGAAGTGGAGAGCTTTGAGACGCACAGGCAGCGCCCCCTATACGTCGGAAGTTATCAAACTATAGACACAACTGTTGGACGTCACCTGCAAGTACAACATAATCCTTCTCGTCGCCGTAATTTCAATCTTTAAAGCGTGCCCCATGCTAACATCACTCATGTCTGCGACCAGCATAAAATCATCGAGCGAACCCTTTCTCGCCATCTCCAACATTATGCACATGTCCAGCACCTTAAACTCCGCCTTCGAGCAAAAGTTATCGACGGTCAAGTCCATCAGCTTGTAGAAAACAATATTGCAATTCTGTCGAGTTTTCGGGAAAAAGGTGCATAGCCTGCAACAGCCCTTTAGTATCGAGGGAGAAGTGGAAGGGAAGCATAGTACGAGACGCCCATGTGGGTCCTCACGCTGGGATCGTTCGGATTGCGATTCGCGAAGAAATCGGGCCACGCGCCTCTGTAGGTCAAGAACTTTTCAATAGTGGTCTTGGTCTGCTCCAAGCTCCAATGGCAGCTGTGGAGAAATACGGCCAACTTTAAATCTGAAAGCAACCCATCAGAATTGTCACCAACTTTGGGGCGTACCCCTAACCGGATACTGGCGGAAGGTGCGGTTGCTTCTGAATCCATTCTTGGAGAGATTTCAGGTCGCTCTCGTGCAAATCTTTATTCTTCCGGTACTCGTCTTCGACGTTTGCGAACTGCATTGTGCAGACTGTACCTTCAGAGGTTGCTATTCAGGTGGGTATCTCGTGTGAGACTAGGAAACTTCGCAATATGGCCTCGACCACAGTTTGCTTCACGTTCCTTGGCATATATGGTGAAATATGAGATTGAAAATCACCAACACTGCGTGGGTAAATGAATAATTAAATTGATAGGAACATGGAAATCGTATTTGCACACTTAAAAACCTATCCTCGAAAACATTCTCATGAATTTGTTTACGGTTTAATTATTCCATTTCACATCACATTTACCTAGGTATTATTTTTGTGAAGGACGATGATACAGACACATTAATATTGACGGAAGAAGAAAGATCTTCCTTCTCAAAAATTCTTAAGACTATAACCGGAAGATATCACCTAAAAACCCTCCCTCTATTGGCATTTAAGGAAATACTCTAAAGTAACTTTTATATACTTTTTTGAAATGAACAAATGATTTTGAAGAGATTCTGAAGAAATTTTGAAAAGATTTTGCTGGGATGATTTTGAAGAGTCTTTGAAGAGACTTTGAAGGGTCTTTTAAGAGATTTTAAAGGGATATTGATGAGATTTCGACCAAATTTTGTCGATGTTTTGAAAAGATATTGCAGATTTTTAAGAAATTTTGAAGATATATTGCTGAGATTTTGAAGAGATTTGGAAGAGATTTTAAAGACACACTGCAGAGATTTTGAAGAAAGTTTGAAGAGATCTTAACCAGATCTTGAAGGGGCCTTGAAGATACTTAGAAGACATTTTGAAGAACTTTTAAAGATACTTCGAAGAGACTTCGAAGCCACTTTAAAACGGCTTTAAAGGGAGTTTGGAGATTTTTTGAAGAGATTTAGAAAAGATTTCGAAGGGATTCTGAAGAGATTTTGACAACATTTTGAAGAGATCTTGAAGAAATTTAAAAGAGATTTTAAAGAAACCTCGAAGGGACTTTGAAGAGCATTTGAAGAGATTTTGAGGAGACTTTGAAGGGTTTTTGAAGAGCCTTTAAAGATACTTTGAAGAGACTTCGACGCCACTTTAAAACGACATTAATGAGATTTTGAAGATTTTTGAAGAGATTTAGAAGAGATTCTGAAGAGATTTTGACAAAATTTTGAAGAGATCTTGAAGAAATTTAAAAGAGCTTTTAAAGAAACACGATTTTGAGGAAACTGATGAAAATTTGGACACTTTCAGCCACTTTAAAAGTACCTTTAAGAGATTTTTAAGAGATTCTGAAGAGCTTTGGAAGATACATACTTTGAAGAGACTTCGAAGCAACTTTAAATAGAGTTTTAAGAGCTTTTGAAATTCTGCAGAAGTGATTTAGAAGAGGTTTTGAAGAGATTCTGAAGAGATTTTAATAAAATTTTGAGGAGATCTTGAAGATGCTTCAAAGAGACCTTGAAGAAATTTAAAAGAGATTTTAAAGGAACCTCGAAGGAACTTTGAAGGTCCTTTGAAGAGATTTTGAGGAGATTTTGAAGAAAATTTAGAGAAAATTTAAAGAAAACTCTAAAGAGATTGTGAATGTACTTTGCAGAAACTTCGAAGCCACTTTAAAGGGACCTTTATGAGATTTTTAAGATATTTTGAAGAGTTTGGAGCGGTTTTGAAGAGACTTCGAAGCAACTTTAAATAGAGTTTTAATGGAGCCTTTGAGGAGATTCTGCAGATATTTTGATAGATTTTTAAGAGAATTTGAAGGGGCTGTGACGAGATTTTTAAGAAATGATGAAGAGATTGTGAAGAAATTTAGAAAAGATATCGCTGATATTTTGAAGGGATTTTGAAGACATTTTGAAATGATTTTGTAGAGATTTTGAAGAGATTTTGAACTGTTTTTGAAGAGACTTTGTAGAAATTTGAAGAGCCTTTAAAGATACTTTAAAGAGACTTCGAAGCAACTTTAACACGACTTTAAAGAGATTTTGTAGATTTTTTGAATAGATTTAGAATAGATTCTGAAGAGATTTTGATAAAATTTTGAAGAGATCTTGAAGATACTTTAAAGACATCTTGAAGAATTTTAACAGAGATTTTCAAGAATCGTCGAAGGAACTTTGAAGGGCCTTTGAAGAGATTTTGTGGAGACTTTGAAGAAATTTTGGAGCAAATTTAAAGAAAACTAAAGAGATTGTGAATATACTTCGAAGCCACTTTAAAGGGATCTTTACAAAATTTTTAAGAGATTCTGAAGAGTTTGGAGCGATTTTGAAGAGATTCTGAAAAGCTTTGGAAGATACATACCTTGAAGAGACTACAAGGAAACTTTAAATAGAGTTTTAAGTGCTTTTGAAGAGATTCTGCAGAGATTTTGAAGAAGAAATTTTGAAAGGATTTTGATGATATTTTCAAGAGATGTCAAGGAGATTTTGAAGAGATTTTGAAAAGATTGTGAAGAGATTTTGAAGAGACCTTGAAGAGACTTTGAAGAGATTTTGAAGCGATTTGGAAGAGATTATGAAGGGATTTAGAAAAGATACTGCTGATATTTTGAGGAATCTTGAAGACATTTTGAAGTGATTTTGTAGAGACTTTGAAGGGTTTACGAAGAGACTTTGAAGAAATTTCGAATACCCTTTAAATATACTTTGAAGAGACTTCGAAGCAACTTTAAATAGAGTTTTAAGAGCTTTTGAGGAGATCTGCAGAGATCTTGAAAAAATGTTGAGAGATTTTTAAGAGATTTTGAAGAGATTGTGAAGAGATTTGGCCGAGATTTAGAAGAAATTTTGGAGAAATTTCGAATAGATTCTGTAGGGATTTTGAAGAAAAAATTATGAAAGGATTGTAATCAAACTTTGAAGAGATTTTAAAGAGATTTTGAAGAGACGTTGAAGATATTTTGAAGAGATTTTGAAGTGATTTTGAAGAGATCGGTAAAGTGGAAAAAGGTTCTTTACAAGTTTCTGACCAGATTTTTAAGAAATTTGGAAGACTTTGAAGGGTTTTTGAAGAAATTTTAAAGAGCCTTTAAAGATATTTTGAAGAGACTTCGAAGCCACTTTACCACGGCTTGAAAGAGATTTAGAAGATTTTTTGAAGAGATTTAGAAGAGATTTTGATAAAATTTTGAAGGGATCTTGAAGATACTTCAAAGAGATCTTGATGAAATTTAACAGAGATTTTAAAGAAAACTCGAAGGGATTTTGAAGGGCTTTTGAAGAGACTTTAAAGACAATTCGGTGAAAATATAAAGAAAAATCTAAAGAGATTGGGAATATACTTTGCAGAAACTTCGAAGCCACTTTAAAAAGACCTTTATGAAATTTTTAAGATATTTTGAAGAGTTTGGAGCGGTTTTGAAGAGACTTTGAAGCAACTTTAAATAGAGTTTTAATGGAGAATTTGAGGATATTCTGCAGATATTTTGAAAATATTTTGATAGATTTTTAAGAGAATTTGAAGAGGCTTTGACGAGAGATTTAGGAAATGTTGAAGAGATTGTGAAGAAATTTAGAAAAGATACTGCTGATATTTTGAAGACATTTTGAAATGATTTTGTAGAAATTTTGAAGAGATTTTGAACTGTTTTTGAAGAGACTTTGTAGAAATTGTGGAAGAGACTTTGTAGAAATTGTAAAGAGCCTTTAAAGATACTTTAAAGAGACTTCGAAGCAACTTTAACACGACTTTAAAGAGATTTTGAAGATTTTTTGAATAGATTTAGAATAGATTCTGAAGAGATTTTGATAAAATTTTGAAAAGATCTTGAAGATACTTGAAAGAGATCTTGAAGAATTTTAACAGAGAATCGTCGAAGGAACTTTGAAGGGCCTTTGAAGAGATTTTGTGGAGACTGAAGAAAATTTGGAGATAATTTAAAGAAACCTCTTAAGAGATTGTGAATATACTTTGCAGAAACTTCGAAGCCACTTTAAAGGGAACTTTATGAGATAGTTAAGAGATTCTGGAGAATTTGAAGCGGTTTTGAAGAGAATTTGAAGAGATTCTGAAGATCTTTGGAAGGTACACACTTTGAAGAGACTTCGAAACAACTTTAAATAGAGTTTTAAGAGCTTTTGAGGAGATTCTGCAGAGATTTTTAGAGATTTTTAAGAGATTTTGAAGAGACTGACTAGATTTTGAAGAAGTTTTGAAGAAATTGTGAAGAGATTCAGAAAAGATTTTGAAGTGATTTTGTGAAGGTTTTGAAGAGCCTTTGAAGAAATTTTGAAAAGCCTTTAAAGATACTTTAGAGAGATTTCAAGGCAACTTTAACGCGCCTTGATTTTGAAGACATTTGGCCGAGATTTAGAAGAAATTTTGGAGAGATTCTGAATAGATTCAGAAGAGATTTTGAAGAAGAAATTTTGAAGCGATTTTAAAAAGATTTTGAAGAGATCTTGAAGAGATTTTGAAGAGATCGTTAAAGGTGGGAAAAAGGTTCTTTACAAGTTCCTTAAGGTATACTGTAAGGAACTCCCTCGCTGTTCTTTGGGAGTCTCTGGAGGAGGTTTTGGAGGGAATCCTTCAAAGAGCTTTTAAATAAAAGTATCGTCATGAAAGTCGAAGATTCTCGTAAAGAGTATCCTGAGGAATCTCCTGAGGAATATCTTGCAGGACTTTTCGAAACTAATTTCCCAATGAGTTACTTAATGGATTTCCTGAAACAAAACCCCCATAGAGACAAAGATCTCATAGTTACGACCCTTCTAAGGTTTTCCTAAGAACCTTTCAAAAGGTCTTCGAAAGAATTTTTCCAGTACCCTTTAGAAGTGTCTCTTAGTGTTTTCTAGAAAAAGGTCCCATAGAGACATGGAGAGCACCTAGGGAAGTATCATGAAGAATTTCAGTTTCGTAAGAGTCGCTATGTCCTAGGCCTGTATACAGTGTGAACAGTTCTTCAAAACAACTTTTTGTAAAAGCTGGTTGAAATTAGAGAATACCCTCTTTGACCATGCAGAAGTACGCCACTGACCACAAATTTAAAGTGCGTAGATTGGTGTTACATTTGCTTCTTAAAAAAAAAGCGACTCTAAAAATATATTCAGTGCTCCAGACTAAACTTTCACCCTGTATATTATTTTACAAGGAAGATGCTTCTTGCGGGAATCACTTGAAGTTCCTCTCCAAAATGTTTTCGGAAGATCTGTACAAAAAAACCTTCCACAGATTCCCTGTAACCCAGAGGAATTTTTTAAGAATTGTCCGTTAGGAGAGGCTCCTTAGCGAGGCAGAAGAGGAATCTTGAGTAGATCTCATAAAGAAAAAGACTCTTTTGGAGCCGTCTTTAAATATGCCTTGATTCATTCTAAGGATTTCATAAGGGTTGCAAAGGGAACAACCAGGGTTTAGCTCGGGGCAGCCTGAGAAGAAGCTTAGAGGTTCTGGAGCACCCGAAGTTACGTTTGCGAGTGCACCACGAACCTATGGGCAAGTCGCTAAGGAGGGGACGTGGACATCACTGAGTCTTCTAAGTCGAGGTGCATTATGGCTGCATTGAGTGCAGTTGTTGACGAAATGGAGGAGGGGGGGGGGGCTTTCATCGGGGTAGCATGGTTCCTCTGGAATCCGCAGGGTGCCATTGTGGCCGAATGTGAGGACCAGTAGAACACAGACTGGTTGCAGAGGACGTTTAGAGGCACGTCCCTAGGGTAACCAAGGAGATTGATGTGTTATACGGGCTCCTAGATGGCACTGCCACGCTCTTGATGCGTTTTTCCGCAGGGAGGAGCCTGCTAGGGTCCTTCTAGCACTTGGTGTCGATGAGGAATCGTATTGGGCACTCCAGCGGTAGAAGTTGCAACCGTACGTGGGGTTTCGTATGTCACATTTTTGACGATAGTGGGTGCCCCAGGACACAGGGAGCAGTGGAACAACTCAGATTGCCAGTTCCTCAAACCTGGGGGTCTCGTGTGGTTTACAGACGCGTATGGCGATCGAAATAGCGGACGAGCTGGCTCCTGAAAGCAGTGGTGGAGCCTTAGCCTACACTAGGAATTTCCCCCTAGGAAGTTCCCCCTAGGAATCTCTTGGGGCTTATTGTTAATAGCTTTTGAAAAGCCCTTGGATTTTCTTAAACAAGTACCTAAAAGGATCTTTCATTAAAGAAGCTACTGAAGAGCCCCCTTGATGAAAATATTTATGATTTCAAGGAAGAAGTACAGTTCATGTAATATTTATTTTAATCCAAGTCGAGTCTCTTGAATGATCCACCTATACCGATTCCTAAATCTTGATCCATATACGACGGCCGACAGTCACGCAGCGATTCATTGGAGATGAAGCTTTCCTGTTCCACGAAAAAGTCCGCATTTTCAATGAACGTCTTTTGCATGTTTTCTAAAAGTGAGGTGATCGAAATGTGGATGGTAACGGAACATGCTCACCGTGCAGCTCCCGGGTGGTGGGACCTTGGCCACCTACATCGGCGGGGAGAACTTCTCGTGGTATAAGCTTGAACAAGGATTCGTAGGAGTCATGGAAGTGTAACTGAAATCGGAAGGTCAGAGATGGCGCACGGAGGAAAAACTTACCAAGCTCGTGAGCTCCTTTTTCATGAAGGGTTTAACCATCGACATGAGCACGTTGCTAATTGCTGACATGGTTATGAGATGGACACCTCTAAGTCGGACAGGGAGCGCCTCCTAAACGTGATCAATTAGCGCTCGTGGAGGAGACGCATTACAACGACCTGCATGTACATCATCATCCTCTTAGTTGCTAAGATGTCCGTTTTGAAAGTGTGCGCCATGGTTGAAGTGCTCATATCGCAGATGATCACGTAACCGTCAAATGTGCCTTTCTGCATTAACTCCAAAGTCACGCACATGTCGAAGATCTTCTGCGTGTCCCTCACCGTAAACTTATCGACATCGCTGTCCATCAGCCTATGGAAGACAATTTTGTAGTTCTCCGCCGTGGTACTGGGAAGAAAAGAGGCGAGCCTACAACATCTTCGGTAATTAAGGTGAGAGGGAAGTGGACCGCCTTACGTCACTTTCATATCGGCTCTCACTTTGGGATCGTTTGGATTTCGATTGGCGAAGAAATCGGGCCACGCCCCTCTATAGGTCAGGAATTTTTCGATGGTGGTCTTCGCCTGCTCCATGCTCCAGTAGCAGCTATGGAGAAAAAGCGCCAACTGTAGATCTGGAAGGAATACATCAGGATGTGCACTAACTTTGGGCCCTACCGGACACTGGAGGCAGATGCGGTTGCTTTTGGACCCATGCTTGAAGGGATTTCACGTCGTCCACGTGCAAATTCTTGTTTTTCCGATACTCGTCTTCCACACTCGCCAGCTTCATTTTAACTGCCTTAGAAAATGATGTTCAAGGTAGTTACTGGTGATATGCAACGGATGAACCTTGTACGCCTATTTCACAACAAGTCATGCATTATAGATATCAGTATCTCACCAACAAAATTTCCCAACGCTATTGAGACACAAACTAAGCGTTGCTTAGCAAAAGCGAACCATAGAAACCCACCTTACTTAAACTTGAGGTCATCAATGGAAAAGTTGTATAGCTTCGAAGGAGTGGGAGGGGTTCAGGAAAATGGATTTTCTGAATGGCACTTCGTGTATTAGGAGCTGAAACACCTTCTCGCACATTATAACCTCCTGATAAAAACTTTCAAATATTTTGTGGGTGATAGGAAAACTCCTCAACCATTATGTTCTCCTGGTAGCCTGACAAAATTTTACAAGAATTTTCTGATTGGCACTTCGTGTATTAGGAGCTGAAACACCTCCTCGCACATTATAACCTCCTGATACCAAATTGGAAAAGATTTAAAACGAAATTTGGCTTCGAAATATTTTTGTGGGTGATGGGAAAAGACCTCCTCAACCATTATGTTCTCCTGGTAGCCAGACAAAATTTTACAAGAATTTTCTGATTGGCACTTCGTGTATTAGGAGCTGAAACACCTCCTCGCACATTATAACCTCCTGATACCAAATTGGAAAAGATTTAAAACGAAATTTGGCTTCGAAATATTTTTGTAGGTGATGAGAAAAGACCTCCTCGACTATTATGTTCTCCTGGTAGCCAGACAAAATTTTACAAGAATTTTCTGATTGGCACTTCGTGTATTAGGAGCTGAAACACTTCCTCGCCCATTATAACCTCCTGATACCAACTTGGAAAAGAGTGAAAACGAAATTTGGCTTTGAAATACTTTTGTGAGTGATAGGAAAAGAGCTCCTCAACCATTATGTTCTCCTGGTAGCCAGACAAAATTTTACAAGAATTTTTTAATTGGCACTTCGTGTATTAGGAGCTGAAACACCTCCTCGCACATTATAAGTTCCTGATACCAAGTTGGAAAAGATTTAAAACGAAATTTGGCTTTGAAATATTATTTTGTTGGTGATAGGAAAAGAGCTACTCAACCATTATGTTGTCCTGGTAGCCAGACAAATTTTTACAAGAATTTTCTGAATGGCACGTCGTGTATTAGGAGCTGAAACACCTCCTCGGACATTAAAAACTCCTAATACCAAATTGGAAAAGATTTAAAACGAAATTTGTTTTTGAAATATTTTTGTTGGTGATAGAAAAAGAACTCCTCAACTATTATGTTCTCATGGTAGCCAGTCAAAATTTTACAAGAATTTTCTGATTGGCACTTCGTGTATTAGGTGCTGAACCACCTCCTCGAACATTATAATCTCCTGATATCAAATTGGAAAAGATTTAAAGGAAATTTGGCTTTGAAATATTTTTGTGGGTGATGGGAAACGACCTCCTGAACCATTATGTTCTCCTGGTAGCCAGACAAAATTTTACAAGAATTTCCTGATTGGCACTACGTGTATTAGGACCTGAAACACCTCCTCGCACATTATAACCTCCTGATAGCAAATTGGAAAAGATTCAAAACGGAATTTGACTGAAATATTTTTGGGGGTAATAGGAAAAGACCACCTCAACCATTATGTTCTCCTGGTAGCCAGACAAAATTTTACAAGGATTTTCTGATTGGCACTTCGTGTATTACGAGCTGAAACACCTTCTCGCACATTATAACCTCCTGATAGCAAATTGGAACAGATTTAAAACGAAATTTGACTGTGAAATATTTTTGTGGGTAATGGGAAAAGACCACCTCAACCATTATGTTTTCCTGGTATCCAGACAAAATTTTACAAAAATGTTCTGGACTGGCTACCAGGAGAACATGATGGTTGAGGATGTATTTTCCCATCACAAACAAAAACTTTCCAACTCTATATTTCGCTGTATACTTTTACAAATTATGTATCAGGAGAATATGACGTGCGAGGTGGATGTTTCTGCTCCTAATACACGAAGTATCTGTTAGAAAAATCTTGTAAAATGCGCCTGGCTACCAGGAGAACATATGGTTGTGGAGGTCTTTTCCCATGACACTTAATCATCTTTCAACGCCAGATTTCTTTTTAAATTTTTACATGTTTTGTATCAGGGGAATGTAATGTGCAAGGAGGTGTTTCTGCTCCTAATACATGGACTATCAGTTAGAAAATTCTTGTAAAGTTTGTTTGGCTACCAGGAGAACATGATGGTTGAGAAGGCCTTTTCCCATCACTCACAAAAACATTTCAAAGCCAAATTTCGCCTTAACTTTTACAAATTTTGTATCAGGAGATAATGTGCGGGTAGGTGTTTCCACTCCTAACACACGAAATTTTTATAAAATTTGTCTGGCTAGCAGGAGAACATGATGGTTGAGGAGGTTTTTCCCATCACCCACAAACAACTGTCAACGTCAGAATTCGTTTTAACTGTTTACAAATTTTGTATCAGGGGAGCATAATGTGCGAGGAGGTTTAACTCCTAATATACGATGAATTAATTAGAAAATTCTTGTAAAATTTTTCTAGCTTTAGAAGGTGCCTTAGTGAAGGGAGCGTGGCCTGAAAGGTTTGAGAAGGAGCCTAAGGAAAAAGGACGTGGCCAAAATAGCTTTGGAAGGGCCTAAGAGAAGACGATGCGGAAATAAAATATGGGGGTGTCACCGAAAAAGCTTTGTAAGACGCCTAAGAGAAGAAAACGTGGCCAGAAGATCTTTAGATAGCGCCTAAGGGAAAAAGGCGAGCCCAGAAAAGCTTCTTGATCTCTTCGGTTCTCTCCATTATTTCCACATTTTGAAATGTAAAAGCGCCTCTGAGGAGGCTTATATTTACCAGCGAAAACCACCCCAAAAGTTTATTCTTCCAACGAATCTTTGGCAAACCGTAGTCCAAGTCTTTTATCATCTTGAGGCAGAAAGTGGGAGGTAAAAATGCTTTGCTGGATAAGACCTGAACGTTCCCTAAGCCACCACGTGGTCACTTTATGAAGACCTTTTGTTTATTCCCATGGCCCACTTGTTTATAGGAAACGATACATAGATATTAGATATACGGTTAGTTGTGAAACAGCCGTACAAGGTCCGTATGTCCTAACTATTGCGATGCTTGTGTTGATTACGCAGTTATAGTAAGTACGCTTAATAATATACAAACCCAATTTTAAAGGCAAAAATATGGTAGACTTGGAGGATGAGTATAAGAGAAATAAAGATTTGCACGAGGACGACCTGAACACCCTCCAAGGGTGGGTTCAGAAGCAACCACACCTTCCGCCAGTATCCGGTGGAGTTACGACTCAAAGTCGGTGATCATCTGAATGGTTACTTTCAGATCCTGCAGTTGGCGATTTTCTTCCATAGCTGCTATTGGAGCATGGAACAGACCAAGACCACGATTGAAAAGTTTTTCACCTACAGAGGCGCGTGGTCCGATTTCTTTGCGAATCAAAATCCAAACAACTCCACAGTGAAAAGTCACATGGAAACATCGTAATGAGGTCTACTTTACAATTTACATCTGATATTGAATCCATTTTGTAGACTATGCGCCATTCTTCCTAGCCCTACGCCGGAAAACTACAAGATCGTCCTCTACAAGCTTATGAATTCGGACGTGGAGAGGTTTGCAACAAAGGAGGAGTTTAAAATCTTCGATATGTGTATGATGATGGAGCTGATGCAGAAAGGTACGTCCGATGGTTGCGTGTTAGTTTGCGATTTGAGGGAAGCTACGGTCGCGCACGCCTTGAAGTTCGATATAACAGCAACCAGAAGAATTATGTTGTACCTGCAGGTGATGGCCAAGGACTTTTGTTAGTTGCTAATGTTGTGCACGCAGGAAGCCTTACCAGTCAGACTCAAAGGTCTTCACTTCATAACCATGGCCGGAATTGTTAACCTGCTCATGCCACTCGTCAAGCCTTTCATGAAGAAGGAGCTCTTGACTTTGGTAAGTGCATTTGCAAGTCATCGTTGCTTATGTTCCGATTTCAGCTGCATTTTCACGACTCATACGAGTCTTTGTGCAAGTTTCTACCACGGGAAATACTTCCTGCTGATCTAGGTGGCAAAGGGCCGACGACAAGGGAGTTGCACGGTGAGCACGTTTTGCCATTATCCACCAATGGATCGTTTCCATTTTAGAAGACATGCAAAAGTCGTTCACTGACTATTCGGATTTCTTCGTGGAACAAGAAAGCTTCGTTTCGAACGAAAGCCTACGTGATGGCCGGCCATCCTATATAGATAAGGATTTGGGGGTCGGGATAGGTGGATCGTTCAAGAAGCTCGACATTGATTAAACTAAAATGCGCTGTGGAAGAGGCCTCTCTTCCTTTTCCCATTGAGAACGAAATAAATGATTGGAGCTTTCTAAATTTTAACCGTTTTCACAGTCCAACACGTTTTCAAAAGGTTTTCAGGTTTCATGCTGAAGCTGGAATGTTTCCAAATTTGCCTGCTCAAAAATCTCAAAAAGAACTTTTGAACTCTGAAGATTTCGGATGCATTGTTGAAGACTATCGTTAGTGAAGAAAGAGAGAATCAGGAGGAACGGGGAAGATCAAGATGGTTTAGAAGGTAGGTACAGTCAAAAGATTGACTTAATCGAGAAAGTAGAAGGTCAAGTCAGTCTAAAAAAGCGAGAGGACTGAACAGGGCTTACGAATATGATGAAGGCTTGGAGGGTAAAACCATCAAGAGTGCCCCGATCAAGAAAATCCATGGAATCCAAAGATTTTATAGGATCGTGGGGATCAAGGCGTTGGGGAGGGTGCAAACAATTGAGACGCTATCTAGAAGGCACTTTCAAAGTTGAAATGAACAGAAAGATCGAAAATGTTGGCCTGATCGGACTGAAAAGGTGGAGGGGTGGCTGGGATCCTTTAAAACTTCTCAATATTCGCTATCATTTTCTGGGAACATTTCTCGGTCCTAAAGACACTAATGGAGGGCGTTGAGAGGTTGTACCACTGACATCCGAGGGCACAAGGGAGGCTGGAGCCCGACGTAGAACCCACCACCGCCTTCGAGAGCCAGCTCGTCCGCCTTTTCGTTACCCCTTATTCCGCCGTACGCCGGCACTCAGATCATCATTTGGCCTCAGGAGAATCTAATGTGCAAAGAGGTGTTTCTGCTCCTAATACATGGACAATCAGTTAAAAAATGCTGGTAAAGTTTGTCTAGCTACCAGGAGAACGTGACGGTTGAGGAGGTCTTTTCCCATCACCCACCAAAACATTCCAAAGCCAAACTTCGTCTTAAATTTTTTGCAAATTTTTTATCAGTAGACTATAATGTGCGAGGAGCTGTTTCTGCTCCTAATATAGGAAGTATATGTTACAAAATATTTATAAAATTTGTCTGGTTACCAGGAGAACATGATTGTCGTGGAGGTCTTTTCCCATGACCCTCAAACATCTTCAACGCCAGATTTCCCTTTAAATCTTTAGATATCTTGTATCAGAAGAATCTAATGTGCAAGGAGGTGTTCTGCTCCTAATACATGGATTATCAGTTAAAAAATTCTTGTAAAGTTTGTCTTGTCTAGCTACCAAGGGAACATTATGGTTGAGGAGGTCTTTTCCCATCACCCACCAAAACTTTAACAACTTTCCCCCCGCTCCCTTCCACAACCGAACTTGTAACCTTTCTCTATCTCCTCTGTACCCTCGATCCTGTAATAGGTAGCCGCTTTGTAAAACATAATAAAATTTACACATATACCGCATCATAGCGAACATGAAGAAACGCGTGTCCGAATTTTTGGTCGAAATTTCAAACCGTAATATCTCGAGAACGGTGCGTCGTAGATATGCCTTCCGACCCCTCGTTGGAAAGGTCTCGATCAGCGCTGTCAGAATTCTTATAGTATGTGGCCTGTAGAATCCATAATTTCAAACAGTTCCAAGATTGGGCTACTAGTTCAAAAGTTACAGCCTTTTGAATTTTTTGCCGAAATTTGTTTTTGCCCATAACTTTTGATTGAGACGTCTAATCGAAAAAGTACGAATCGTTTTGGATTCTACGCACCAAAATTAATAAGAAAAAGTTTTTTCCCGAGAAATTTTGGTGCAGTCAATTATTAGTAAAAAAGGAAGGTTACTGCTACTGCCTTTTTTTTGGCCCGAAAAAAAAAATTTTTCAGATCGACCGGAAAAAAATATGATCTTATAGAATGTGGGCTGTAGAGTCCATAATTTCAAACAGTTCTAAGATCGAGCTACTAGATCAAAAGTTACAGCCTTTTGAATTTTTTTGCCGAAATTTGTATTTGCCCATAATTTTTGATTGAGACGTCTAATCGAAAAAGTAGGAATCGTTTTGGATTCTACGCACCAAAATTAATAAGAAAAAGTTTTTTCCCGAGAAATTTTGGTGCAGTCAATTTTTAGTAAAAAAGGAAGGTTTATACACTGCCTTTTTTTTGGCCCGAAAAAAAAATTTTTTCAGATCGACCGGAAAGTTACAACCTTTTGAATTTTTTGTCGAAATTCTGACAGCGCCTATCGATAGCGCTGCTCGAGACCTTTCAAACGAGGGGTCGGAAAGCATATCTACGACGCACCGTTCTCGAGATATTACGGTTTGAAATTTCGGCCAAAAATTCTGACAACCGTAATATCTCGAGAACGGTGCGTCGTAGATGTGCCTTCCGACCCCTCGTTGGAAAGGTCTCGGCCAGCGCTATCGATTGGCGCTGTCAGAATTTTAGGTCGAAATTTCAATCAATGCCCTGACCATTGATTGAAAGGGTCAAGGGTCAAAGGTCAAGGGTCAAGGGTCGACGGTCAAGGGTCAAGAGTCAAAGGGTCAAGGGTCAGCGGTCAGCGGTCAGGGATAAGGGGTTAAGGGTAAGTGGTTAGGGGTCAAGGGTCAGGGGTCAGGGGTCCAGGGTCAAGGGTAAAGGGTCAATACAAATTTCTTCTATATATATTAGGAACCCTTAGAAGCTTTTAAGGAGATTTATTGTTCTCTAATGGCAACTTAAGAACCCCCATGAGTCACCTAATTCCAAAGGTCCTCAATGGTCTCTTGGGCCCTCTAGTGAGACATTGCTTCTCAAACAAGCCATTAACCATTTCGAGGGACTTAGAGCCTTTATTAACCCTTATGAGTAAGTGAGATGTAAATTTTGAGGGACAAGAGTTTTGACGGGCCTTTAAAGGTATCTAAGGCTCTATAAGATCCCCTTAATTAGTTTTGAAGATTTTAAAACAGTTTCAAAACCGGTACAAGGTCTACAAAAGTTTTTGTGAGCCTTTGCAGCAAACACTAAGGACTTTCAAACGCCTTTAAGAAACCTTATTGTTCATCAGGAGTCTATGAACATCATGCTTCCCCTCTTCAATGGGTTCTGTGGCCGTCTAAGATTAATTTTGATTTTGCAACAGGCCTTTAGTCGTTTTTGAAGGTCTTATAGTACTTACACGGTGAATTTTGCAGGGATTTTGGGACCCTGTACGAGACTCATGTACTTATATAACGCATGTCAAGGTCTGCAACGAGCTTTAGGAATGTTTAAAAGTCTAAGTGACTTCATTGGTTTTTATCACTAAAAGCCTTTACGTTTGCTCTTCAAAGGTCTTCACCGGTGTCCCCAGTTCTCTATTGAGACATTGATTTTCTAATTTGAACCTTAAAGGTACTTAATATTGAAATCCCGAAGCGTCTCTTAGGCCCTGATTTAAAGGCTCTAAAAAGTCTTCTTACAAAAGCCTACCCCTCCCCCACCCCGAATCGAATCTGTAACTCTTCTCTATCTTCTCTGTCGCATCGACGCCGTAACAGGTACAATTGAGTTTTGAATTTGTACCTTGTCAAACTTTAGAAAATTTACAAATATACCGCTTCATAGCAAACATGAGCATAAGTATGTCTAGGTATAACAAGAAACGTATTGGAGAAAGGCACCGCGGTTGTCACGATCTCTTCGAACCTAAGAGTTGCGTTCCGTTCTGTTTAAAGCCGAGTACGTTTAAACAGGTACGCTATTCGAGGTCGACGGGTTCAGAAAATGGATCTCGGGCGATATTTGAATAGCGAGCGAAGTTAAATTGAATTCTTAATGAGCTACGAACGTGAGCCCATACAAGATTGGGGTGCGCTTATTATTATTCTTACTTTCGACACCCTTATCCCATTCCCATAATCGGATATGCACCTCCTATCTTCCCTCTCCGCAACCTACCATAGTCCAATGTTGCGAAAATATTGTTGTTCATACGAAACGCAATACACTGATACGGTTAGTTGCGAAAGTACAAGGTTCACATAAATTAATTTTGTTCCTATTGTGATACGTGTGTAAATTACGTACGCTGAACAAGATACAAGCCCAATCTCAAAGGTAAAAATATGAAATTCGTAGACGTTGAAGATGAGTACAAGAGAAATAAAGATTTGCACGTGGACGACGTGAAATCCCTTCAAGGGTGGATTCAGAAGCAACCGCACCTTCCGCCGTTGTCTGGTAGGACTATCATTTAAAGCGGCCATCTCAGTTGATAATTTCAGATCTACAGTTGGCGATTTTCCTCCATAGCTGTTATTGGAGCATGGAGCAGACCAAGTGCGCGATTGAAAAGTTTCTGACCTACAGAGGCGCGTGGTCCGATTTCTTTGCCAATCGAAATCCAAACGATCCGACAGTGAGAAGCCACATGGCAGTGTCGTAATGTGCTTTACTACCAATGTACATCTGATGTTCAATCCATTTTGTAGACTGTGCACCTTTCTTCCTAACCCTACGCCGGAAAACCACAAGATCTTCTTCTACAAGCTTATGAATACGGACCTGGATAGGTTTTCGGCAAGGGAGGAATTTAAACTTATCGATATGTGTATCACGTTAGAGCTGATGCAGAAAGGTACGTCCGATGGTTGTGTATTAGTGTTTAACATGAAGGATGCTACCGTCGGGCACGTTTTGAAGATCGATATCACAACGGCCAGAAGGATTATGTTGTACGTGCAGGTGAGGGTGAAGCACTTTGGTTATTATTTGTTGATTTCGTTTACGTAGGAGGCGTTACCTGTCAGACTCTCAGGCATTCACGTCATAACGATGGCTGGCGTTGTTAAACTGTTCATGCCACTCATTATGCCCTTCCTGAAGAAAGAGCTCGCGAGTTTGGTAAGTTCATCTTCATGTTATTATTGCTTATATTCGCATTTCAGTTGCATTTTCACGATTCATACGAATCTTTGTGCAAGTTTCTACCACGAGAAGTACTTCCTGCTGATGTAGGAGGCGAAGGCCCCACTACCAAGGAGTTGTACGGTGAGCACACCTTGCCGTTATCGATAATGGATTCTTTCAATGTTAGAAAACATGCACAAGTCGTACGCTGAATACGCGGATTTCTTCGTGGAACAAGAAAGTCTCGTTTCAAACGAAAGTCTACGTGATCAACGGCCATCCTACATGGATGAGGATTTAGGAATCGGTATAGGTGGATCGTTCAAGAAGCTCGACATTGATTAAAACATAGTGCGCTATGGAGGAAGCTTCGCTGCTCCATTGAAACAGCCTTTTACAATTAAGAACAAAATAAATGCGTTTACTTTCACAATCTTCTGAACCCACTTTCTTTTTTATCGCTTTAATTCCTCGGCCTTCACGAATCTCTGGCTGTCGATTTTCTCCATCTTCGCGATCTTCTCAATCCTCTCGATACTCTCGATCTTCTAGATTCTCTTGAAGCTTCTGTCAGTTCTATCGCCTCGAACTTGTCATCATTATCGGCTCTCTCTCCCTTCGATCGACCGTTTTTATTTACTATTTAGATCTTCGAGATTTTCCAAATCCTCTTGCCTCTACTCAAACCGTTCTCGTTCAAAGGAGCTCTCCTTTGGTGAAGAAACGGAGGGGACTACGAGGATCTCGGATACAGAGGAGATCGAAAGAGGAGCCTAAAACTTAGGGATATAGCCGAGAAAGAAGATGAAAAGAAGAGAGGATAACCAGAATTCAGAGTATAGAAGAGAGCCAGAGCATTGAAAGGACACACAGTGGAGGCGTACGGACAAAGTCGAGGATCCGAGAAGGTTGAAATGATCGAGAAAATCGAGCATATTGTCGGAATAAAAGAGGATATAGAGGGTATCAAGAAAAAGGATAGAGAGGGTCGAAGGAATTGGAAGAATCGAGAGAATCAAAAAGATCTGTCTAGAACGCCGAGACAATCGGAAAAAGACGGTCGAATAGGGCGAAGAAGTCGTGAGATGGAGGGGACAGACGAGATCCACAGGGTTAAAAAGAATCGAAACAATGCAGAGCAGAGACAAAGACCTGAGAATGTGGATCTGTCGATGGAGGATATAGAAAGAGTTGCAAAAATAGCCCGAGGTTTGAGTGTAGAGTAGATCGATGGAATCCAGGGTATCGAAAAATAAAGGAGGATGAGAAGATCTCGAGAATCAGGAGAAGGGAAAATGAATCTAGGAGATAGAAAAGATAAAGCTAATAGAGAGGACAAGGAGGATAGGGAAAAATGGTAAGATCAAGGAGAAGAAGGTATTGAGGAGATCGGGACGATCAAGAGAAGATGTAGAGGGTGAAGAGTATTGAGAGATGAATGATATGATTACACCCTCCAGATTCTTCAGACTCTTCAGACTCTTCAAACCCTTCAGACTCTTCAGACTCTTCACTCTTCAGATTATTCAGATTCTTCAGGTTATTCATATTCTTCAGATTCTTCGGATTCTTCGGATTCGTCCGATTCTTCGGATTCTTCGGATTCTAGGGATTCTTCGGATTCTTCGGATTCTTCGGATTCCTGATCCCCAAATTCCTCAGATTACTCATATTCCTCAGACTCTTGACTCCTCAGACTTCTTAGATTCCTCAGATCCTTCAGATCCGTCAGATCATTCAAATCCGTCAGATTCTTCAGATTCTTCAGATTCTTCAGATTCTTCAGATCCTTCAAACCCTTCAGACTCTTCAGACTCTTCAGACTCTTCAGATTCTTCAGATTCTTCAGATTCTTCAGATTCTTCAGATTCTTCAGATTCTTCAGATTCTTCAGATTCTTCAGATTCTTCAGATTCCTCAGACTTCTTAGATTCCTCAGATCCTTCAGATCCGTCAGATCATTCAAATCCGTCAGATTCTTCAGATTCTTCAGATTCTTCAGATTCTTCAGATCCTTCAAACCCTTTCAGACTCTTCAGACTCTTCAGACTCTTCAGATTCTTCAGATTCTTCAGATTCTTCAGATTCTTCAGATTCTTCAGATTCTTCAGATTCTTCAGACTCTTCAGACTCTTCAGACTCTTTAGACTCTTCAGGCTCTTCAGGTCCTTCAGATAATTCAGCTCCTTTAGAACCGTCAGAACCGTCAGAACTTTCGTTTCCTTCATATTCTTTAGATTCCTCAGATTCTGGATTCTGGAGGACGTTGAGAAGATGGAGAAAACTGAAGATAGATTAACCTGAGGAATATTGTTATGATCAAAAATGGGAGAAGATCGACGAAGTTGTCTCAAAAGTTCACAGATCAGGTGGGCACTGGGCTTGAAAGGATAGATGGGATTGAAAGAGTAGGCTAGATAGAATGATTGAAATGTGAAGCCCACACTTTTGACAAAAGAAAAATGTTGGCGAGGCGCGTAGAAATGAAAGAGGTGGACGGGCAACGATTGCAGATGTTGAATAGAGGAAATCAAAAGAGGAGCGAGAAGACGAAAAATGTCGAGAGAATCGGGGAGATTTAAGGAATGGAAACAATCGAGGAGGTATAGATTACTATTTGCGCCTTCCACACATTTCCCCTTCTCCTGATCCTCTGACACCCCAATCCGATCGATTTTATCTGTCTTAATAAAATGGTAATTAACGCACAAAACCAATCCCCATAGATTTAAATAAATAAATAAATAAATAAATCTATGGGGATTGGTTTTGTGCTTTAATTACAATCTAGATCCTATCTACCTTCCTTGCTATCCTATGGATTTACTTCATTCCTTTCAATTTTCTCGATTTCTTTGACTCTCTCACCCTGATCCTCAATCTTCTCAAGCCTCCCTCAATTCTCTTAATCTTCTCCAGCTTTCCATTTCCTTGATATCTTAAGCCCATTCCCTTCATCGGATTTGAATCCTCTACCTTTCGATCCACTCGATTTTCGCGATCTCTTCGGTTCTCTCCGTTATTTCAACCTTTTTAACCATCTTTCTAAACATTCACCCCTTCTTTCAATCCCCGTCTTCTCATGGCCTTCTAGAAACCTACTCGATCTTCACTTTCATTAGTAATTGCTCCAATCCAATTTCGATCCTCAGGATGTTCTCCACCTTATCCATAATTACGAGCTTTTCACTTACATTTACCAGAGGCCTCCAAAAGTTTGCTCGTCTAACGAATCATCGGCACCATACCGTAGTCCAGGCCTCCCAAAATCTTGAGGTCAGTTTGAAGAAACTGGTGAGTAGGAACTATGTGCTTTTGAGTACTCTAAATTAAGTTATCCACGTCCTACTTGTTGTGAAAATATTGAGGTCTATACGAAACGTGATACACTGATAGTGTTAGTTGTGAAACAGTCGTGCAAGGTTCACATGAATTAATTTTATGTTCCCATTGTGATGATATGTTGTTTACTGAACAAGATACAAACCCAATTTCGAAGGCAAAAAAATGAAGTTCGTACTTAGATGTGGAAGATGAGTACAAGAAAAACAAAGATTTGCACGTGGACGACGTGAAATCCCTTCAAGGGTGGGTTCAGAAGCAATCGCACCTTCCGCCGTTGTCTGGTAGGGCTATCATTTAAAGTGACCATCTCAGTTGATACTTTCAGATCTACAGTTGGCGATTTTCCTCCACAGCTGTTATTGGAGCATGGAGCAGACCAAGGCCACGATTGAAAGGTTCTTCACTTACAAAGGCGCGTGGTCCGATTTCTTTGAGAATCGAAATCCAAAGGATCCGACACTGAGAAGCCATATGGGAGTATCGTAATGCGCTTTACTTCCAATACACATCTTATAATCCAATTTGTAGGCTTCTTCTACACGCTTATGCAATACGGACGTGGATAGGTTTTGGGCAAAGGGGGTATTTAAAGTCTTGGATATGTGCTTCATATTAGAGCTGATGCAGAAAGGTACGTTCGATGGTTGTGTGTTAGTCTTTGACTTGAGGGCCGCTACGGTCTCGCATGCTTTGAAGATCGATATCACAACGGCCAGAAGAATTATGTTGTACGTACAGGTGAGGATGAAGTGCTTTTGTTATTATTTGTGTATTTCCTGCATGTAGGAGGCGTTACCTATCAGACTCATAGGCCTTCACGTCATAACCGTGGGTGGCATTGTTAAACTGGTCAAGCCACTCATGAAGCCCTTCGTGAAGAAGGAGCTCTCATGTTTGGTAAGTTCGTCTTCACGTTATCATCGCTTATTTTCCGATTTCAGTTGCATTTTCACGACTCATACGATCCTTTGTGCAAGTTTCTACCACTAGAACTACTTCCTGCCGATGTAGGTGGCAAAGGCCCCACTACCAAGGAGTTGTACGGTGAGCACACCTTGCCGTTATCGATAATGGATTCTTTCAATGTTAGAAAACATGCACAAGTCGTACGCTGAGTACGCGGATTTCTTCGTGGAACAAGAAAGTCTCGTTTCAAACGAAAGTCTACGTGACCGACGGCCATCCTACATGGATACGGACTTAGGAATCGGCATAGGTGGATCGTTCAAGAAGCTCGACATTGATTGAAATAAATTGAGCTCCACTCTGAAGCTGCATTTTACCATTAAGAACAAAATAAATTCCGTCTAAGCATTTTCTAATAACTCTTCAGGGTTCTTTTCACAGCTCATAGAAGACCTCCAAAACGTCTTTAAGATTAAGTCCTGCACAAATCTTGATTACTTGATTTGAGGGTTGCAATCTTTGGGAAGAGAGATTGAGAAGGTTTTGGATGCGAGTGGTACACCGTCACTCGTACCATATTGTAGACCGTTCCTCATACCACCGTTGAGTAGGTAATTGAACAAATTGGTTTTACTTCCAGGACTTTTTTATTTGTTTAAGAGTTTATATACAATTACTACTGTGGCGCTGTTTTGTCCTAGTTCTAATTAAAATGTGATTGTTATGTTACGTAAGCTATTTCATCCTATGGATTCTAAAAGGAATCTAAGAGGAGTTTAAGAAAATTCCTAGAGATCTTCAAGAAATTCCAGTGAAGTGAGCACGAAACCCCCCCCCCCCCCCCAGCATACAGTGGTTCCATTGGTATTTCTAGAAATGATTGGAATACCAAGAGTTTGAGGAAAATGAGTTACCTTTTCTGAGGGCTGTTTTTGGTGTCGGAGGGAGGGGGTAATCCAAACCCCCAAGCCCCCCGGTACTATGTTCTATACGACAGTTCTTTGACGATAAATTATTATCAGAGTCCTAGGGGCTAAACATTTTGCGGGAGAAAGTGTTACCGAGTGATTTGGAGGTATGGAGTATCCCCCTCTTCCCCCTCCCACAGCATACAGTGGTTCCATTGGCACTTCCAGAACCCACAACAATGCCGAAGGTCAGAGGGAAATGGTTTATCGAACCTTTCTTTTGAGAAGGCTTTCTCTACGTGGAGGTGACGATAAACTATTTTGAGAATACCGAGGGTTAAACGTTTTGTGGGAAAAGTGTTATCGGGTGATATGGAAATATGGTGTATCCCCCCTCCCCCCTCTCCCAGCGTACAGTTGTTCCATTGGCATTTCCAGAACCTATAACAATACCGAGCGTTTAATAATCCTTTGCCGACGGCTACTTCTGGTGGGTGGGTGGAGGGAAGGGGGGGCTCCAGACCCACAGGCCTCCCGGTACTAGTACTATACAATACTTCTTAGCAGAAAAACTTATTATGAGGGTCCTGAGGGCTAAACATTTTGCGGAAGAGGGTGTTTCCAGACGATCTGGGTGGCACCTCCCAGTATAAATCCTTCTTTTCCGAGGACTCTTTTTACTGGGGGGGGGGGGGTATTGTATACTCTCTGCTGGGTATTATCTTCTACCCAATACTTTTTTTGCTGAACAGGATCCCATATTTTCCAAAATAGTTATTTACATAAAAGTCCGGAAAATGATACATTACTAGCGAGGATTAAATTGAAGTGCGAGGTCCCTTTGGGGCAGAGTGCTTTAATTTCCGAGTCAGGTAATGTCATTTTACTGACGAATTTTGTATTAAATTTTACTCGAAATCGTATTTTAATGTAAAATTTCAATTTTTATATGGAACTTTTGATTAATGTCAATCTGTCAGTGATGACAGGAGTCATTATACACATTTGGAAAAGTCACAAATGCCGGTAAAGTCACGGTGCGGCAGGAAACGTAGTCTGCTCTGCCTCTGTCATGGAAACTAAAATTTCCGGACAGATAGTAGGCATGAAAATGAAGTTTTCAGGACGATTTTGGGTAAAAACCATTATGAGAGCCCCGAGGGCTGAATGGAGCTAATAGAACCACTGTATGGAATAATCCCCCCCCCCCGGATACCTATAGTGGTTCCATTGCCATTTCCAAAACCCATGAGAGTACCCAGGGTCAGAAAAAAATGATTTATCGAACCTTCCTTTTCCGAGGACTCTCTCTAGTGAGGGGTATTCCAGATGGCCAGACCCCCCGGTACTATTATCAATACAATACCTCTTTGAAGAAAAACTATTATGCGAGTCCTGAAGGCTACACAGTGTGTTTGGGAGAAGGTGTTACCGGGGGGTCAAGGGGAATATGGATTACGTCCCAGCATACAGTGGTTCCGTTAGCATTTCCAGAAACCATAAGAATATCGAGGGGAGGGTTTCTTTCTACTGGGGGATAGTCCAGACCCCCAGGCTCCCCCGGTACTATGTTCTGGGGGATCTTACCCCCCCCCCCCCCGCTCCGATCTCCCGCAAAGAATGACTTGATTTTCCCTGAAAATTCTTACGCGTTTTGGTAATGCCAATTGAACCATTGTATATGGAGCCCCGCCCCCCCCCCCCCAGTATATATTGTCATGTGCAGAAACTATGAAGGCACCGAGGATCAGAGTGCAGTGATTTATCGAACCTTTTTTGTCCGACGGCCTACCGGGAACTATGTTCAATACAATAGGTCTTTTCAGAAAAACTAGTCTGAGAGTCCTGAGGGAGAGCGTTACCGGGGGTCTGGGGGTGCCCCCCCCCCTCCCCCCGATGCTTTGGTCTACAGTGCTCTTTATTAAAAAGTAGACATAGCGATTTACGTGTATTGTTTTCCCCCTATCTCTACTTTTAAATGACAAAATCTCTTCTGAAAGGCGCCTAATTTTATGCAACCAAAATAGCTTGTTTAAACAAATAAAGATCTGGCTGTCATATTAATTAATTTGAATATTGTTGCTCTGGCTTCCGTATTTTTATTTTTAGCGCATTTTTGCAAAAATTTTTTTTTGTAAAAAGTAGCTTTTAATCTCACTTTGGCTGGCTGGCTGGCTGGCTGGCTGGCTGGCTGGCTGGCTGGCTGGCAGCAAATGTGGGCGCGTAGAAGAACTCTTGTAGAAAGGCAACGGGTGTACGTGTATCTACAGGGCCGTGAAATTTGTCAACCTTAGGGGCATGGCTACATGATGTGGGGTTGGCGACATCTGGGCGTCATCCTCGAGCGTAGTATACTAACGTGAAGGTTTTTCAGTTTTTTTCCTATCTTCTACTACAGTTTTGGTCCGATTCTTTTGAAATTGGTGTCGTCGGAAAGATGTTGTAAACGCGCACAACTCCTGCGTGGCGGAATTTTGTTTTTTGTCATAGGGGCGAAATTAACGACCTTTTGCGAGGCGGCGCGCGCGTCTTCGAGAAGTAGTCAGGCGCCTTTTACCTTCCGTTGCGAACTCACGCGGTTTAACGTTTCGTGAATCTCGAATCGCTGTCTCTCTTTCTCGTGTCGCCAATAGAAGTGAATTGCGAGTGAACGGGACGTCGGAAGTGGGTACCGTAAAAGAGAATGTGGTAGCCCGCGACACGATCTCACTGATGGTGGAGTCAAATCTTCAAACGCGAATTGCGGAGTGAACGGGACGTCGGAAGGGGGTACCGTCAAGGGAATGTGGTAGCCCGCGACACGATCTCACTGATGGTGGAGTCAAATCTTCAATCGCGAATTGCGGGTGAACGGGACGTCGGAAGGGGGTACCGTCAAAGGAAATGTGGTAGCCCCCGACACGATCTTCCTGATGGTGGAGTCAAATCTTCAAACGCGAATTGCGGGTGAACGGGACGTCGGAGGGGGGTACCGTCAAAGGAAATGTGGTAGCCCCCGACACGATTTTCCTGATGGTGGAGTCAAATCTTCTTTCAAACGCGAATTGCTGGTGAACGGGACGTCGGAAGGAGGTACCGTCAAAGGGAATGTGGTAGCCCCCGACACGATCTTCCTGATGGTGGAGTCAAATCTTCAAACGCGAATTGCGGGTGAACGGGGCATCGGAAGTGGGTACCGTAAAAGGGAATGTGGTAGCCCGCGACACGATCTCACTGATGGTGGTGTCAAATCTTCAATCGCGAATTGCGGGCGAACGGGACGTCGGCAGGGGGTACCGTCAAAGGAAATGTGGTAGCCCCCGACACGATCTTCCTGATGGTGGAGTCAAATCTTCAAACGCGAATTGCGGGTGAACGGGACGTCGGAAGGGGGTACCGTCAAAGGAAATGTGGTAGCCCCCGACACGATCTTCCTGATGGTGGAGTCAAATCTTTAAAAGCGAATTGCGGGTGCACGAGGAAAGTGGGAAGCGGTTAGTGAATGTAGTAGCCTTCGACAAGATCTGTTATTGATGGTTGAATCGAAAGTGGCTAATAGAATACTGATCTGCCACACAAAAATGCGCTGAAGTCCCTTCGATCTCAAACGAGGACTTTGATATTTTTTTTATTGTATATTCGTTCGACATGACAGATTTATTTTCTGTGAAGCCAGAGCAACAATATTCAAATTAATTAATACGACAGCCATATCTTTATTTGTTTTAAGAGGCTATTTTGGTTGCGTAAAATTAGGCGCCATTCCGAAGAGATAGTGTCTTTTGAAAGTAGACATAGCGAAAAACCATACACATTAATCCTTATGTCTACTTCTTAATAAATACACTGTATACAATACTATTTCTTAGAAACAGAGGTTTCATTGGCATTTGCAGAAACGATAAAAGGGTTGGAGGGAAAGGATACTGTAGTCATCATTTGCCGTGGGTTTTCTCTGTTGAGGATTATCCCCCCCCCCCCCACACACCCGCCCCCCGGTGCTACATTTCTTTGCAGAAACAGAATTATGATAGTAGTTGAGTGAGGGCTAAACATGTAGGGAAAGTTGTACCGGGGGGCCTGGAGTGTATGGAATACCCCCCCCCCCGCATACAATGGTTCCTATAGCATTTCCGGAACTCATAAAAATACCAATAATTTGATGGTAAAAATTATGGAGCAATCCTTTGCCGAAGGCTCCCTTTACGGTATTATGTTCTACGCAATACTTTTTTACAGAACAGGATCCCATATTTTCCAAAAATTCTACCATGGAAGCCCCGAGGACTTAATGTTTTGTGGTGAAAAGTGTAACCGGCGGGTGGGGGTGGGAGGGGGTATGGAATGCCCCCCAACAGAGACAGATTTCGGCAAAGGGTGATCCCCTACTATACAGTGGTCCCTTTGTAACCTATTAAAGTAGCAACGGTCAGAGGGAAAATAGGTATACCGGGTCGTCCTTTGCCGAGGGCTCTCTATGCTCTATTCCATAACCCCCCAATCCGACCCCAACTCCACCCCCTAATATACTTCTTTCCAGCAAAACTGTTATGAGAATCGTGAAAGCTAAACAGTTTGTGGGGGAAAGTTTTACGAGGGGTGAGGGCTATACCCCCATCATAAAGTGGTTCCAAAAATACCGAGAGTTTGAGGGAAAGGAGTTATTTAGTCATCCTTTGCCGAGGTCTCCCTCTGCTAGAAGATATTCCATACCGCCCTGACCTTCCTACACTATACTTCTTTTCATAAACACCACTGTGGGAGGCGTGTGGGCTAAACGTTTTGTAGGGGAAAGTGATATCAGGAGATCTGGGGGTGCGGGTGTATGGAGTGCTCCCCAGTATACAGTGGTTCCATTGTCATTTCCTGAACTCATAAGAATACCGAGAGTTTGAGGGAAAGGCGTTATCGACCCGGGGCCTCTATCTACCGGGTGGTATTTCCCCGGTAGTAAAACCATTATGAGATTCTCGAGGACTAAACTTTTTTGTAGGGAAGTGTTTTCCGGGAGGGGAGGTCTAGGCGTATGCCCCCCTCCCGGAAAACAGCAACTCCATTGTCTTTTTTTGAAGCCATGAGAGTACGATCCGATCGAAGATCGGTTAGCGATTAGTTTCAGGATCCTGACAGGTTTAGGGTAAACCTGATAAACCTATGGAAGAAACTTAAAGCTCCATTTACTTATTTTCCGAAATCTATCGACGAGTTCTCCACACGAGCGAATGCAAAAACTGCAGTGGATAACTCAAAGGAAATCGCGCTCATTTTTGATTAGATTGTCGCCTCTTAATTGTTCTCGTTAACCAAACAACGTTGATAACGAAAGCAACCGTTCCGAAACCCAGACCTGCCCTTATTCCCAAAAACCTACTTTGACAGTTTCCAATTAATCTACATTCTCCCGATTACCCATATATCTCCGTGAACGTTTCCCAATAAGCGGAAAATAAATCGATAGCGTGAAATGTAAGCGATTTCGACTTCCAATCAAATCGCAACTTTGTGGTTTCGTCATGAATAAAATCAATTTTTTTTACCCATTAACGTTCGTTAATACAATTCCGTATCTACCACAAATTCCACTTTCTATGGCTAGTCGCCGAACCAGCCTGAAGGTGAAGTTATTCGTGTTGGTTCGTGGAATGGAAGCGCATCTGGTGAAGTTATCCGCGATGAGACTGCTGTTTGTACTCGTCGGGAGCCTCTTCCTGTTGGGTACTTTTTGAAAGGGCTTCTTTAGGAAAGGGATTACGTTTCAGTTTTATTTTAGATTCCGTATCTGGGGTAAGTTTGCTAGCCACAACGACTCTTTCGAATGTTCTACCGAGTGCATTTGGACCCGCCCCTGAAAACCTATGGGTAAAAGGGTTGCATCAATTGAGGTAAGGGCAAGTAATTATTTTAGGCGCGTACCCTAAAAGATAGGTGCTTATCAGCCACAACAGGCATTCCCAATTCAGAAATAGAGCGAGATTTTTTATCGTAAGCGGAATGTGGAAGAGGATTATCAACGTGATGGGAGATAATATTGGCCTCTTTTAAGGGTGGCCCAATTAAAGGCGACTCAAAATCGTAAATGGGATACACTGGCCCTTTTTGTGCTCATGTTTTAGCTACATCGGTTTACAAAAAGGTTCATCCTGCAAGAAAATGCTGAAAGGTTTACAAGAAGACAATTGCCATTAAGAACTGAAAAGGTTTAGGGACGAATCTGACCAATTTTAAAAACCCTTCACCAACTATTTTTGAAATCTTCTTTCAGTCACCCTCAAAGCCTCACACTTGAACTGACCTGGTTCCTTTTCTCCAGGTCACCCTGACAATTCCCGTGGAAGCGATTTTCCCTAACAACAAGCACATGCTGGTAAGTGAGTCGTCAATTATTATTGACGATCGCACTCAAGCGAGAGGTTTCAGGAACAAGCGAACATTTTCCTGAACAAGACTACGGACCAATCCAAAGTGAGTGACCTCCGCGAAACCGAGCGAAGGTGAATCCGATCTTTTTCAGGTGATCATCGCGAAAGAGCTCGCCGGTCTCGGAGTTCCTGTGAAGGTAAGTGAAGCGCGACCGTAACACTTTCAAACCTCCCCCTCGCAGGCTTTCGTCCTACAAAACCTGGTGAAGGCCTCCCAACACGCTTTCGTAAGTGGCCAAAACCTCGACGGATCCGGTCTAAGCTTCTTGTTGTAGAACGACCCCCACGCCATGTTCGAGGTGGATCTGGACACGTTGAGAGAGGTTCGTAGCACGTGGAGCACGTGAGCGCTAAGGGTTGTGTTTCAGCTCATCAAGAAGTATGAGGAGTACAAACCTACTGTAAGTAACGCAGGAGTTAACGATCCCAAACCCTCTCCCAACCCCCGTCTACATTTAAGCTTAGCGCTACAAGTTACTTTTTAGACCTGAAGGAATCTTGTTTTCTTAGCTACCCTTTCACAAGCCCCCGGCGTTTGTGGACAAATTTGTCCCCGTTGAAAGTCACCCCGGACATGTAAGTGCAAGTACTTAGTTCGCACTCGAATTTTTTTGCACTCCTGAACGTTTTTTGAATCTAACTTTCTTGAAATTTTAAGATACCCGGTTTTAGACCGCCAGGAGCTTTTGGCGCTCATGGAGTAAGTAGACTGTTTCAGTTAGCGTGAGTCCTAACTTGCACCGATGCACTTGAAATTAGTCGATCACTAACTCACTTTGGAGTACTAACACGTGGGGGGTAGGTATTGGGCCACTTGACAGTGGGAAGATATTTTTTATGTATGCCGTGCCATTTGGATAGATCAATTTAGAGAGTCGCTGTGAGAATAAATCGAGGGAACCGTGCCCGCTTTCTGCAATACGTTTCTTGTTTTCAATGGTTATCGCCAGACATATTTTCGTTCACGTTCTCTATGAAGCGGTACATGCGTAAATTTTTCTATGCTGAACAAAAATACTTTCTAATTCTAAAGTGACAATCCGTTACACGTTTAAGAATGTTTGATGAGCATTCAAAGACACTCAAGGTTTTCATAACGTCTATAAAACCCTCCAGACCTTCTGATTAGTCAGAGCCCTGTATTTTCTTAATTTAAGGTTTTTCGTACGTAGGAGACGTTCTTTAGTACTATTTGTAGTTCTTCAGAATCCTTGAGTACCTGAAACGTTTCCAGGCTTCACCTATTCTACTTCCCCATTTCCTGGGTTTGTCCCTCCTCTTCTTCTGCTTTCTCCATTTTTCCCTTCTCTTCCGATTGTTCTTCTTCATCTCGTTTTGCCATTTCATTTGCTTTTTTTTACAAACTCTAGTTAATCTTCTCCTGTTTCATCGTCCTTTGTTTGCCTTTTTTCTCTCCTATTACAAAGGTTCGTCTTCCTCCACTTCATCGGCCTCTGACGTTTCTTTCTCAATTTACTCTACTACTGTTTCTTCTGCTTCTGCGTCATCTTTCTCGATCTCGTTTTGTTTTACCGTGTTCTCTTTCTTCCTTTACCCTATCTGCTTTCTTACCCTTCCTCTTGTCGTGTTCCAATACTTTCTTCCGTTTCTCATTCTTCCCATTTCTTCCTTTTTCTTTTCTATACAACTTCCGCTCCTCTCTCTTTTTCATCTGCCATTTGTATCTTCTTTTTCTTTCTTATCCTTGCCCTTTCCACCTAACCCCCACCTTTCACTTTCCCATTTCTCAGCGTCTTCTTTTTTTCCTTTACGCCTTTTTACGACCTTCTGTCTCAGACCATTCCTCCCACCTTCCCTTCAGTACGTACCAGACCTTTTATTTTTATTTTTCCTTTCTCGTTTCTATGTTACCCTTCACACTTCTTTCTTTCTTTGTCTTTTATTTTTGTTACCTTTTTCCTTTTTCATTTTCTTTTCGCCTGTCCAAAGCCCTCCTCCTTACTTATCTTTAACTCGGCTTCTTTTTCTATTATTCCCCTTCTTTTTCAGCTTCCTCTTTTTTGCTTTTCCTCCACCTCTCAACTGTTGAATTCTTTCCGTTTTTCTTCTTTCTTGGTGTTTCTCTTTTTCTTCCTCCCTCTTCTACCCTCGCTTTGGTTTTCCTTTTCTATTTCTTCTCATCTTCCTTTTCGCTAATCTCATTGTTCACTTCTACATTTACCTCCTCCTGCCTTTCCAATTTCTTCTATTTCCTATATTTATCTCTTTTCTCTTCAAATTTAAATTTCCCTTCTCACCCACCGTGTGTATCCCTTCTGTTCTCTCCTCTGCCTCTTCTTTATTTATTTTATTTACTTTTTATTTTTTAGTGGGCGGAGTTTCAGTCAAGGTTGCTCTACCAACCCAGCCCACGATACTTTTGCAAATATCTATTCCCGAACCCGGTTTCGAACCAGGGACCCTTAGTACCGTAGTCCAGCTTCAACTGAACTCGCCACACGGACCGGCTTCTTCTGTTTTATATTCCTTTGTTTCGAATTCTTCTACTTCCTCTTTCCTTATTTTTAATTTCTTCTCTTCTGCATTATCGTTCTGTGATTCATCTCTTTTTCTCAGTCATTTTCTGCTTCATATTCTGATGCTTTCCTTCTTCTTACAACGATTTCCTCCCTGCGTGTTCGTTTCTGATTTTTTTTGTCTTCTGCTTTCTCTAATTCTGCATCGCTTGGCTTGTTTATCTGCCTTTATTTTATACGTCTGTCGATGTTTTCCCGGCTTTTAAACCCCCCCCCCCCCCTCCACAAAGTTTCTTTCTGTGTGACAGCTCAAAGAGCCTTCAAGAGCTTTTATGGGTCTTCAAGCATTTTCCTAACTTCGATGAATTTTAAAAAAAGCCTTTGATCTGAAAATGGTCTTCGAGAGCCCAAAGGACCTCAACAAATCTTTCCAGAGTCTCTAAGTTTCTTTTCTACTACTTGAGTTGCCTCTGGTTAACCCTGGAAAGTTTTTTTGAAGGCTCAAAACCTGAACATAGAAGTTCGTCTGAATTTCTTTACGAACCACCAAAGATAATCCACCATAGCACCATGAAGAAACGTTCCTCCACCGGCCATCTAAACTGGTCCTCCCAAGTGGCTCGGCATAGATACATTCAAAATCCTCGGGCGCCATAACCTAGCTAGAGGATTTTCCCACAACCGGGTGGCCCACCACCTATCGTGGACAATGTGAAATGTGGTAAAACTAATTTCGCTTTCACTTCGCAAGGGCGTACCGGGCGACGCGAACCTGCCGGTGAACATGAACAACATTTACCCCCAGAACAGGGATCTACAAGTAAGTCAGTCGGTCATTGAGACTACTCCCGCGCAAGTTACGTGAGTAATTTCAGGATAAGGTGAGAAATTTCCTGCACCGCCTGTCGGATAATTCCAAGGTAAGTGTGGCCGCTTCATTAGTATAACGTTGACACGTGGGGTTTTTTCGCGGATAATCTCGCGGATAATTTAATTGGTGGCGCCTCGCGAGTCAAATCCAAAATGTCCCACTAAGTGCCGATCTTCTACTTGTGTAGGACCTGATACGTCTTCGCCTCGGCAGCTTATCACCGGAACAACAAGTGAGAGCTCTAACACGCTACCACTTTTGAAAACTAATCCTCCCCGTTGTAGGGAAACGTACTCCTCCGCCTTTCGGAGGATGCCGTAAGTAAAATCCTTGACTCGAACCTCCCCCCAGTCTTTTCTTCGGACAGGATCCGTACCAGGACAACATGGATTTGGACCTGTGGACCATCGACAAGGTAATCCCGGGTGATCGAGGTAATTACTAACGCTTCCTCTTAGGCGATCGCGACGGATAATAGGAACCGGAACGCCGGCGTCGGAGAGGTTAGTATCATTGCGTGCACTGCGCTTGTAACACTTTTCACTTTGCAAGACTGCTCCACCACCAGAGTATCCAGTGGACGTAGATCAAATTTATCCCCATGACCCGTACCTGCAGGTAAGTTAGGGGTTTGCTCGTACTTGGCTCAATCCGTCTTCCAGGCCATAAAGGACTTCTTAAATAGGCTGTCAAAGCCCACCAAGGTAGGTCTCAACCACTATCGGCCCCCCGTTACCCTTCGTTTTTAGGATCTGATTCGCGCTCGCCTAGGCAACTTACCAGTAGAACAACAGGTATGCCCTCCCTCCCCTCCAAGGCTCGACAAAATTTAACCCGTCCCATTTTTAGGGCAGCATTCTCAATCGGCTAGCACATTCAGTTGTAGGTAAACGCACTTAGGTACCAAAATCCCTTAGGCAATCTTTTAGGATCCGTACAGGCAGAACATTGACTTGGACTTGTGGACCATTGACAAGGTGGGTCGTGCCTCCTTGGCCTCCTCGATAATCGATCCACTTGCAGGCCATCGCGACGGAACCGACCGAACCGCTGCCGGTCAACGTTGAAGAGCTCTACCCACAAGACCGTCACCTTCAGGTGAGTTACCCCGTGTCCACCACCAAGCGTTACGCCTAATTTTAGGACAAAGTGAAGGATTACCTCAACAAGCTGCCTCAGGAGTCGAAGAATTTAATTCGCGATGGTCTGGGCCCGCTGCCGCTGGATCAGCAGGGTCGTATACTATCGCGTCTCGCGGATTCTGTGGTAAGTACTCACCGGAGGGAATAAATACGAGTGCGTCACCCTCTATCAATAGGACCCGACAGCGGACCATGCCTTCCTCAACCCCGACACCCTGAGAAAGGTAAGGTGTGCTTATGGGACGCAAGTTCTCATGTCATCTTCTTGCAGGAAATTGACCTGGACCAACGGCACCAGTGGCCGGTAAGCGACAGTTTAGTCCAATTGCTTATCCCCCCGATCTGTTCATTCTCTGACCCCTGATAAGAATCCCGAGTGGTCATCGCCCTAGTATTTTGCTGAAATCTTCTTCGATTCGCTCGGCCGTCTAGCCATTTAAGGCTGCGAATGCCGAGCGATCCGAAGGAGAGTTCGGCATAAGTTCGACTCGCCCTAGTTTTCGAAATTTACTTAAAATACTCACACAGTTTTCGAATGCATTCGCCGTTACTTAGGTCAGTCCGCCGCCCGTCGACGAACCCCCAGTAGATATTGGTCGAATTTTCCCGCAAAACCCCGACCTTCAGGTAACCTTCTCGGACGTCCTGCAAAACACCCACTAATTTTCAATTACAGAACGAGATCCGTAATTTCATTGATCGATTGACAAAGGACGTTAAGGTGAGCTCGCTTGCTCATCCACAATTTTCACTAGGTCGAATTTCAGGACGTGGTGCGCCATTATCTTGGTAACCTCGCCCCGGACCAGCAGGTGAGTATCTCCACACTTTGGTTTCGACTGACACCATTTTATGTAGGAAAGAGTGCTTTCGCGACTTGCCAATGGAGTTGTAAGTATATGCTCCACCGTCCCCTTTTTGAAGCTCAGTTCGCCTAGGATCCGTATAATCCCAACGTGGTGCTCGATCCCGAAACCATAAGACAGGTAAGCCATGGTGGTGACGGATGCACTTTCTCACCCCGTTAATTTCAGGAAGTCGAACGCGACCAGAGAAACCGGGCCACCCCACCACCGGTCGAAGAACCTCCAGTAGATGTCGACAGAATCTTCCCACAAGACAGAGATTTACAAGTAAGTTGTGCTAGCACAGGAGGCGGTCACAGGTTTGCATTTTTAGAACCGACTCAGGGACTTCCTGAATAGATTGGCCAAGGATGTTAAGGTGAGTTGAGAGCCATTTACAACTTATGAGCATCCTTGATTTCAGGATACCGTGCGTGAATACCTTGGAAACCTACCCCCGGACCAGCAGGTGAGTTCCTCTAAGTCTTCAACGTATCTAACTCTGCGTTGGTTCACAGGGGAGGGTTCTCAGCCGCTTGGCAGATCGAGTCGTAAGTATCTACCGGTTTCCGTTTTCGAATGACCCCTTTCGCTTAGGATCCCCACGCGCAAAACGTCAAGATTGACCCCGCAATCATACGACAGGTAATCCCATCCGTACCAGTCGCCCACAGTCACGCCGATTCTTTCAGGAACTTAAGCGCGATCAATGGGAGCAGAGACCAACAACGGACAGGGTTACTCCGCCCCCTGTCGAAGAACCGCCAGTAGATATCGATCGCATTTTCCCACAAGACAGGGACCTGCAGGTGAGTCACGGGACCGTGGAAGAACACTCGCCAGTTGCTAATTTCAGAACAAACTCAGGGACTTCTTGAATAGGTTGGCCAAGGACGTTAAGGTGAGTAGGTCACTGTCAACTATCTCGGACACGCCTGGTTTCAGGACTCGGTGCGCCAGTACCTCGGAAACCTACCTCCCGACCAGCAGGTGAGCGTCCCCGCGCTTTGAACGTGTCTTATATCGTTTTGTTCCACAGGGAAGGGTTCTCAGTCGTTTAGCAGATCGAGTCGTGAGTACCCGCCCCCTTCCGTTTTCATCTAACACTTCTCCCCTAGGACCCCAACGCTCAGAACGTCGCGATTGACCCCGCAACCATAAGAGAGGTACTTTTAACCGGCCTAGTCTCATTATCATCGTCGCTTCTTGCAGGAAGTTAAGCGCGATCAGTGGGAGCAGAGACCGGCAACAGAAAGGGTCACGCCACCGCCAGTTGACGAACTGCCAGTCGACCTCGATCGCATTTTCCCACAAGACAGGGACTTGCTGGTAGGTTAAATAACTGACCTTGAAGATATTCCCATGGATTTTCAATTTCAGAATAGACTCAGGGATTTCCTTAACAGGCTGGCAAAGGAAGTGAAGGTGAGTTTCCGGTTGAAAAGTGCTATTTCTCATTGAGTTTTATTTTAGGACTTGGTGCGCCGGGAGCTTGGACATCTACCTCCTGACCAGCAGGTAGGTTCTAGTTCCGATTCTTGTTTGGAGAGTGAGTGTTACGAATTTTTTAATACAATTTGACTTCAAATGAAACAATGACGTGGAACCCGAAGGAGAGGTCGGCATAAACCACGCCTTTTTTCTTCAGTTTGAAACAAGACGGTAGCCTACCAATTAACAAATGAATGCACTCCAGATCTCTAGGCCCCGCTTTCCGACAGAGCCTTATTTGATTTTCCAAAAATTCCGAGTGGTTCCCGAAGTACGGTCCTAGGTTTTTAAGTGCGTATGAAAGCTTACGGCGCCAGTAAGTCGTGGGTTAGTTCAAATTATGGAGGAGAATTTTGAGGTCGTGGTTATCAAGCCTGCACTTGCAGATTGAGCGAGTTTTCACTCCATGTGGAGTAAATTTAAAGGCGTCAAGCGTTTGGATTAGACAGAAAAATCAGTCTTTATTGGTGGAAAAAGGTTGCTTCCCAGAATGGGTGTCACTAAAAAAAAAGAAATAGTAGGAAATGTTTTTTTAGAGTGAGCCGTCTGGCAATTGGTATTGGGCCGCGAGGCATTGCGCGTCGAACCGCGAGAGACGATTAGTGTGTAGTTTATTTTGTGTTAAAGAGACTCGCTAGAGACGCGACCGAAATTCTTATTTTTTCAAACCTTGCGATCCCTCCTCCACTGCTGAGAGACTTCAACTGTTAAATTTGTCAAAACTGAATGGCATCATCTTTAATTGCGGAGTCATCTTTTCACACGCACAATAACGAATTATTTTACAAAATGGCGATGATTAAGTTTTCAATGTTTAGTGTCTTTCTTACTACCAATTCTAGATAATTTTAAGGGTGCCGGCTACCACATTCTACATGCTACATTTTCTTCATTGAGGTAAATGAGTTGCAAACTATTAAATGCCGAGCGAACCGAAGGTGAGTTCGGCACAAATCCGACTACTATCGTGCCGTAGGGGTTCATTTTCGATAGCGAGGCCTAGTTTGTGCCGAACTCGCCTACGGCTCGCTCGGCAATGCTACATTTTCTTTATTGAGGTTAAATGAGTTCCAAACTACTAAATGCCGAGCGAACCGAAGGTGAGTTCGGCACAAATCCGACTACTATCGTGCCGTAGGGGTTCATTTTCGATAGCGAGGCCTAGTTTGTGCCGAACTCGCCTACGGCTCGCTCGGCAATGCTACATTTTCTTTATTGAGGTTAAATGAGTTCCAAACTACTAAATGCCGAGCGAACCGAAGGTGAGTTCGGCACAAATCCGACTACTATCGTGCCGTAGGGGTTCATTTTCGATAGCGAGGCCTAGTTTGTGCCGAACTCGCCTACGGCTCGCTCGGCAATGCTACATTTTCTTTATTGAGGTTAAATGAGTTCCAAACTACTAAATGCCGAGCGAACCGAAGGTGAGTTCGGCACAAATCCGACTACTATCGTGCCGTAGGGGTTCATTTTCGATAGCGAGGCCTAGTTTGTGCCGAACTCGCCTACGGCTCGCTCGGCAATGCTACATTTTCTTTATTGAGGTTAAATGAGTTCCAAACTACTAAATCCGACTACTATCGTGCCGTCGAGCTTCAGTTTCAATCACGAGGGGCCTATTTTGTGTCGAACTCACCTACGGCTCGTTAGGCAATACTACTTTCTCTTGTTTGAAGTTAAATGTGTACCAAACCATTCAATGCTACTATTTTCTTCCATAGGGAAGAGTGCTTTCGCGTCTCGCAGATGGAGTTGTAAGTAATCAACGTATTGCCACCAATTTCGGGTCACTTGTCCATCTTTCAGGATCCCTACAATCAAAACGTGGTGCTCGATCCTGGAACCATAAGAGAGGTAGTTCCAGTCCGTATTTTCGCTTTCCTATGTTCGCATTTTACAGGCAATCGAGCTAGACCAAGAGAGTCAAAGGCCGGTAACTGAAAGGGTAACGCCAACCCCGCCCGTCGAGGAACCTCCTGTAGATATCGACAAAATTTTTCCGCAAGACAGAGACCTACAGGTAAGACGCAGGACAGCTCCTGAGAAATCCTTACAGGTTTCGAATTTCAGAACAGACTCAGAAATTTCCTTAACAGATTGGCGAATGATGTTAAGGTGAGTGCAGTCGGGAAACAACAAGGTACATCAAGCTCTTCCTTTCAGAGTTTCGTGCGTTACTACCTTGGTCCTCTTCCTCCGGACCAACAGGTGAGTACTACTAAGTTCCTGGGCTATCTAACCCCGTTTTATTCCCCAGGGAAGGGTACTGGGTCGTCTCGCTGACCAAGTGGTAAAGTATATCAAAAACTGGTTCAAGACTCGAGCTGATCGCCTTTTTTCCAGGGTCCCTACGAGCAAAATGTATTCCTTGACCCTGAGATGATAAAAAAGGTAAGCTTAGTCGTCCACGGCCCACTCTTAATCGAGTAATGTACAGGAAGTTGAGTTGGATCAAGAGAGACAGAGGCCAACTACCGAAAAAGTTACGCCATCACTTCCCGCCGAAGAGTTTCCCGTAGATATCGACAAGATCTTCCCAGAAGACAAATTTCTGCAGGTAAGTAACTCCATCACTCGGAGAACCCTCACAAACTTCAAATTTCAGGACAGGCTCAGAGATTTCCTTAACAGATTGGCGAATGACGTTAAGGTGAGTGCAGTCGGGAAACAACAAGGTACATCAAGCTCTTCCTTTCAGAGTTTCGTGCGTTACTACCTTGGTCCGCTTCCTCCGGACCAGCAGGTGAGTATACTACCAAGCTTTTGGGCTATTTAACCCCGTTTTATCCCCCAGGGAAGGGTACTTGGTCGTCTCGCTGACCAAGTGGTAAAGTATATCAACAACTGGTGCAAGCCTCCACCTAATCGCCTTTTTTCCAGGGTCCTTACGACCAAAATGTATTCCTTGACCCAGATATGATCAGAAGGGTAAGCTTAATCGTCAACGCCCCAATCTCAATCGCACAATCTACAGGAAGTCGAGTTGGACCAAGAGAGGCAGAGGCCAACCACCGAAAAAGTTACACCACCACTTCCCGCCGAAGAGCTTCCCGTAGATATCGACAAGATCTTCCCAGAAGACAGATTTCTGCAGGTAAGTAGCGCCATCACTTGGAGAACTTACCAGACCTCAAATTTCAGGATAGGATTAGAGATTTCCTCAACAGATTGGCGAAGGATGTTAAGGTGAGGGAAAACGGGAAACAACAAGGTATATCAAGCACTTCCTTTCAGGGTTTCGTGCGTTACTACCTTGGTCCTCTTCCTCCGGACCAACAGGTGAGTATACTACAAGTTCCTGGGCTATCTAACTCCGTTTTATTCCCCAGGGAAGGGTACTTGGTCGTCTCGCTGACCAAGTGGTAAAGTATATCAAAAACTGGCTCAAGCCTCGAGCTAATCGCCTTTTTTCCAGGGTCCCTACGACCAAAATGTAGTCCTGGACCCTGAGACAATAAGAAAGGTAAGCTTAATCGCCAATGGCGTACTCTGAAACGCGCATTCTACAGGAAATCGAGTTGGATCAGAGGCCAACGACCACCGAACTAGCTACGCCGCCACCTCCCGTCGAGGAGCTTCCAGTAGATGTCGAAAAGATCTACCCAAAAGACAGATTTCTGCAGGTCAGTGGCGCCATCACTGGGAGACCTCTCACAGACTTCCAATTTCAGGACAGGCTCAGAGATTTCCTTAACAGATTGGCGAAGGACTCCAAGAGTTTCGTGCACTACTACGTTGGTCCTCTTCCTCCAGATCAACAGGTGAGTGGTCCACATTCTCGAGCTTATCTAACCTTTTGTTACGTTTCAGGGAAGGGTACTCACCCGATTAGCCGATCAGACCGTAAGTACACCAAAAGCCGCGAGGGGTTTCCAGTTAAGCACTTTTCTTCCAGGATCCCTACGAACAAAACGTGGCCCTTGACCCAGACACGATAAAAAAGGTAATCTCGACCCTCGTCTACGCTTAGGTATTTTCACTGTCTTATTCTACAGGAAATCGAGTTAGACGAAGAGCGCCAGAGGCCTTCGCCTCCGGTCGAAAAACTTCCTTTAGATGCCGACAAGATCTTCCCACATGACAAAGACCTGCAGGTGAGTCGTGCTCGCATCCGAAGAATACTCAAGGATTTCAAATTTCAGAACAAGCTCCGGGACTTCCTTAACCGCCTGTCGAAGGATGCGAAGGTAAGTTCGGCCGTTGGTCAAGCACCACAGTCATGATGCGTTTTTTTAGAGTTTTGTGCATTACTACCTTGGCCCTCTGCCCCCGGACCAACAGGTGAGCTATTTCTGCTCCTAATACTTGGAGGATCTGGCGGAAAATTCGTTTATGATTGCTCTTGGTGACGGGATTACATAATGAACGTGGAGGTATTTCTCCAGTATCAGGAGCAATGTTTCAGCGCGATATTTTCTCTGTAAACATTTGTGCCAGGAGGAATTTCTGCCCCTAAATGATTGGAGCGCCTTCGGAAAATTCTTTTAGGTTTTCTATTGGTGGCAGGAATGCATAACAAACCTGAAGGTGTTTTTCTAGTATCAGGAGCAATGTTTCAACGCGGTGTTTTCACTGTAAACATTTGTGCCAGGAGGAATTTCTGCTTTTAAATGTTTGAAATACCTCCGGAAAATTCTTTCATGTTTCCTCTTGGTGGCAGGAATACATAATGAACGCGGATGGGTTTTGTAGTATCAGGAGCAATGTTTCAGTGCGGTATTTTCGCTGTAAACCTTTGTGCCAGAACGAATTTCTGCTCCTAAATGCTTGGAGAACCTTCGGAAAATTCTTTTAGGTTTTCTGTTGGTGGCAGGAATACATAATGAAAGTGAGGGTGTTCAGTATCAGGAGCATTTTTTCAGCGCGGAATTTTCGCTGCAAACGCCTATTTCTGCTCCTAAATGCTTGGAGTACCTTCGGATAATTCTTTTAGGTTTTCTCTTAGTGGCAGGAATACATAATAAACGTGGAGGTGTTTTCCTACAATCAGGAGCAATGTTTCAGAGCGATATTTTCGCTGTAAACATTTGTGCTGGGAGGAATTTCTGCTCCTAGATGCTTGGAGGATCTTCGGAAAATTCTTTTAGGTTTTCTTTTGGTGGCAGTAATACATAATGAACGTGGAGGTGTATTTCTAGCATCAGGAGCAATGTTTCAGCGCGGTGTTTTCGCTGTAAACATTTGTGACAGGAGCAATTTGTGCTCCTAAATGCTTGGAGGATCTTCGGAAAATTCTTTTAGGTTTTCTCTTGGTGGCAGGAAAACGTGGACGTGTTTTTCAAGTAGCAGGAGCAATGGTTCAGCGCGGTATTTTCGCTGTAAACATTTGTGCCTGGAGGAATTTCTGCTCCTCAATGCTTGAAACACCTTGGGAGAATTCTTTCAGGTTTTTTCTTGGTGGCAGGAATACATAGTGAACGTGGGGGTGTTTTTCTAGTATCAGGAAAAATGTTTCAGCACGATATTTTTACTGTAACCTTTTGTGCCTGCAGGAATTTCTGCTCCTAAATGCTTGGAGTATCTCCGGAAAATTCTTTTAGGTTTTCTCTTGGTGGCAGGAGTACATATTGAACGTGGAGGTGTTTTTCTAGTATCAGAAGCAATGTTTCAGCGCGGAATTTTCGCTGTAAACATTTGTATCAGGAGGAATTTCTACTCCTAAATGCTTGAAGAACCTTCGGGAAATTCTTTAAAGTTTTCTCTTGGTGGCAGGAACACATAATGAATGTGGAGGTGTTTTTCTAGTAGCCGCAGAAATGATTTAGTGGTAGTACCTTGGGTAATGGGTATCTATTGGAGTAGATTTTCTCCACCTACCAGAACCACAAACTATCTAATTTTGTTATGTTTCCCAGGGAAGAGTACTTTCTCGTCTCGCTGATCAAGTTGTAAGTATACGGTAGTCTCCTGTTCCGGGATAACCTCCTCTGTTCCAGGATCCCTACGCTCAAGACGTACACCTAGACCCTGACACCATAAGAAAGGTAATCGCAACGGTCACCTTCTAATAAATTCTCATTCGCGAACCGTGCAGGAAATCGAGTTAGACCAAGAGAGACAGAGACCCCCACCTCCCGTCGACGAGCTTCCCGTTGATATCGACAAAATCTTCCCACAAGATAGAGACCTGCAGAACAGACTCAGAGACTTCCTCAACAGACTGACGAAGGACACCAAGGTGAGTGCATTCACCAGGAGACAAACCTCAACCTGCTTCCCTTCAGAGTTTCGTACGCTACTACCTCAGCCCTCTGCCTCCGGACCAACAGGTGAGTGGAACCGGTCTCGAAGCTGCCTAACCCCGTCTCCTCCCCTAGGGTAGGGTACTTGCTCGTCTCGCTAATGGAGTTGTAAGTAAATGCGACCGTCTCTTTCTACGAAGCTAACCGATTTCTCTTCCCTTAGGATCCCTACGATCAGAACGTGGTCCTTGATCCTGAGACCATAAGGAAGGTGACTTAATCTACTTCGATTATCAGACTGCACTTTCATTTCGAGTTTTTGTAGGCTATTGAAGCGGATAATCGGCCGGAAGGAAGTGGAACCGTGAGTGTTATAATCGTTTCTATAGAATTCGTAAGGTCAATGTCATCCTGCCGTTGAAATTTTTAATTAGAACGCAGTTAATATAAATAAAGTACCTTCCCAACATTACGTAATTAGTCAGAGCCTAATTAATTTTTGTACCAAAGGATAATTCTAGCTGATAAGAAAGATTACGTAAAGTGCGAATCTGAGACAATTTTTCGCGTCCCTCTATAGCGCATCACTCACCTTTCTGCTTCCAGATTTTAGTTCCCAGATTCCATCTTCCTGCTTCTGGCATCCAGTCTCTACTTTCAGATTCTGACTTCAAGTGTTCCGGTTTTTCGGTTCCCAGTAACGTTTACAATTTTCTGGATTTATACGATTTCAGCCTTCCTTGTGTCAAGGTGCGTCTTTGTTGAAACGCGTAGCTTCCATTTCTCTATTGCCAAGTTCCATCTTTTTGCTTCCAACATCTTCCAGTGAGCCCTAGTGAGTTTTGAGTTCTCAGATGTGTCCGCAATTTGGATTCCCCTAGGTCAGGGCTCGTATTCGTGGTCTATAAATTTGAGAGGAATGGTCAGTGGTCCTAATTATTCAAATAGAATTGTCTTACGTTCCGCCTATATTGAGAATGTTTCCTTATTGTATTTATACGACTTCAGCTTTCCTTATGTCACGGTGCGCCTTTGTTGATAATGTATTAATTACTTCAGAGATAAAAGTTCACCAGTTTCGGTGTGACCCAGCTCAGAACCACCTTAGTTTTAAACCTACGATAAAATAAATGACCTTGAACTTGGCGCATGCGCTTAAATTGGCCTTACCTAGGCACTCTTAAGTCACTTTTCGCTTTCAAAAAACCCAAGGTCAAGACCCCAGTTTTTGCGGTGTCAGGGTTTAATGCCCTCATTTTTGTCATACTTTATTTAATTTTCAAGGTCACTGGCTCCATTTTTTAGGATGTCATATTGCATTTTCCAGGTTATCCTAATGACGTTCACCTCTTTGCTGTGTCATATTCTCCTTTCAATATCATCAGAGGTGGACGGCCCCCTTGTTGTGGTGTCATATTCTATTTTCAAAGGTCGATGACCCTATTTTTGTTCATTTTAAAAGTCATAAAAGGTCAAGTGTCTCATATTTGTGGTGGCATTTCATTTTCTTAGTTATCAAACTCCAATAACCCCTATTTTTGAGGTGTCAAGTTTCTTTTCCAAGGTCAATAAAGGAAATGACGCCATTTTTGTGGTGTCATATTTCATTTTCAAGGTTACCAAAATTTAATAACCTTGGTTGCGGCGCCATATTTTATTATCAAGGTCAATGAAAGGCAATGGCACCATTTTTGTGTGTCATATTTCATTTTCAAGATCTAGACCTTGGACCCCAGTTTTGCGGAGTCGTATATAAGGTGCCGAACTGACCTGTAGGTTATTCACGACCAAATAGGGTCATTGACCTTGGACGACCTTGGAAGTTAAACTGGATTTGACGCAGGAAGCTCATTTACTTCTGATGAAAAAATGATATTGAACTTTGATAACCATGAAAATAAAAGTACATGACACCATAAAAAGGTGTCATTGACCTCTGATGACATTGAAAGTAGAACATGACACCACTAAGAAGTGGAGGTTATAGCACTTGGATAACCTTGAAAATGAAATATGACGTCACAAGAAATGTAAGCCATTGACCTTGAAAATATAACCAGATAACAAAAATGGAACTTTGATGACCTTGAAAATAAAATATATGACCTTTGGTTTTTTATGAAACAGAAATACGACAAAAAATGGCGTCATTGACCTCCGATGACCTTGAAAGCGAATGCCCTTGAGCAGAATCTTAACTTACTATCCAAGGTGATCGACACGTGGCACGCGATCCTTTAGCTCCACCTTGAACTACTTTCCAAAGTCACCACCAGGTGGCGAGCGCCCGACGAATGTAATTATTTTTTTCCACTTAGGAAGTACCTCACGTGGACCTTCCATTAGACGTAGATCGAATTTATCCTCACAACAAAGTCCTCCAGGTAAGCAACCCTGTACGGATTTGTGCCCCAATTTTTATACCAAATTGCAGAACGTAGTCAAGGACTTTTTGGAACGGCTGTCCGATTACTCAAAGGTGAGCGTAGATCAAACCTTCTAATCGCCACTAACCCTCAAATTTTGTAGAACCTGGTACGAATGTATCTTGGTAACCTGCCACCCAAGCAGCAGGTGAGTACACGCCCTTATCCCTCGACTCCTAATGTCTTTTGTTTTAGGGACGAGTTCTTCTTCGCCTTTCCGCGCCAATTGTAAGTATAAAAGTAACCGGGTCGAGGCGTAACCACAGCCTTCCAATAGGATTCGTCCGAGAAGGACATCGTGCTCGATTCCGACATCATACGAAAGGTAACCTAGGCACTAGCCCTCGCGATGTAAACAATTCGTGTTGCAGGAGATCGGGTTGGACAAAGGTGGTAAGAAGGTGCCGGAAACCGTAAGTAAAAGCTCTTGGTCGCACCCCGGGGGGTGAGCCTCAGGTAACTCTCTTGCAGACCGCCGAACCACCGGTGGATGTCGAGCGAATTCACCCCCAAAGCAAGGAGCTGCAGGTAAGTGATCCCATTGGCGACCCTCTCCGCTTTGACCCAGATTTCTAGAACAAGACCAAACAGTTCCTGGACAGACTGACGAAGGACTCATCCGTAAGTATCTAAAATCAGCCGCGGTAAGTTAGCACGGCGTGTCCTTAGAACCTGGTGCGGCAACACCTCGGCGACCTGAGCCCTGCGCAACAAGTAAGTTGTCCTCCGCAAGGTGGCGCTTTTTAACCGATCTTTTAGGGAAGAGTGTTGGACCTCCTGTCCGACCCGATTGTAAGTATTAAAGTTGCGAGAAAAGCTTAACGCGGCACTTCCCTCAGGATCCTAGGCAGGAAAACGTAACCTTGGATTCGTACACGATAATGAAGGTAACTTGCCTCTTAAACCAAACCGCTCGAACTGTGCCTCCACTTTCAGGCGATTGACATCGACAATGAGAACTTCAAGGAGCACTACAAAGCCGTAAGTATATCGGAAGCTTCAGCGCAGAGTTCCTCATCCTGAACCCCTTCCCCCTCTCCAAACAATGTTATTACTTTTTCTTGTGAAACTAGGACAGACCGCCAGTGAACGTGGAGAAAATTTACCCCGAAAACTTGGACTTACAAGTGAGTCACTACGTGACGTGTGTCATGTGCTATATATCTATTTTAGGATAAAGTCAGGGACTTCTTGGACCAACTCTCGAAGGACTCACAGGTAGAGACTCCTCGTGACGAAGTGATTGTAATTGTCTGATCTACAGGACTTGGTCGGAGAGTACTTAGGCAATCGGACGTCAGAGCAACAGGTGCGTGACTCTAGCAAAGGGCCCCATCTCATCTTTATTTTTAGGGGCGTGTCCTTCTAGAGCTCGCCAAACCAATCGTAAGTATCCCGCACAACTTTGTCCATCGGCACATGCATTTCATTGGCAGAACCCTGTGCTAAACAACGTGACTTTGGACGCGGAGACGATAAAGAAGGTAAACCTACTTGGTGTCATTGGAATTTTAAGCCTTATTTGATTTAGGCAATCGAATTGGACGAAAGGAACCAATCGAAGAGTACGGAGGAGGTACCGACCACTGCTCCGACGACTGACACTACACCAAAGATGACTTCGAGCGCAAAAGTAAGTAATTTAATTAGCTAACCGTCAAAGCTTACACATTTTCTCCAAATTAGACACCATCGCCGCATACGCTCGAGAATTTGTTCCCAGCCAAACCAGATATACAGGTAAGAAATCTACTAATCGTCGGAGGGGGGAGGGATCAAATTAAGTGGGGAAAGGTGTCGTAATTCTACTGACGTCTGCATATACTAATAATCTTAAAAAACAGGGAAACAGACAGACCGACAAACCGACAGACCGACATACCGACAGATCCACATCATCGAGATTTTGTCTGATTCGAATTCCTGGTGCTTTAAAACGTGTATTTCCGTCAAAAAAGTGGGTGGGGGGGTCATTTTTATCCCAATGTAATACCTCCCTTACTAACGTGCAGGTGGTAAAAAATTTATGACCATTGTGGTGGTGTTTTGGAAATGGAAATTAGGGGTTCACACTCTCTTTCATAAACTCATAAACAGTATGCTTCTATACCCCCTCCCCCCCCCCCGGCCCCAGTGACGCTGTTTATTCTTCAGGACTCGCATGAATGTTGCGGAACGAAAATTACATCCTCTTGGTGAGAACGTACCACCGGTGGGTCTAGGGATCTGGATGGAACTGTCGTGTGTACTGGGTTTTCATACCTCCTCCCCCCCCCCCCCCCCCCCAAACTCCCAGATAGCACTTTCACAATTTGTTTATCCTCCAGGGCTGGCATGAAAGATGTTGGAGAAGGAGTATGAGATCCTCTTCCTCGTATAGCTAAGAGCGTATCACCTGGGGGCCCGGGGAGTAGTATGTACTGGGGGTTCCATACCCTCCAGACCCGCCGGTAACACACAAACGGTGTATCCTTTAGGGCTCGCGTGACAATTGTTGCGGAAAAATTATTAGGTCCCCTTCTGCGTAGGGCAAAGAATCACAGGGGGTTTAACCCCCCCCCCCTCCCCGCAATTGAAAAATCGATGAGCATTTCCGGAAAATTATATTAAAAGCGACGCGCGTTTAATAACGTCCAGGAGACAAGGACACCCCTACAACCTTAGTGCCCTTGTTGTGTCCTGTCGTGTGCACTGAGAGTTATTAAAAACCCCCCGTAGCCCCCCATACCCTCCTCCGGTAACATTTCTTTCTATTAACCTTTTAGCCTTAAGGGACTCGGATGACAGTTGTTGGGGATTTACGATAAGTATAGAATACTACCCAGCACCAAAAGAGACGATGGTTTTCCGAAAAATGATTGAACCATGTCCTCCACAAAATTATGCTCTCTTAATACAAAACTCATTTTCAAAGCTACTTCGTCAGGATCATTGGCCTGAACCCCACACATTGCGCCCTTCTGGTACTAGAATCTCTTCAAACAACATTTGGATCAAGATCACAGAAATGAACGTCTATTATACGAAGGCATACGCCCCGTCATACCAGACCCACTGTGATCACTGAAAAGTCAAGTTAGCGAATTAGCTCGCTTACCAAATTCTCTTTTAAAATGATTCCATCAGGTTCACAGAAACGCAAGAATCTCTCAATTGATAACAATAAATTATCATTGCTCTCCTGGTACCAAATTCTCATAAATCTACAAGTAATTGTCATTAAATTCCCCTCATGGGTCATGTGACCAAGTTCTCATCAAGGAATCATTGCACCATAGAAATGGAAACACATTGAACCATGCCACCTCAATAGTTATGTTCTCCTAATACGAAATCTTCAAAGCTTCCTCATAAGGTTCACAGGAACACAAAGGGGCGTAATTGTATCAGGATCACAGAAACATAAATCCATTCAACCAACTACTCTTAAGTTTAAGACTCTCGTTTTCTCTTCCACATTGTGCGCTCCTATTACCGACCTCTTCAAAATTCTGCTCTCCTAATACAAAACTCATTTTCAAACCTACTTCATCAGGCCTATACCGGCGTAGACACCACATATTGTGTTCTTCTGAATCAGATTCCCTTCAAACAATATTTGGATCAAGATCACAGGAATGAGAGTCTATTTTACGACGGCCTTTTCAACTTCTACGCTCCGTCATACCAAATTTTTTTTCAAAAATTGCTCCACTGGGATCACTGAAAAGTAAAGTTAGCGAATTACCTACCTCATTTAACAGCAAATTCTCTTTAAAATGATTCCATCAGGTTTACAGAAGCGTAAGACTGTCAGTTGATAACAATTTATTATCACTGCTCTCCTGGTACCAAACTCTCATAAATCTACAATTAATTGACATTAAATTCCACTACTTATGTTGCCATGTGGCCATGTACTCATTAAGAAATCGTTGCACCATAGAGACGGAAACTCATTCAACCGAGCCATCTCAGGGGTTATGTTCTCCTAATTCGAAATCTTCAAGGCTTCATCACAAGGTTCACTAGAACACAATACATACGGAATCTTCAAAGCTTCCTCATAAGGTTCACATGAACACAAAGAGGCGTAATTGTATCAGAATCACAGAAACATAAATCTATTCAACGAAATACTCTTAAGTTAAATGCTCTCGTTTTCTCTTTCACATTGTGCTCTCTTATTACCGACCTCTTCAAAATTATGCTCTCCTAATACAAAACTCATTTTCAAAACCTACTTCATCAGGACTACTGACGTAGACACCACATATTATGTTCCTCTATTACCAGATTCCCTTCAAACAATATTAGGATCAAGATCACAGGAATGAGAGTCTATTTTACGACGGCCTTTCAAGTTCTACCCTCCGTCACACCAAATTTTTTTTCAAAAATTGCTCCAATGGGATCCCTGACAAGTAAGGTTAGCGAATTAGCTCGCTTAACAGCAAATTCTCTTTAAAATGATTCCATCAGATTTACAGAAACGCAAGAATCTGTCAATTGATAACAATTTATTATCATTGCTCTCCTGGGACCAAATTCTCATGAAGAAATGATTACATCTGCAATTAATTAATAGACATAGACTTATGCAACATAGAAGCGGAAACCCATTGAATCATGCCATCTTAGCAGTTATGTTCTCCTAATACGAAATCTTCAAAACTTCATCATTAGGTTTACAGGAACACAAGGAAGCGTAATTAGATAACAGATAACAAATTCCCATCAAAAGGTTATTGTATCGGGATCACAGAAACAGGAATCTATTGAACGAAACACTCTCATGTGCTCCTTGTAAAAAACTCTTATCAAGAAACCAACACATCGTGACTACAAAAAGATATTTTTATTGAACCAACCCTTTCAAGGTTTTGTGCTTTCCCAAGATGGAATCCTCTTTTTAAAACGTTCTGTCAGGATCACAGAAGAGCAAGAAGATGTAATTAAAAACAAAGTATTAAATATAGATGTATTGTACCAAATCGTCTCAGGTACTAGCTCTTGTGGACTCCAGGTGGCTCATTCCCTTCAAAAATTAGTCTCGTTAAGACCTTAGATCTCCACAAACATTATGCTTCCCTAATACCATTTTCTTACAAATCCATTAATGTCAGGATCACATAAATGAAAGCAGGTACGCGTATGTTTAGTGAAATATAGGTACTCGCTCCTTTTTATTGTCTAATACTGCTTCACAATTTCTATTATCAGGATATCAGAAGTGCTATAAGGTAAACAGGAACATTTTCAAATACTGTGATCCAATGAACTGTTACATATTATGCTCCCCTAATAACCTTCTCGCGTATTCGCTTCTGAATCACTCTCCAAATATTATCAGGATAACAGAAATGAAGGTGGACGTTCAGGTTACTTCTGTTTCAGGAACACGTGGAAAAGTTCTGGTACAACCTGACTCCGGCATCTCAGGTGAGCTATCGCCGTAGTACACAACTCGGCCATGGTCCTATACATTTCTTCTTCCAGACCACACTACGCAACAGCGTTTGCAACTTGAAACCGGAAAAGCAGCGCCGCATCCTCGTCTACCTAACACGCGTCAGCGAGGCGAGAACGGTACGTAACCCAAACGACCCCTAAGATCTCACTTAAAGATCTGTTTAGAATCAAAATGGGGAGAAAATGATGTTACACAACGACTCCGTCGAAAAGGTTGTCCTCATGGACGACAAGGGTGAACTTGGTGAGGCTCAGAAGGTAAGTACCTCCCAGGGGATGGAGAACCAAAAACGCATCCGTTGAGTTTTAGATCATCGACGACGGTAAATGGCCTGATGAACCCCTGGACGTAAGTGACGGTTTTTGAAGGGCCAACCTAATGCTTTTTGTTTTCAGGATGGTTCAATCGACGGTTCCGGTTCCAGCGGGCGAATTGTGCACGTGGCCTGTCTCAGTATTCTTGCGGTGGTGTGGCTCATAGTTTAAGTAGGTTAAGCGAATTGTTTTTATTATCTAAAACTGTTAAATATAAAATCACTAAAAGATACACCTGCATATTGGCAAAGAGGCCACGTCTGGGGTTGATGTGGTTGTAACTTCTTCCGCTACAGTGGTGGTGGGTACCACCGTCGTTGTGTCAGGTGCCACTTCTGTCGTTGTGGCATTCTCACCGTCAGCTGCGCCTAATCCGAGAAAAATTAAATCAGCACCCGACCCAAAGATCTTACCCTCTCTCGTTGCCAGCCCGGGAACCTCAAGGGTAGTTTGTGCAATGTACGTTTCCAATATGGGGGGTGGAAGCAGAAGTACGTTCGGAGGTAGGTCCGAATTATTTGGTGTTATTATGGGCTTAGGCACCACCAGACCCTGAAACCGTTTCCGTCGGTACGCTTACAAGCTCAAGGTTTACTTACCAAGAGACTTAAGAGCACGAGGACCCGAACCGAACCCATAGCGACAACGGTACTTTTGGTACTACGAAACGGGACGCTGCTGTAACAATAAAGTGGCTGTTTGTTATGATTTTCATAGCTAATTTCATCGCATTATTACATAAAATGTGGACATTAGAAAGTGAGCTAAACGATCATCGAGCTTGCGTGAAACACATTGTGCACAAAGGTCACTTAAGGTCGACCATTTTGTTTACACGCGCAAAGTAGGCTGAGGACGCGGATAATTGGGGTACTTCACGCAAGATTAATACTCAACAGAGAAACAAAGGGAGCGACCACTAATAGCGACGGGTACACTTACTCCGTGAAAATCTCTGTAAAGGCTTTTCTAAGAAGACTTTTTAGAGCCTTTAAATCAGGGCCTAAGAGACGTTTCGGGATTTCAATATTAAGTACCTAGCCTTAAGGTTCAAATTAGAAAATCAATGTCTCAGTAGAGAACTGGGACACCGGTGAAGACCTTTGAAGAGCAAGCGTAAAGGCTTTTAGTGATCTTAAAAAACCAATAAAGTCACTTAGACTTTTAAACATTCCTAAAGCTCCTTGCAGACCTTTACATGCTTTATATAAATACATGAGCCTCGTACAGGGTTCCGAAAGCGTTTCAAAATTTACAATGTCGGTACTATAAGACCTTCAAAAACGACTAAAGGCCTGTTGCAAAATCAAAATTAATCTTAGACGGCCACAGAACCCATTGAAGAGGGAAAACATGATGTTCATAGACTCCTGATGAACAATAAGGTTTCTTAAAGGTGTTTGAAAGTCCTTAGTGTTTGCTGCAAAGGCTCACAAAAACCTTTGTAGACCTTGTACCGGTTTTGAAACTGTTTTAAAATCTTCAAAACTAATTAAGGGGATCTTATAGAGCCTTAGATACCTTTAAAGGCCCGGCAAAACTCTTGTCCCTTCAAAATTTACAACTCGCTTACTCATAAGGGTTAATAAAGTCCCTCGAAATGGTTAATGGGTTGTTTGAGAAGCAATGTCTCACTAGAGGGCCCAAGAGACCATTGAAGACCTTTGGAATTAGGTGACTCATGAGGGTTCTTAAGTTGCCATTAGAGAACAATAAATCTTCTTAAAGGCTTCTAAAGGTTCTTAATTTATATTATATCTCGAGATATTACGGTTTGTCAGAATTTTTGGTCGAAATTTCAAACCGTAATATCTCGAGAACGGCGCGTCGTAGATATGCCTTCCGACCCTTCGTTGGAAAGGTCTCGGCCAGCGCTATCGATTGGCGCTGTCAGAATTTCGACAAAAAATTCAAAGGGCTGTAACTTTTGATCTAGTAGCTCGATCTTGGAGCTGTTTGAAATTATGGACTCTAAAGGCCACATTCTATAAGAAAATTTTTTTCCGGGTCGATCTGAGACAATTTTTTTTTCGGGGCTCAAAAAAAGGCAGTGTATAACCTTCCTTTTTACCAAAAAACGACTGCACCAAAATTTCTCGGGAAAAAACTTTTTCTTATTAATTTTGGTGCGTAGAATCCAAAACGATTCGTACTTTTTCGATCAGACCTCTCAATCAAAGCTTATAGACTAGAAACCAATTTCGAAAGAAAATTCAAAGGGCTGTAACTTTTGAACTAGTAGCACAATCTAGGAACTGTTTGAAATTATGGATTCTACAGGCCACATTCTATAAGAAAATATTTTTTTCCGGTCGATTTGAGACAATTTTTTTTTCGGGCCAAAAAAAAGGCAGTGTATAAACCGAGGTATAAACCTTCCTTTTTTACCAAAAATCGACTGCACCAAAATTTGTCGGAAAAAAACTTTTTCTTATTAATTTTGGTGCGTAGAACCCAAAACGATTCGTACTTCCGGGTGTCTTACGCTCGTCGAAAAAGGGGTGTTGGGTCTGAAAGCTTGACGATCTTTTTAATGGTTACAAAAACCTTGAACATCTTTGACGGCTCTTCAAAGGGCTTTCATCATGGTCAATAAAACTTTAAATTGGGGCGAAGATCCTTAAAAATTGTCTCAGAATCCCAAAGGCTTTTTAATTTTCTCAAGAATTCTGGAGGGTATCACAGGATTCCCGTAGTATGTTTATATACAATGTGCCCCGTAGAACGCGCCCTTGAAACTAGCGTTTAAGATGCTACTACCATCTTTCTAGCACCAGGCAAGCGTAATAACGTACGTTGAAAGCTAATTTCAAGTACATATCAAAGGCCTCGTGCATCTTTCGCATAAAAATACATTAGTTCTGTTTGCCTATGATGCGTAGAACCTGCGACACCCGGTATAAAACATGATATATGCCGAACTCACCTTCGACTCGCTAGGCCTTAGTAGGTATAACCTTAATTGCACTTAGAAAGAGTCTTCAAAATGAATGTTTTAGGCACTCTTAAAGGTTATTAAAGGCTATAAGGTCATAAAAAACTGTTAGAAAAAGCTTTTTATAGGATAAAAATCCACCTAGACGGTTCGACAGTAAGTTGTGGGGACCATTCTATATAGAATCCTCTTAAATCTTCTTAAAGTTTCTTGAAGATCCTTATAGACCCTTAAGCGCTATTAAAACGCAAAGCATATTCAAGGATATTTCAAGGCTCTTGAAGTTCTTGAAGATCTTTAAAGACATCTTATCGTTCGAATTTTGTTTTCTATAAGACGAAATAATTGTAGAGTGCGTGTGCTTTATTGACTATCCGTTACGGGGTTATGCGGCCGTCATTTACATGAAACTCGATCTTGGACTTCTCTCGCCAGATGGAGGACCATTCGGTGGTCGGTCTCCAGGACCAGGATGTTGATTGTCATTTTGGGCATTAATCTAAATTGTAAATTTTACAATCAAAAACGAACAGATAGATCTCGCTTACCCCAAAAACGAAGACCAGAAAGAACGCCAATAGATAGAACAGCTTCATGATTTTGATATCGAATGCGTTCCATTGTAGCTTATATAGGGAGAAGGACTATATACCGGATGTTATGCAGATCGCAATTAACAGTACAAGGTCTGTATGGCATTGTTTAGGCGCATTCAGTGTGCCGTGGTACTTATTGCACCTGCTCAGGTGCATCGCTAATTGTATGAAAAATCGTGTGTTGATAAAAAACAAGGCATCATCTAAATCGACCTTTGGTGCTATCCAACCTTTTTAAACTCTCTCATTGGCCTTTCAGTAAAGGTCCCTCCAAGTGTCTTGAGAGGCATTGGAAAATCTTCGAGAACCATTCAAAGGATTTATGAGACTTGAAGGACTTACAAAGCTTTTGAAGGCCTCTAGAAGATTTCCGAAGGCCACTCAAGACACTTTTAGATTCACCTGTCCCTACCAAATCATTTTAAATTTTAAAAACAATCATCAGGGGTCTTGATGGTGTTTCAATTGATGCTAATTCATTTTCTTTTGAAATTTTGAAAGTATACAATGATTTCGCCCTCGGCTCTGATCGTTATTTCATAGTCGATCCTCTTCAACCTCAGAGTCTGAAGAGTCTGAAGGGTCTGAAGAGTCTGAAGAATCTGAAGAGTCGGAAGAGTATGAAGAGTCTGAAGAGTCTGAAGAGTCTGAAGAGTCTGAAGAGTCTGAAGAGTCTGAAGAGTCTGAAGAGTCTGAAGTCTCTGAAGAGTCTGAAGAGTCTGGAGGGTCTGAAGGGTCTGAAGGGTCTGAAGAGACTGAAGAGTCTGAAGAGTCTGAAGAGTCTGAAGAGTCTGAAGAGTCTGAAGGGTCTGAAGAGACTGAAAAATCTGAAGAATGTGAGGAATCAGAGGTGCCTGAGGGATTTGAGGAATCTGAAGAGAATCTGCAAAGAAGCTAAACAAAATCTGAAAGAAATCTGAAGAATATTTTAAAGGAATCTAAGGAAAATCTGATGAAAACCTGAACAGAATCTGAAAAGACTGTGAAGAGAATCTGAGGAAACTCTTAGGAGAATCTGAAGAGAATCTAAAGAAAATCTTAAGAAAATCAAAAGAGACTCTGAATAGAATCTGAGGAATATCTGAGGAGAATCTTAGGTAAATTCTAAGGAGAATCTGAAGAGAACCTCTGATAAATATCTGAAGAGTTTCTGAAAATAATCTTAGGAAAATTTGAGGAGAATCGGATGAGAATCTTAGGAAAATCTGAAAGGAAGCCAAGGAAAATCTGAGAATCTGAACAGAGTTTGAAGAAAATCTAAAGAGAATCTGAGGAGGATCTGAAGAGAATCTGAAGAGAATCTGAAGAGAATCTGAAGAGAATCTGAAGAGAATCTGAAGAGAATCTGAAGAGAATCTGAAGAGAATCTGAAGAGAATCTGAAGAGAATCTGAAGAGAATCGGAAGAGAATCTGAAGAGAATCTGAAGAGAATCTGAAGAGAATCTGAAGAGAATCTGAAGAGAATCTGAAGAGAATCTGAAGAGAATCTGAAGAGAATCTGAAGAGAATCTGAAGAATAATCTGAAAGAGAAATCTGAAGAGAAATCTGAATCTGAAGAGAATCTGAAAGAGAACTGAAGAGAATCTGAAGGAATCTGAAGAGAGAATCTGAAGAGAATCTGAAAGAGAATCTGATAGAGAATCTGAAGAGAGAATCTGAAGAGAATCTGAAGAGAATCTGAAGAAGAATCTGAAGAGAATCTGAGAGAATCTGAAGAGAATCTGAAGAGATCTGAAGAGAATCTGAAGAGAATCTGAAGAGAAAGAAGAATCTGAAGAGAATCTGAAGAGAATCTGAAGAGAATCTGAAGAGAATCTGAAGAGAATCTGAAGAGAATCTGAAGAGAATCTGAAGAAGAGAATCTGAAGAGAATCTGAAGAGAATCTGAGAGAATCTGAAGAGAATCTCGAAGAGAATCTGAAGAGAATCTGAAGAGAATCTGAAGAGAATCTGAAGAGAATCTGAAGAGAATCTGAAGAGAATCTGAAGAGAATCTGAAGAGATCTGAAGAGAATCTGAAGAGAATCTGAAGAGAATGAAGAGAATCTGAAGAGAATCTGAAGAGAATCTGAAGAGAATCTGAAGAGAATCTGAAGAGAATCTGAAGAGAATCTGAAGAGAATCTGAAGAGAATCTGAAGAGAATCTGAAAAGAATTTGAAGATAAGGAACTGAAGAGACTGTGAAAAGAATGTGAGGAAAATTTGAGGAGAACCTGAATAGAATCTTAGGAAAATCTGAAGGAAAACCAAAGAAAATCTGAGGAGAATCTAAAGAAAGCCCAAGAGGAACCTGAAGAGAATCTGAAGAAAACTTTTGACAAAGAGCTGAAGAGGAAATCTGAGGAAAATTTGATGAGAATCTGAGGAGAATCTGAAAAGAATCTTAGGAAAATCTGAAAAGAGGCCGAAGAAAATCTGAGGAAAGTTTGAGGAGAATCTGAAGAAAATCTAAGAAGATTCTGAGAAGATTCTGAATGTAATCTGAAAAAAACCTGAAGAGAATCTGAAGAGAATCTTTGATAAGGATCTGAAGAGACTGTGAAGAGAATCTGAGGAAAATTTTAGGAGAATCTGAGTAAAATCTGAAAAGAAGTCGAAGAAAATCTGAGGAAAGTCTAAAGAAAATCTGAAAAGAACCTGAAGAGAATCTGAAGAGAATCTTTGATAAGGAGCTGAAGAGACTGAAAAGAACATGAGGAAAGTTTGAGGAGAATCTGAGGAGAATCTGAAGAAAATCTTAGGAAAATCTAAAAGGAAGCCGAAGAATATCTGAGGAGAATCTGAAAAGAACCTTACGAGAATCTGAAGAGAATCTTTGATTAGGATCTGAAGAAACTGTGAAGAGAATCTGAGAAAAATTTGAGGAGAATCTGAAGAAAATCTAAGGAGTATCTGAGAAGATTCTGAAGATAACATGAAAAGAACCTGAATAGAATCTGCAGAGAACCTTTGATAAGGAGCTGAAGAGATTGTGAAGACAATCTGAGGAAAATTTGAGGAGAATCTGAAGAGAAACTGAATAAAAACTAAGAAGAACCTGAGGAGAATCTGAAGATAATCTGAAAAGGACCTGAAGAGAATCACAAGAAAACGTTTGATATGGAGCTGAAGAGACTCTGGAGAGAATCCGAGGAAAATTTGAGGAGAATCTGAGGAGTCTGAAGAGTCTGAAACGGAAATGGGTCTTAGGAAAATTTGAAGGACAGCATAAGAAAATCTGAGGGAATCTTGGATAAGGAGCTGAAGAGAATCTGAGAAAAGTTTAAGGAGAATCTGAGGAGGATCTGAAGAAAATCTTAGGAAAATCTAAAGGGAACCCGAAGAAAATCTGGGGAGAATCTGAAGAAAATCTGAATATAATCTGAAAAGAACCCGGCGAGAATCTGAAGAGAATCTTTGATTAGGATCTGAAGAGACTGTGAAGAGAATCTGAGAAAAATTTGAGGAGAATCTGAAGAAAATCTAAGGAGAATCTGAAGAAAATCTGAAGATAATCTGAAAAGGACCTGAAGAGAATCAGAAGAGAACGTTTGATAAGGAGCTGAAGAGACTCTGAAGAGAATCTGAGGGAAATTTGAAGATAATCTGAAAAGGACCTGAAGAGAATCAGAAGAGAACGTTTGATAAGGAACTGAAGAGACTCTGAAGAGAATCTGAGGGAAATTTGAAGAGAATGTGAGGAGTCTGAAGAGTCTTAATCGGAAATGAGTCTTAGGAAGATTTGAAGGAAAGCGTAAGAAAATCTGAGGGGAATCTTTGATAAGGAGCTGAAGAGACTGTGAAGAGAATCTGAGAAAAATTTGAGGAGAATCTGAAGAAAATCTAAGGAGAATCTGAAGAAAATCTGAAGATAATCTGAAAAGGACCTGAAGAGAATCAGAAGAGAACGTTTGATAAGGAGCTGAAGAGACTCTGAAGAGAATCTGAGGGAAATTTGAAGATAATCTGAAAAGGACCTGAAGAGAATCAGAAGAGAACGTTTGATAAGGAACTGAAGAGACTCTGAAGAGAATCTGAGGGAAATTTGAAGAGAATGTGAGGAGTCTGAAGAGTCTTAATCGGAAATGAGTCTTAGGAAGATTTGAAGGAAAGCGTAAGAAAATCTGAGGGGAATCTTTGATAAGGAGCTGAAGAGACTGTGAAGAGAATCTGAGAAAAATTTGAGGAGAATCTGAAGAAAATCTAAGGAGAATCTGAAGAAAATCTAAGGAGAATCTGAAGAAAATCTGAAGATAATCTGAAAAGGACCTGAAGAGAATCTGAAGAGACCGTTTGATAAGGAGCTGAAGAGACTCTGAAAAGAATCTGATGAAAATTTGAGGAGAATCTGAGGAGGATCTGAAGAGAGAAATTTAAAGGGAATGTGAGGAAAATCAAATCAGGTTCTGAAGAGAATCTTAGCAAAATCTGAAAGGAAGCCGAAGAAAATCTGAGGAGAATCTGAAGAGAATCTGAAGATTATCTGAAAGGAATCTAATGAGAATTTGAATACGTTATGATCCTGAAAAGGGCATATGTGGCAATTGTTCTTCCGGTACAATTAGTAACAATCGATTTAGTTACCAATGGCCATGATTATACCTGTTATGTTTATGATCAAATACAATACGCGATGCAATTACCCTTGCAAGCGTGACCGTAGCCTTGCACATTCTCGGTATTTGCAATGGGGGCATTCCTGGCAACGTAATTGACCAGCATGACTGTACATTAAATTCGTTATATAAACCACTGATGGGTATATTATCAAGCATACCACAGTGAAACAGCTTCACGTGCTTGGACTTCTGCTCATCCTCGGCCTTGGGGTAAGAGTGATTTTACTTGCTAAGAATGCACTAAATTTTATTGCCAGGTCCGCGCCCAAACTCAAAGTGATAAGCCCGTGTGCGGACCGCCACCTGGAGGCCCACCACCGAATGGTCCACCGCCGAATGGACCTCCGCCGGATTGCGTTCCACCGAGTGGTCTCCCACCAACAAATTCTCCTTCATAGTAGCTCTGTTATAAAAAAAATCCGCCAAACTACCAATTCAAATTTCGTGACTTAATGACTTTGATTTGTTCATTTAGAATCAAACATTACATTGTTTACTAAGATAGATTAAATTATCTGGCCAGCAGGAATATTTTTAGTTTTGTTTAAGAACTTCTTTTTTTCCTGAAGCAAGGTTCATAGGACGTTATTGTAGTCGAGCAAGCTACAGAGGGGCAGGCTATGGGGTAGTAAACCAAAACAAAGCATTCCACCATTAAGGTTCCATTCCTGCTTTCGGAACGGGTTCGTTTTTTGCCATAATAAATAAATTTTACAATAAACAATTAGGTAACATTCACTACACAATTAATCAACAATAAATTAATAAAAATTCCTGGCGAACTCTTGCATTCTGTTGGGGTTCTGTAAAAAAAAGGGTAACATGTGGCTCGCCCAGTTTCCGTATGACGCACCTCGGGGCCGCTATAAGGGCTTGCCAGGAAATAGCCCAGTTCGTACTGAAAAATTATCTTATACAGCCCTTGTACTCTGGCCCAAGTACTTACCTGAGCTTGTGGAGATAAGGGCGGCGAATTCTGAAGGATTTTGAACGCCTCTTTCTGAAAAGTTATGGCGGTGTTACTTACCCTACGGGGGAAAGCTTAAGACGTACCTTTGAGGCGCGATCCAACTGGTTGACGAAGTCGTGTATTTGTTCCTTCAAAGAGAAGAAGTCATTGTGTACCTCCACCCCTTGGGGCGACCTACCTGTAGTTCCCCGTTATCTGGAGCTATGTAATCCAAGTCGATTTCTTGGGACTCATGGGTGTTATCGTCCGGTCTTTGAGCCTAGTTGAGAGAGCTAGTGATGTTTGGTGTGATAGCCAGTTACTTACCTCCGTAGGGCTCCCGGGTACGGCTAGACCTAGGTTTTTCTGGAAGGTTGCATTGTAACGTAGAACTAACACGACCTGGGGTACTTACCGCGGCAGGGAGGCTGAAGAGGAATCGTACGAGCCCTTCGATGTTGTCCTTAATAAGTAAATGTACAATTACCTGCAATTGCCGATGGCCACCTAGGTGGTTGACCAGTACCTACCTGCGGCGGTCTACCCCTAGACCTCTCCAGAAAGTCGGCGAGCTGATACTGAAAACCCCTTTGACTGACAAACACTGTGTACTCTACCCTTACCTCTTCGTCCGGCGACAAAGTGCCCGACCTACTCAAAATATACCTGACCGACTCCTCGGTGGTGGGATCCAAGCCGTCGATGAAGTGGCGGAGTTCGTCCTGGAAAGAGAAGCTTCACCTACCTCCGTGAGCGCGTGCACCTCTCACCTGTAGCGGTTCATTGTAGGGGATGAGCCTCGGGTAGTCGATCCAAGCGTTTCGCTTAAAGAAGCGGACATTATCAGGCACCGTGGCGTTTCCGACTTACCAGATCTTCCTGGGGGATGTTCTCCAGGTGGATCGTGAGTACCGTCACCTCCTCCTCGCTTTCCCACGCTCGCGGAGTGGTAAACTGACGATTTCCCTAAATCGCATTGCAAAAATTACATTCAATCTGGTGGCGGAGGACCCTTACAGTAATGTAATCCGGAAGTGAGTTCATCCAGTTCACCATCTCGTTCAGCATGGTCTACAAGAAAAGTGTCAGTGGTGTACGCAGGTCGAATTGGAAGTCTTACTGATGAATCGCCTTGGAGGTAATCCAAAAAGTGGTTCAGTTGGTGCTGAAGTGGTCGGAAGGGGGGTTAAAGCAACTGTACACGTTGTAACTTACTTGGTTCTCTGATGGAAGTGGTTCTAAGTCGCTCAGCATTTGCTGCAGGTGCATCTGCGAAGAATTCCGTTAACCTCTAGTTGAAATTGAGGTAAGTAACTCACTTGGTCTTGAGGAGCCAGGGATCCGATCAAATCTTCGACTTTGTGCTATTGAAAAAAATATATTGTTAGACCTAGTGAAATCAAGACCGTGGGTTTCCCCATAAAGGTTCTAGAACTAGAATGGATTTTCAAAAATTGATTAACCTAGGCACATTTCGTTTTCCAAAAAAGTATCATGGTTCCTGGTGCTTCAGATGTTTCAAGAAAACCTGCGGAGGTCGCTACACCGAACCCAAAAGTGCCAAGTTCATTATCGAAAACGTTTGGGAAAACCCAAAAACCTCAATGTTTTAAAGAAAGCTTGGAGTAAGAAACTTTGAGGCTCTCGTCGCATCGGAGGCTTCCGTTTCTGTTTTTTTAATGTACCAATTACAGGATCCGAAGTTTCAAAAATGCTTTGGTGTAAAGCTAAAGACCGGAGAATGATCAGATGGTTCAAAGTTTTTACAAAAATGTTTTTTTTTTAATTTTGAACCTTAAGAACCAAAGTGCAAGGTTTCTTGAAAAATTTTAGGACGCTTCGTTCTTAATTTTGAGATTCGCCTCAGTATAACGATAACCGCAACTTTCAAGATTTTTGAATTTTGAATTGGGTTTTGGCGCTTCTCAGGCTTTGGGGAGCATTCCTAAGTTTTTTGAAAACTCTCTCTGCTAAATTGTGAACCTTAAAATACCCGATGATTACCACAAAATTTCTGGCAGCAAGGTACCTTGAAAGCCTTGAAATTATTCTTTGAACTGCTGGGATGATTGCCTCAAAATTTTTTTGATACAGATTTTGGAACACTCACAGGACGCCTTCTGCAAGGTTTCCATGAAGATTATTTCTTGAATCATTTGGTTTTTTAAATAATTTTACTATAACCCCAACGTTTTTTGAAAACTTTTAAAAATGGTCCAAGGTTTCTTGGTCCGTGATCTCTTGAAAGCTATCAAATTGATTTTTTAACTCCTGGCACTTCTCAGGATTTGGTTTATCTCCCAAGAGTGCATCTTGAACGTCTTGAAATTGGTTTTTGAACCACCTCATAATTACTGCAAAATTTTGATGAAACCTTTGGCACTTATCCGACGATTACCTTTTTCTTAGTTCAAGGTTTCTTTAAGGGTTTGAAATTCATTTTTGAGCCATTTTGTTCTCGGGCTTTGGCGATTACCCCGCCATTTCTTTGAAAGCGTCGATTTTGGAACATTAAAGGGCCGAAGGTTCTAGTATAACGATAACTCAAAAGTTTTTTGATCCGAGGTTTTTTGAATATCTTCACATTATTTTATTAAATCATCTGGATTTTCCGAGGTCTTGGGCACTTTCGATATTAAATTTTAAACTTAAAGTCTCTGCTTCAATGTTTATTTAAGGCTTTCAAGTTGATTTTTTAACCATCCTACCTCTCCCATGACGATTACATCAATTTTTTTAATTGAAAGGTTCAAAATATCGTGTTTAAAGTTTCAAAAAACCTTTCCAGTGGCCCATAAAAACCCGCTCAAAAATTAATTTAAAAGTTTTCAAAAAACCTTGGAGCAAGACACTTCGCACCTTGCGGAAATGGTCTAAGTTTTCAGTTTTTGCACGTTCAAAATGTCACAAAGTTTCAAGAAATGCTTCAAGTAACCCCCCAAAACCCATAAAAATTTCGAAGCGTTCAAGAAACCTTGAAATATAGAATCAGGATGATCGTTTCTTTTCCTTGGATGTCCAAAATTTAGTATCGAAGGTTACAAAAATTATGCGATAGACGTCAAAACCTGAAAATAACCAAATGGTCAATCCCAAGCAAGAAACCCTCGACCATGAAACTTTGCGGTTACGTATCATGCCGGGTTCATTCCAATTTTTTTGGGGTAATATCCATAACTCAAAAATCATTTTGAGAACTATCGAAAAGCCCTGGGGTAGGACACTTTGCGAGAGTCCATTTTTTGAAAAGAAAAAATTCAGTAGGTACCTCAAATTTTAAAAAATGTCTGAGGTAATCCCCAAAACCTACAAAAGATCAGATGGTTCAAAAATATTTTTTTCAAAGTGTTCAAAAAACCTTGAAACTTTTTGGCAATAGTCATATCAAGACCTTTGGTTTTTTTAGGTTCAAAATTCACCATTTGAAGTTTCAAAAAAATGGTAATTGCCAGAACCTGAAAAGCGCCTGTTCAAATGTCAACCTTAGTAGACCATAATAGTTTTAATGGTTTCAAAAACATTTCGAAAAATATCTAGGTCAGTTAAGAAAGCCTCAGAAGAACCAGATTGTTCAAAAGTTAATTTCAAAGCTTTCAAAAAAGTTCGCGCCTTGCGACAATGATAGAATCTGTTCTTCACACCTTCCATACGGTATTTTGAACCATAAAATAGAAGAAGGACTCGGCATAACCATCACCGCAAGGTCACCTCCAAGGTTTTTTGAATGTTTTGAAAGTAATTCTTAACTACTTTAGGTAGTTAAACCTTCTAGTTGGGTTTTGGCGTTTAGGTACCTCAAACGAATGACGATTACCGTAAGGTTTTCTACTCCAGGGTTTCTAACAGGGTTTGAAAATTTAAAACATCTGGTCTCTCCAAATCTTCTTGGTGACGGGTTCTTTAGAAGCTTCGAAATTGATTTTTGAACCGTCTGGTTCTCTTTGATTTGGCGTTAACCTCAAAAATGTTTTTAAATTTTTTAATTTTAGCTTTAGTTTTCCTACTCCGATATTTTTTTGAAAGCTTTAAAATTCACTTATAAACAATTTAGGTCTACCCAGGTTTTGGTCAGTAGTTCAAAGGTTTTAGAAGCTTTTGATACTGAATGTTGAACCTTAAAGGAACCGGAGGTATCGTTATTCCAAGGTTTCTTGAAAGATTTTGGAAATGATTCTTGAACCTTCCGATGTTTTAGAGTTTATTCTAGCATTTTTTAAAGCTTCCAATAATGAATTCTCAAAATTCAAAAATTCAATATGACGATCACCCTCTGAGGCTTTCTGGAAGGTTTCTTTGCAATTTTTGAAATTGCTTCTTAAGTAATTTGGTTCTAAAAACGTTTCTTCCTCCAAGGTTCCTTAAAAACATTGAAATTTATTTTTGAACCATCTGACCATTCCCCGGTCTTAGGTTTATCCCAAAGCATTTTTGAATCTTTGGATCCTGTTTGGTACATTAAAAGAAAAACAAAAACCGAAAGTCCCGATACGGCGCTAACCACAAGGGTTCTTATTCTCAGGTTTTTTGAAAATGTTGAAGTTTCTTTATTTCATCAATTTAAAAAAAATGAAAGGTTTATCTGACGGTTTTTTGATTATTTGGTTTTTTGAGTTTGGTACTAATTCAAAAAACTTTTTTAATAGCATTTCTATGCTTTTTCCACCTAAACTTAAAAGCAAAGGTGATTCTTTAATTTTTGGAACTTATTTTTGAATACTTAGATTTTTTGAAAATTTGGGAATATGGTAAAAAATGGGATTTGGGCCTAGTTTCTGAGATGACCTTTCTTGAAGATCTTAGTTACAAATTGCGAACTTCTACATACCTTTAGATCTGGATTGCCGGGAAGCAGTTCATCCAGATCCAGCCCTTGGGACGCCTACAAAGAAAAAGAGGGCAAGGTTATGGTTTTCATCCAAGCTCTCTGCGTGGTGACCGTATAACTTACTTGAGAGTCCTCGTCTGTAGGGATGAAAATGCTTAAGCTCTCCTAAAAGTTCCAATCTGAGATCTGAAAATTGTTAAAAATTGACTCACAGTGACATCTTTCGGCAGCCGATTAATCCATTGAAGCACCTCGTTAAGTTTTTCCTATAGGAGAGAGAAAAGTGTCATTAATGTCTTTCTATCTCGCTCCTCACTTCCTTGGGAAAGAGCCTTACCCAGGACTCACCTCATTGCTGTGGTCAGTGCTGAGGATCTCCATAAGCTCGTCCTAGACGCATCGCAATTAGCATCGATAAACCTTAAAGTTGTTTTCCTTACCATTGCCTTTCTGGGTATCGTCTTTAGACTACCGAAGATGTAGCCGAGCGTTGCCTGAAAGACACTCGGTAAAATTCGACACCCGAACGTTTGCGCTTACCTGTGTACCCTCATCGGATTCGTCCATGAACAGCCGGAATTTTTTCTGTTAGTGAAGCGAAGTTATAGGGAATCTATCGATGGAGTCCTACATACCTGAAGTTCCTTGTTGTTGGGTAGCAGGTAGTCCAAGTCCACCTGAGAAGAATGTTGGAGTAGGCACAGCTGAAAGGTTACTTACCTCGCCGTCCTCATGATGGGGCTCTTCGGTCGTCGTTGTTGCCTCCGTGGTTTCAAGTTCAGTTGTTTGTTCTGTCGTCTCCTCGGTTGGTTCCGTGGTTTCAAGTTCCGTCGTTGGCTCGGTTGTTGCCTCAGTTGTTTCCATAGTAGTTTCAGTGGTAGCCTCTTCCGTTGTTTGTTCCGTTATTTCGGTAGTTTCCGTTGTCTCAGGCTCTGTTGCTACCTCAGTAGTCTCTTCGGTTATTTCCTCCGTTGTCTCTGTTACTTCCGTAGTTTTAAGCTCAGTTGTTGCTTCAGTAGTCTCTTCCGTTGTTGGCTCGGTCGTCCATTCGGTAGTATCAGCTTCAGTGGTTGCCTCCGTAGTTTCAAGCTCCGTTGTTGCCTCAGTAGTCTCTTCCGTTGTTGGCTCGGTCGTCCATTCGGTAGTTTCAGCTTCAGTTGTTGCCTCACTTGCCTCCGTAGTATCAAGCTCCGTTGTTGCCTCAGTAGTCTCCTCGGTTGTTGGCTCTGTCGTCCATTCGGTAGTTTCAGCTTCAGTGGTTGCCTCAGTTGCCTCCGTAGTTTTAAGCTCCGTTGATGCCTCAGTAGTCTCTTCCGTTGTTGACTCGGTCGTCAATTCGGTAGTTTCAGCTTCAGTGGTTGCCTCCGTAGTTTCAAGCTCAGTTGTTGCCTCAGTAGTCTCTTCCGTTGTTGGCTCGGTCGTCCATTCGGTAGTTTCAGCTTCAGTGGTTGTCTCACTTGCCTCCGTAGTTTCAAGCTCCGATGTTGCCTCAGTAGTCTCCTCCGTTGTTGGCTCGGTCGTCCATTCGGTTACCTCAGTGGTTAGTAGCTCAGTGGTTTCCTCAGTTTCAAGCTCAGTAGTTTCTTCAGTTGTTGGCTCCGTCGTCCACTCGGTTACCTCAGTAGTGTCAATTTCCGTTGACGTCTCAGTCGTTTCTTCTGTTGTTGTCTCGGTTACTTCAGTAGTTTCGAGTTCTGTTGTTGCCTCAGTAGTTTGCTCGGTTGTTTCTTCAGCCTCAGTAGATGGTTCAGGAGCCCCTTCGGTGTGTTCTTCAGATTCTTCAGTGTACGGTTGGTCACCTTGCATTTCTTCCCATTCGTCGAATAATTGTTGAGTTGTGTGCTCAGTTGTTTCCTCTGTTGTCCCTTCAGTTATTTCCGTAGATTCCTCAACTTCGTCGTCGTACGGTTGGTCACCCTGCATTGGTTCCTCCGTTGTCGTTTTTTCTACAACTTGCTCAGTGGTTTCTTCTAAAGTTTCCGTCGTGGTAACCTTCGGTGGTTCCGTCGCTTCTTCGCACGGAACCGTAGCTGCCAGTTCTGTAGTTGTTTCCGTTACCGTTTGCTTCGGCACTTCTTCACAACAGCCCGCAGGTTTCGCAATCACCACCTTAATCTTAGGCAACTCACCGACCTCGCAACACGCCTTGGCGGTCTCCCCCACGACCTAAAGCAGCCACGGTGAATAAATCCGACGCGTAATCCGAGCTCACCCCTTTCACGACGTCAGCGTCCAAACCAATCTTGCGACACGGTCCCTCCTGAGTGGTAAATTGAGTTAGACGCCGAACGCATTGCATTTACTTACCTCGATTGCGTCGTTCAAGCGGGCCAGGTGAAGAAGGGCAAGACGCTGGAAACCCAAGGTGGGATTGACCGAAGACGTGGAAACCTACTCACCTTTTGCAAGGAAGAAACGTTTCCGAGGCAGTCGCTGAGAAGATTCTGCGCCATAGCCGTCAGCCTCCGCCAGAAGTTGGTCACGAAGTCAAGCTCGTTGGGTAAGTCATCGAAAAGGCACTTAACCTCGTATGGGACCTCCTGGTGCTGAGAACACGGAGAACCTTCCGCTCCTTCTGGTTCTACCAGCTAAAATCAAACAGATTTTTCCAATTCTTGGACATCACCAGGTGTACCTCTCCGATGGTGTTCGGATCTAAAACAATGTGCATCCCTCGCTCGTTCTCTATGCGTTTGGTCATGTTGACCAGGCGTTGTAGAACTTGGGCCTAAGAGACCGGTCGTTTAAACCGGAGCTTTTGCAGCGGACTCACCTTTCCTTGCAGACTAAGACCCTCCATGTCTTTGAGGAGTAGACCCTGAAAGTTGTTGTGGTTAGGTGCTAATGGTTTCGGGAGGTGAGCTACCTGTGACGTAGGCGTGAGCCTCTGCCATAGCTTCTCGATGAGGTCCTACGAAGCACCTGGTGATTTAGCACGCACTTATTGTTAATCGAGCTTACCTGGTCCTCCGGTTGTTTAAAGAGGTTCTTAATTTCCGACGGCACCTCCTTTCGAAACAGAATTATACAACTGACCCTCACCTTCCGGTACTCACCGCTAGTTTCTCTGCCTCCACTGCCTCTTTTACTATCTACGGTTAAGAAGCAAAGGTTGACGCGAGTCGCTGACAGCAAGACTTACCTGTTCAAGCATGACCGAATCTAAATCGATGTGCATTCCTGGTTGCACCTGCGTGTTTTTAGTGATGCTGAGCAAATGGCGAAGAACTTGTACCTTAAACAGTCCAGGAGGTGTTAGCGGAACGGAAGAGGGCACTTACCTTGCCTTCAGGGGATAAATTCTCCAGCTTGGTAAGGAGACAATTCTGTAAAGGAATCTGTGAGTGCCTATTTTAAAACAAAGCACTGTGCATACCTGTGATTCCGGCGTCAATTTCTTCCAGAGCTCGTCCACCGCACCCTATCACAAACGCTTAGCTCCGTCGCACCCCAAACGCACATTCTCACCTGCTCGTCCTGGAAAACACTATGAATATTGACCGGAACTGAACCCTACAATAAAAAAGCTTGTGCTCATGCTCAATTCTCAACTGACTATAGCGGTTCCGCTCACCTGTTCTGCAATCTGAAAATTTCCCGTGTGCGCCGGTTCGGGTATTGCGAGGCTTATGATCTGTAAGGCAGCATTGATCAGTAGAAAGGAGACGGGAAGACTCACGTGTCTAATTGTCTCATAATCCAGGTCGATCATGGCCGCGTGTTCCTGTTGGATAAGTGAGATTAGCCTCAGTCCGCACCTTTTGGCTAGACTTACATCGGGCTGCTTACACAGGTTGACAAGGTGGAGGAGGGCGAGCCGCTGAAACATAAACGGGTGAGGACGATGGCTGGTTACGAGCGAGGGGGTGAGGTACCTTATCTGAAAGGTTTAGTCCACTTATACAGTCCAGGAGTTGCATCTGTAAAAGGTTCACGTGTAATCAAAGTTGGGGTTGGGAGACGCACCTGTGCCTTAGATGTAAGTCTCGTCCAGAACTTGTTGACGGGTGCCTGGTAAAGTGCAAGTGCAAAATTTCGGTTTTTGGAAAATAAAGTCACGTACCACATGCTCGGGGTGTTCCAGGAAGAGACCGATGATCTCGTATGGACATTCCACCTGTAACCAACCAGATCGTTTTGATACTCATCAAGCACGTTGGATACCTTCTTCACAGTGTCACATTAGAGAAACGGCCGAAGGATGCCAAGTATATTCAGGGTTTTAATTTTGTGCTCTAAGGGTTTAATTTACTTACCTCTGCCACCTCGGACTCTTCTGAGTGAGGCTGATCGTTCACCATCTCCTGTAACAAGGAAATAAATGCTACTATTAGATCCCAAAAATCCATAGTTGCCATATTTTTCAGAAGTCCCTTTAAAAGGGTAACAAGTATAAATTGTGGACAACTCTTGTGCAGATAAAGCGCATTTTTTTAAGGTCGAGGAGGAGAGCTATGGTTAGTAGAAATTAATTCCTTTCGTTGAGACCTTTCGTTAGAGTACCATGAAGGATAAAACTACTTCCACTCCCCCCTCCCCCTCCCCCCGTACTTAGAGGGCAGAAAGAAGGGCAGTAGTTGGTGGAAAACGGTTCCTTTCGTTCAGACCTTTAATTAGAATACAATGAGATAAAATTAATTTTTAACCCCTCCCCCCCCTTCCCCACCACTCAGGCCCCGTCGCTCACTGATCTCGAATAAGAGTCACACGCGAAAGTTATAGTTTGTACAAACCAATTTATTTCGATGAGACCTTTTATTAGAATACCATGAAGGGTAAACATGTGTTTACTCCCCCCCCCCCCACACACACATTTTCTAAAGTTTAACTTGGCACCACTAAAGGCATGCGTATGCAAAATCTGAGACCAATTGGTTTGTCGTATGTAACCTTCAAGGTATAGGCTACCTACTGCAAAAATTCCAGGACTCTAGGACCATTCCCCTAGAAGTAGTTCAAAACGGCAGAAATGGGTCCGAACGGGCGGAAGGACGGACGGACGGACGGACGGACAAAACGCAAACAATAGCACATCTCTTTTAATTCTTAGAAAATGCCCTAAAAATACTGAAGGTGGACAAAATCGAAAACCAGAAGGGGGTACTGTAACTGACCGACCATGCGATGACTTACCTCAACTTCAGTCGTCGTCTTCGTAGTGGTGGTGGACGCCTCGGTAACTGCCGGCTTTTCTGTCGTTGTAGCTTCCGTTGTTGAGGTGGTTACTTCGACCTGAAAACCTTGGTGGGTCGCAGCACCGAGAAAGTTGCACTACTTACCGTCGTGGTTTCAGTTTCTTGTTCAGTCGTGGCCGTTTCCGTTGTTTGGGCCTTGAAATTGTTGTTAAATTGGCAACAGTGCGATATTACTTACTTGAGTCGTGCTTGGCGGCTCGGTCGTGGTGGTGGTGGTTACCTCGGTCGTCGTCGTACAGTTCTCGCTCACCTCAGTCTCCTAAAAATAACGTGGTGGCTTTGACATTCTGGCGACTAGGTGCTTACCTCGGTTTCAGTTGGGGTTTCAGTAGACGTGACCTAAAGGGTGGTAAGTTAAGCGGCCAAACGTCGAGTCACTCACCTTCACTTGATTTTTGGTCGTCGTCTTCGGAGTGGGGAACGTAATGGCCCAGTTATCTGTGGTTACCTCCTAAAAAACTTCGATAAATCAACCTTTCCTAGTGAAAGGGCTCACCTTTGGCTTTGCCTTGGCAGCCTTGGTAACGGCACGAGGAGCCGCTTCACCAGGCACAGCCTTCTCAAAGGAATCTGGACAGACCTCCGCTTCCGTTCCCTTCCCCTACAATGCGATTAGTCTACGCAAAACGGCGCTCACTTACATTTAGCTCGATTGCGTTGAGAAGGAACTGCTCCTGCTGTTTCCTCGGCAGCTTTCCTAGGTAATCGATGGCGAGGTCCTACAAAGTCAATCAGCTTGAGGAAATCGCCTGAAGCACATGTTTACCTTGGATTCTTGGCAAAGGGTGGACCAGAAGTCCCTAACCTTCTCCTGTAACTCGAAAACTTAGCCGAGGTTTCACCAGGGTCGTGGGGCTTACCTGATTCGATGGGCTAATGTTCTCCATAACGCTTGCGGGTAACTTACGCGACTTGGGGCCGAGCGGTTTCTCGTCGTCCATTTTGACAACCTGCAAGCCTGACTGATCAACTGGCACGGATCGAGAGGGTCGAGAAACCTCTTTCAGCGTATCGGGGGTGACGACGAGGTCCACGCCGGGTTTTCCCTACGACGGATGTGTTTGTTACAAGTTTACCGAAACCAGGAGCTCACCTTCAGTTTGTTGCTCAGGTCAGTGAGGTACGTCAGAATTCGGGCCTGAAAGCGCTTGAGTTCAGTAGAGCTCGCACCAAATCAGTTTACCTGCTGATCCAAATCCAGGCCGCGGAAGTGCCGGCGGACCGCATCCTGAAAACGAGAGCCGATTGAAAACCCCAGTGAGACACTCGCTTACCAGTGAGTCTTTGGTCAATGCTTGCAGGAAGATGCCCGCCCGTTGCTGCAAAGCGTCACTGGTTAGGTTCCGCAAGTCACTCGGCTTACCTTTCGTTCGGGGTCATCGGCGAACATCTTGTCCACGTCCAGGTTGGGCTTCTTCTTTTCCTCCTCGTACTGTTTTATAGCCTGAAGGCCAAAATGAAATTGGAAACCCTCAAGAGCACCAGACGCACCTTTTTGAGCGCTTTGGGAGTGAGCACGCGCTTTCCGCTCGGTTTTCCTTCAGACGGCTCGACCAGCTTGGAAAGTGCCTCAATCAGTTCGCCCAAATCCTCGGGATCAACCTTGGCGAGTTGGTCTCGTACCAAATCCTGCGATTTCTTCGTCAGACTGTCCAGAAACGCCTTGGCCATTTCCTGAAAGTTGCCGCTGAACGCCTCACCCTTGGAAGGCGCGGGACTCACCTGGTGCTCCTGGTCTGGAATTGTACTGGTGAGATTCGTCAGCTCGTCCCCGTCCGGTTTCTTCAGCAGGTTCTTCCTTAGCTGAAAGCGAGCTTTAGGCCAATCACCAAACCCATCACTTACCTCGTCCAAAGTCGACGGTTGCACGTGAATTTCCTCGCCGGGTTTCTTCTGTAAAAGACCACGAGTCAACCGGTTCCCTCCAATCGACTGAACTTACCAAAGTTTCCTTGGAGAGGTTCACCAGGTGGTCCAAGAACTTGACCTGGAGAAGAGATTAGAGAACGTGTTTCGCAGTGAGGGATCTACTTACTTGTAGCTCAGGGCTTAAAGTGGCCAAGTGGTCGCGGATCAACTCCTGCAAAGCTGGGTGCTCGTCATCTCTTCATAGGGCGCGACTACTTACCTTGGAAGGTTCCGTCAGTCTGCTCAGGAACTCCTTGGCTTCATTCTACGGAGACGTTTTCAGTTTAAAGACAAACGGGAACCTAGTGCGTACCTCATCCTCAACGCTCTCCGGCGAGGTGCTTTCGACGCCCGCGTCCTTCTGATACATCTTCTTGAGCTTTAAAAAAGGGATGAGATAAGGCTCAACATCGTGAAGTGACTCACGCTCTTCAAGGTGCTCGCTTGCAGGGGAATTTCCATGTTCGGCTGCGTCTGAAAGCCCTCGGTGTCACTCCCCGCTTTCTACTCTCGGCCACACTTACCAAGTAGTACCTGTTTAGCTTTCTGAGGTTGTTGAGTACCTTGGCCTGAAACCCAGCGTTACGAGGGGGAGTATCCGCAGGCGTCTCGCTTACCTGCTCGTCTACGCTTGCACCGTCCAGACTGGAAGTAAGGAGCTCGCTGGATTCGGGGGTCAGTCTGCTCAAAAAGTCCTTCATCTTCTCCTAGAACGAGACAGCTTGCTCAGGCTCGGAGGTTGATCTGTGAAGTCCTACCTGCAACTTGTCGTTTCCCGGGAAAATCTTTTCCAGGTCCAGAGTTGGGCTCGTCTGGTGTTCCGCCTTCGGGAAATGGGCGATGACGTTCCGCTTTCTTACCGTGTGCTAAATTGCAATAAACTGGAGTCAAGTTTTCCACTAGTTAATGCGATTTTTGACTAGGTGCATATTTTACTTCTAGAAATTGAACTTTCTGTTATACCTTGGCGTGTGTAAAAAGCACAGCCGAAGTTGGGGTTGTTTCGGGTTCGGAGGGCACATAAGTAAAAATTGGGTGGGAGAGGGGGATAATAGTTTTTGAATAAAATGGCAACCGCTAAAAAGTTTAAGACGATTAATTCGCGCTTTTGCTGGCTGTTAAACCCCAAAGGTAATTTTGACAATTATATTTTGCGGAATATTGTTATTCCAGTGAATAGATCAAATTTAAATAACATGAAATCTAGGATTTCCGATGCACGTGTTACGTAGGGCGCCCCAACTTAAAACTATGGGTCGTTTGGGGAGTGAGGGGGTTTGCTTTTTTCGGCGTCTTTTCGTCACCGTACCGTCTGCCCCCCTCCGGCGAAGGGGGTGCAGGGGAAATTTTCTACAAAAAATCGGACGAAATACGAAGTTGTGGAAATATCGCCGGCAAACAATATTTACGGCAGCCGAGTCGCTTCGTGGAAGGTAAGGTTTGAAGAAGTCTCCGACTTCTTTCTCCCACGCTTCTTTCGCATCCTGGAAACCCCTCCACTAACCCCCCTCCACCTCCAAACGATACGTTTTTCGACGTTTTGACGTTTATTCGGATACGGCGAGGGATAGAACGATGCGATTTTTCACGTCGGTGTCCGATATCGCTCGGCAACGTTCTAGAATCGACAGATGGTCGCTTTAGCAGTTTTCAAAAAGCTGGTTCTGAACTTGTATTTTGGTAAACATAGGGAAATTTACACATGTACCGCTTCATAGTCAACAGGAACGAAGGTACGTATGGAAATAAAGGTGCGCATTCTAAGTTTATTATTTTAGGCACGCTAAATTGTCGTTAAAAACCGCAGACTTAATTTTACGTTAACATTGTGGGTTTGCCCACACCAAGGCCGTTCATTTATGAGTGATAAAATTTACGCGAGGGAACATTTCCAAATTGGAGAGTCGCTCTTCAAATGAAAACGGGATTAACTAAACTAAATTAAAAAGTGATAAACATTAAGCAAGTTCAAACAAAGTCGAGGGACAGATTTGGTCAGCGCCTTGTGCGATAAATAAAATTTTGTATAAAACGGCAGGAAATTTGTACACAATTACTCACAACAAAAAGCTTAATTAACTGCGAAAATGTAATACCAACACAGCGAAACGTTGACTTTTAGGTATCTCTGAGCGTAAGTAATCACGATTTTGAGTATTACTTTCTCTGGTTTGTTCGGATTCGCAATACCTGTAGACTTTTTTGTGTGGCATTCTGAAGATAAAGTCACCGGAGCGACGCGAGAAGTTCAAATGTACCCTATAGGGACGATCTATTTCCATATTTCTAAATGAAGCTACCTTTCCAAAGGGGGATATCACCAATTCGTTACCAGAAGAGTTACCAGCGTCAATAAATTATTGTAGGTTAGTTTAAATTTGATTATTTTTAGAAACTTGTATAAAAAATTTGGTTTGAAGTAATTTTGATATTCCTAAAGAAACTGACCTATGAGAATTTTTTGCTGAAACAGATTTTGTACGGTATTTATTGATAAGAATCAAATCGAAAGTTGATTGGCAGATTGGAATTTTTGCTAGCATCAATTTTACTTGATGAAAGTGAGGTCTTGACCCGTTATATGATGTAGCTAAAAACTGAATGGAATCATGATTTTCATTTTGATGGAAGATGCCAAGAAACGGGCAATCTCTTTACTGATGTAGCAAACGAATTGAATAGAGCTTGAAACTTTTATTTTCATTTTCATAAAAAAAGTTTGCCACGAGCTTAAGTTTTAGAGTTCGCACAAGAACCAAAATTTTTAGCTTCCTAGGTTTAGGTGGTTTTGGATTATTTTAAGCAATTTTTACAGAATAAATTCTTCAATCTATACATACGAGGTATTAGCTCCACGGATTTCGTTAAAATTTTAGATATGTATTGTATATAGTTACATAGATTGGTGTTTGGTTTTTTGTTTGTAGTCGCTTTGTAGTTTATTTTGTTTATTCAATTGTAAAGAAATTACGCGTAATGTCAGAAACATCTCGAAATTATTTGCATTATTTTTGAAATGCTGATCTCAGGTTTTTCTCCGGTCGTAGATAAGAGTTGCACTTATCGCTAAGAAGTTAATAATTGAAATTGGAATATTTGAATAAATTTGTGTCTTGTATTAGTTTCGTATTAGAATGTGCCCAAGTTACCGCCCTGGACTTTAAAGGTTGTTTTTGTGAGTGATTATTTGTTTAGAGCTAGCCAGTGTGTATTGTTGTATATAGTTACGTAAATTGGTGTTTGGTTTTTTGTTTGTAGCCGCTTTGTAGTTTATTTTTTTCTCTATTTAATTGTAAAGAAATTACACGTAATAAGATCAGAAACATTTCGAAATTATTCGCGTGATTTTTGAAAAGCTGATCTCAGGTTTTTCTCCAGTCGTAGATAAGAGATGCGCTTATCGCCAAGAAGTTAATTAACTGAATATTTTAATAAATTTGTGTCTTCTGAACTTGTATTTTGGTAAACAAAGCGAAATTTACACATGTACCGCTTCATAGCCAACATGAACGAAGGTACGCATGGAAATAAAAAGCAACAAGGTGTGCATTCTAAGATACGCCTTGGTTAGACCGTGCGTGCGTGGCGGTATTTTAGACAAGAGACGAGGTTAGCCTTCCAAAGGGTTCACATGAATTTATTTTTTTATAATTTTCGTGAGCGATTTCGTATTATTTTAGGCTAAATTGTCGATAAAATTTATCAAGGAGCATTAAAGTGTTACAAGTCAAAAATTCCAAGTAAGAACGTCCTGATGTTTTTCAATCGCATCGATAAGAAACTCCTTGTAATAGATTAGTGACCAAGTACGAGAGACCCGCAGATTTACTTTTACGTTAACATTGAGGGTAAAGCCGTTCATTTATGAGTGATAAAATTTACGCGAGGGAACATTTTCAAATTGGAGAGTCGCTCTTCAAATAAAAACGGGATTAAATAAACAAAATTTAAAAAATGATAAACATTAAGCAAGTTCATCAAATTTGAACACAATTACTTACAACAAAGATCTTAATTAACTGCGAAAATGTAATACCAACGTAGCGAAACATTGACTTTTATTTCGGAGCATAAGTAATCACGATTTCGAGTATTACTTTCGCTGGTTTGTTTGGATTCGCAATACGTATGGACTTTTAGTGTGGCATTCTGAGGATAAAGTTAACGGAGCGACGCGGGAAGTTCAACCCCTATAGGGACGGGACGACCTATTTCCATATTTCTAAATGACCTTTCCAAAGGGAGATATCAATTAGTTACCGGAGGAGTTAACCACGTCAATAAATTACTGTAGGTTAATAGAAAAAAGAAGTAAAATTGCGTTTGAAGTAATTTTGATATTCCTAAAGAAAGTGACCTATGAGAATTATTTGCCGAAACAAATTTTGTATTGTATTTATTGATAAAAATCAAAATCCAAAATTGATTGCCATATTGGAATTTTTGCTAGTATCAATTTTATTTAATGCAGGTGAGGTCTTGACCCGTTATATGATGTAGCTAAAAACTGAATGGAATCATGATTTTTCGCACAAGAACCAACATTTTTAGTTTCATAGGTTTAGTTAAGTTTTTGATCGTTTAAAGCAATTTTCACAAAATAAATTCTTCAGTCTATACTTACGAGATATTGGCTTTCGTTGAAATTTTAGATATGTATTGTTGTATATTATAGTTATATGTAGATTGGTGTTTGGTTTTCTGTTTGTAACCGCTTTGTAATTTATTATTTTCTTTATTCAATTGTAAGGAAATTACGTTTAATATGGTCAGAAACATCTCGAAATTATTTGCGTGATTTTTGAAAAGCTGATCTCAGGTTTTTCTCCAGTCGTAGATAAAAGATGCGCTTATCGCCAAGAAGTTAATTAATTGAAATTTGAATATTTTAATAAATTTGTGTCTTTCTGAACTTGCATTTTGGTAAACAAAGCGAAATTTACACATGTACCGCTTCATAGCCAACATGAACGAAGGTACGCATGGAAATAAAAAGCAACAAGGTGTGCATTCTAAGATACGCCTTGGTTAGACCGTGCGTGCGTGGCGGTATTTTAGACAAGAGACGAGGTTAGCCTTCCAAAGGGTTCGCATGAATTTAGTTTTTTATAATTTTCGTGAGCGATTTCGTATTATTTTAGGCTAAATTGTCGATAAAATTTATCAAGGAGCATTAAAGTGTTACAAGTCAAAAATTCCAAGTAAGACCGTCCTGATGTTGTTTTTCAATCGCATCAATAAGAAACTCCTTGTAATAGATTAGTGACCAAGTGCGAGAGACCCGCAGATTTACTTTTACGTTAACATTGAGGGTAAAGCCGTTCATTTATGAGTGATAAAATTTACGCGAGGGAACATTTTCAAATTGGAGAGTCGCTCTTCAAATAAAAACGGGATTTAAATAAACTAAATTAAAAAAATGATAAACATTAAGCAAGTTCATCAAAGTCGAGGGACAGATTTGGTCAGCGCCTTGCATAAAACGGCCTTCGACAAGAAATTTGAACACAATCGCTCACAACAAAAATCTTAATTAACTGCGAAAATGTAATACCAACGCAGCGAAACATTGACTTTTATTTCGGAGCATAACTAATCACGATTTCGAGGATTACTTTCGCTGGTTTGTTTGGATTCGCAATACGTATGGACTTTTTGTGTGGCATTCTGAAGATAAAGTTACCGGAGCGACACGGGAAGTTCAACTGTACCCTATAGGGACGGGACGACCTATTTCCATATTTCTAAATCACCTTTCCAAAGGGAGATATCATCAATTAGTTACCAGAGGAGTTAACCACCTCAATAAATTACTGTAGGTTAATAGAAAAAAGAAGTAAAATTGCGTTTGAAGTAATTTTGATATTCCTAAAGAAGCTGACCTATGAGAATTATTTTCCGAAACAAGTTTTGTATGGTATGTATTGATAAGAATCAAATCCAAAGTTGATTGACAGATTGGAATTTTTGCTAGCATCAATTTTACTTGATGCAAGTGAGGTCTTGACCCGTTATCTGATGTAGCTCAAAACTTAATGGAATCATGATTTTCATTTTGATGGAAGATGCTAAGAAATGGGCAATCTTATTACTGCTGTAGTAAACGAATCGAATAGAGCTTGAAACTATTTTATTTTCATATTCATGGAAAAAGTTTGCCACAGGCTTAAGTTTTAGGGTTCGCACAAGAAGTTTTAGATCGCTTAAAGCAATTTTTACAGAATACATTATTCAGTTTATACATACGAGATAGGTATTGGCTCCACGGATTTCGTTGAAATTTTTGATATGTATTGTTGCATATAGTTACGTAGATTGGTGTTTGGTTTTTTGTTTGTAGCCGCTTTGTAGTTTATTTTTTTTATTCAATTGTAAAGAAATTACGCGTAATTAGATCAGAAACATTTCGAAACTATTTGCGTGATTTTTGAAAACTGATCTCAGGTTTTTCTCCGGTCGTAGATAAGAGATGCGCTTATCACTAAGAAGTTAATTAATTGAAATTTGAATATTTGAATAAATTTGTGTCTTGTATTAGTTTCGTATCAGAATGAGCCCAAGATACCGCCTTGGATTTTAAGGGTTGCTTTAAAAATGTAAAATAACGGGATGGATTTAAAAAAAAATGGAGTGCCACAATGTCATAGAATCTTTTCTCCAGAAAATTTCCCAAGAGAAGCAAAATAAGCATTTTTTGTTGGGGTGCTTACATAGTCTGAAGTAATTTTGGAATTATTTCTGTTTTTTTTTCATTTTATTCGAACAATTTTTGTTGATACTAAATCAAAGAGATCTTCCACGGATCAAAGAAAATTTTTCTATAAAGTTTCTAAGATATACAGTGATATTTATTAAGAGGTAGACATAGGGATTTGCGTGGACTGTTTTTCCCTATGTCTACTTTTAAATGACAAACTCTCTTCTGAAGAGCGTCTAATTTTATGCATTTAAAATAACAAATAAAGATCTAACGGTCATATTAATTAATTTGAATGGCTTCACAGAAAATATATCTCTTACGCCCCTTAAACTGTTACTGGCCCTATACCAATTGACAATATCAACTTTTTCTTCAGTTGAATACATCCAATGAACGAAAATAAAAATACGGAAACCACGCAACACTATTAATATTATATTAGTATGACATCCAGATCTTAATTTGTTTCAAGAAGTTATTTCGGTTGCATAAAATTAGGCGCCCTTCAGAACTTGTCCGTTAAAAGTAGACAATACACGTAAATCCCTATGTCTACTTCTTAATAAATGTCACTGTATAATATATGCCCTTTGTTGTTTCTTATAATTTTCTACCGTTTATTGCACGGTAGGCTTGTGCTGTTGGTGACAAGTCAGTGCCAACAGGATAGGCTGAAAGGTTTAGTGGTGCGAGTGAATATTTACAAAGTGAATGGTACTATTGCAGCTTATTTTATTTAGAGTTAGCTGTTACATTCAGTTAAGCAGTGATCGAGATATTATGTACACCGGAAAGCGGTTCCTGTCTTATACCTCAACGATTTCCACGTTGGCGTTTCCAAGTTGGTTGGAGCGGTACATCGTGATGACCTAAAGGGGGAGAGAGAGAGTTACGTATCTCCGCGGGAAAGCGTCGTAAGGCTTACGTTTTGGATGGTGGTGTCGTCGAAGACGATCTTGGTGTTTGGCGTCGCCTGAAACACGGATCGGTTAACTTTCGTCTGGGGGGCGCTGGGGACTTACCAAGATGCTGGCGCTGGCCTGGATGAGGTAGGTGAGCACAGCTTGCTGGCCGTTGTTATCCAATTTGGTGAGCGCTGCGCGGAGGGAGGCCTCGGTTGGTGGGGTCAGGCGGCTCCAGAAGGTGTCGAGTTGGGTCTGCATTTGGGGTTTGTTGTAGAAGATGTTGGTGATGGTGAAGGAGCCTCCGGTTCCGCCGGTGTTAATGTTGGTGCTGCCGCCATTGTTGAATTCCTGAAAGTGTGTTAATTCAATCGGTTCACAGCAGGGGAGTACGTACCGGGATGACTATGTTGGTGGTGGCGGTGTTGACAACCTGCAAAATTATCAATTAGAAAACTGATGGAAGCTGCAAAAGCTGTACTTACATTTTGGAGGGATCCGGGGGAAACGTTGACTTGCACGCCGGGTTGTCCTATTGAGCCTCCATAGATTTGTACCAAGTTGTTAAGGGCCTTAACCTGGAAATTAACATGTTTAGTTAGTCATCCCCTAGTACGTTTAGCTTACTTGTTGTTGGGGGCTAAGACTGCACAGTGTGAAGCGGACAAGTTGCTTCGAGGTTGGCGATAGACTGTTGATGAGAAGACGGTATTGTTCTCTTTGGGCGCTGCTTACTCCCGGAAGTAAGTCGATGTTCAACTCTGCGTTCTGGAAAATCGGTCAGCTTCATGAGAGGTTTCTGGCTGAAAGGATACATACCGGCACCATGCTCATGATTTGGTTGAGTATGAAGAGAATCCCTTGCTAAAAAATCAGTTTGGACTAAGAGTGCAAAACGCGGCGTGAGGAAAGCTTACCTTGCCTTCTTCACCCAATGTTCCAATGTAGGCGAGGATTTGATTCTAAAAGGTGAATGTGGTAATTACTGCCTAATGCCCAGAAGGATACTTACGACAAGACCAGGATCGTTCCTCAACGCGTTGTAGATCTGGTACATCGCCGCTGGGCTGTCAGTGCTTTCGATGGCCTTGAACAGCGGGAACCTATCGAACAATCCGCGAACGGTCGCGAGAAATTGAGCGGAGTTGTCATATCCGGCCCTTGGAAGCCAGCTGAAAATACCCTGGGACGGATAGTTACCGCTTGGCTTGGAACCGCTACCTAGTCCGAAGCCCAAGCTAATTTTGCCGAATGGTCCAAGACTGAGGGTGGCACCGGCACCCGCTCCCGTTCCCTTGGAGTAATCGGTTCCGCCGCTAGCTCCAGTATTGCCAATTTGCAATCCGGTACCAACCCCGGTACCACCAATTCCGACGGAACCACCAACGTCAAGTCCCCAGCCCGGGAAGAGGTTCTGAAAGAAGACGGGTTACCCCAAGCGCCAAACTCCACCCCACCCGATCACTTACTCCAAGGAAGCCGTCTGAAACAAAAAGCGGATTAGTACCCGAACCGCCACCCCCAATTCGAAATACTCACACGCTCCGGATGCGAAGAGAAGCACAGAAATGGCTACGAAGCACTTCATTTTCACTAAACAGTCCAAGATTATACAGCAAGTGAACTGATTTCCGTATCTCGCCCGCGAGCCTTTTATAGGAAGGGCCACGATAAGGGATCAATAAATTGTCGTTATCAAGTCGCGAATTGATTATTGTTCCTTTTCCAACACAAAGTTGCGCTTGCCGCCACAATAGGCCAAATTTGAACGGCGCGTTTATCGGCCGAGAAAGCGTCGATAATTCCTTTACATTGCACGAATTATCGTGAAAGGGAACGATTGTGGCACCTAATTAGAATAGAACCCGCAATGTGCCTGTTTTTTGTACAGAGAAACCGACAGGATGTCAGGCTGGTTTTGTCTCAATGGCTATGGAAAAATTTTCCGATTTGTGTTACGCATTTTTTTTTAATTGCGTGTTGGAGTTTTCAATTTTCCTCATAATTTTCTAGAATGAGAATGGAAATTAGGTTACGAGTTATGCGAATGGGAATAAACAAAGGAAATGGCTTATAATCAAATGTGTCAACGATTTTCCGCAATATTGAGGGAAAGCGACGAAAAATTTAGGCATCCCTTTGGAATGACGATGTATTTGGACAGTTCGTGAAAATGAAGTGCCGCAGGGTTCGCTTTGGGGGCACCACATATTCTGCAATGCCCTTTTTTCCCAATGATTAAGTCAAAGAATTAGACTGCCAGACAACGTGAGCTATCCCATTGCCTAAAAAACGACCAAAAGATTGTCCAAGATTGACCAGAAGGTAAAGTCTAATGTAATTTGACAAGTAAAAGGCAACAAAGCGTTTTTGGGCAGGGCTTTTCTAAAAAGTGAAAACCGACCAGAAAAATTTGATTTGCAGCCAAAAGAACACGTAATGAGCTTTTAACAAGGCAGGTAATGGAATGGAAATAATTTTTTAAAGTAAATTCTATTGGGGAAATCTCGTTTGGAACACCGACCAAAAATGATTAACCAGAAAAAGACAACTCTTTTAGATTTTCACCTCTGGATAGCAAAAACGGAACGTAATTAGCTTTTAGGTAATTGACCTATGCTTTACAAAAAAAAGCAAACCGATTGGAAACGCCTCTCGAATATACACCAAAAAGGACTAATCATGAATATCATCTTTAACTAAAAAACCATTTTTCTTTGAGTTGTTACTTCCAAAACTAGAATTTCTCATTAATTAAAAATCGAGTTCGGCATAAATCGTGCTTTCCTCAGACAAACCGTTTTCGAGATATTCGCGCCTAAAGTTTTGACATCACGACCAATGGATAGATTTCTTCCAGACGTCCCAATCGCCCTTAGCGAGTACGCTCTTCCGACAATCCGTTCTGGAGATGTGAGGGAATACATCCGATAACGATATCGGGTCGACGAGGAGGACTATGGTTGGTAGAAAGTGGTTCCTTTAGTTGAGACCTTTCATTAGAGTACCATGAAGTATAAAACCAGTTCCACTCCGCCCTCCTCTCCACCCCCTCCAACCCCATTTTGTAAGGTGTCAAAAAGAAGGGCAGTAGTTGGCAGAAAACCTTTTCATTGAGACCTTTAATTAGAATACCATGAAAGATAAAATAAATTTCTACCTCCCCCCCCTCCTCTAGGCTTCGTCACCCATTCATCCCGAAAAAGAGTCGCGCGGGAAACGGGATGTCGGAGGTGGGTACCGACAAAGGGAATATGGAGCCTCCGACAAAATCTTATTGATTGTGGTTAATAAAGGTACTGATCTGCCACACAAAATGCGCTGAAATCCCTTACATCTCACACAAAGATTTTGATAATTTTTTTTACTTTTTAACAATGTTCGGTACATCCTAAAGGAGAGTTAATTATATTTCAGTGCACCCTGTAGTCGACTTTAGCAAAGTATTAGAATTTAACTGCCGTTCTTGTCTTTTATGACTGGCCTATACGGTACACCACGTACTGCCCTCCCGACTTAGTGCCCTCGGTGCTTCAGCGCCTCCGGCGCGCCCTCCCCCATTCAGAGCTCGGTGCCGCGGCACCTTTGGCACCTACCTAGTTACGCCACTGGTCAGTAGTACCCTCAATCTGTTTTGGAGGTATAAAGGAACATATATCTAATCAAGACAAGGGGTCGAGGAGGAGAACTATGGTTGCTAGAAATTAATTCCTTTCGTTGAGACCTTTCATTAGAATACCATGAAAGCTAAAATTAATTTATACACCTCCCCCCCCCCCACGGCCCCGTCACCCACTGATCTTGAAAAAGGGTCGCTCGGGTCGGAAACGTTATAGTTTGTACAGCCCAATTTATTTCGATGAGACCCTTCATTAGAATACCATGATGGGTAGACCGTGTCTCTCCCCCCCCCCCCCCTTTTTCAAAAGTTTTACTTGCCACCATTAAAGGCATGCGTATGCAAAATCTGAGACCAATTATTTGTCGTATGTAAACATTATTCACGTTTTACCTTCAAAAACAGCATCTCAGGAAATAATTCATGTCCCCCTCCCCCTTTAAGACAACGAAATTTTATGACCGTTGACGGACGGACCGACAAACAATAGCACATTTTTTTTAGTTCTTAAAAAATGCGCTAAAAACTAGGTTGTAAGGTAGACCGAATTTATGCCGAACTCGCCTTCGGCTTACTCGGCGATCTTAGGCGCACCCTTAAATGGTCAGAGTTTCTCTACTTGCACGTTTTTGTCATTTACCCATTTAACAAGTGACCCCCCCCCTCCCTCCTTCAGGTTTCGTCACCCATTGTTACAGGATCGTATGTAAGTTATGCACGTTTTACTTTCCAGCATCTTAGGAAACAATTCATGCCCCCCTCCCTTTAAGACAGCGAAATTACATGGCCGTTTGCATACCTTCAAGGTATAAGCTACCTATTGCAAAAAATTCCAGGACTCTAGGACCATTCCCCTAGAAGTAGTTCAAAGCGGTAGAAGTGGGTCCGGACAGACGGTCGGGCGTATGGACGGACAAAATGCAAACACTAGGTTGTAAGGTGTGCTGAATTTATACTGAACTCGTTTTCGGATCGCTCGGCGTTCTTAGGTGTACCCTTAAATGGTCAGAGTTTTTCTGCTTGAACCTCTTTGTTATTTACCCATTTAACCAGTTTCACTCCCCTCCGCCTCCCCATCAACCCCTTCTTTTGGTAAGGGGTAAAAATGGAGGGCAGAAGTTGGCAGAAAACGATTTCTTTCATTTAGACCTTTAATAATTAGAATACCATGAAAGATAACATAAATTTGTGCCCCCCCCCCCCTCCCATCCTTCAGTCACCCACTGATCCCGGAAAAGAGTCGCACGTGAGAGTTGGAGTTTGTACAAATCAATTTATTTCGGTGAGACCTTTCATTAGAATACCGTGAAGGGTAGAACGTGTGTCCCTCCCCGGGCTCGGCCTTAAATGCTAAGGGTTTATTCACTATAAAAGGCTGTAGTAATTCGGCTTGCTTGACATAAATCGTGCTTTCTATATTGGAGCAATACATTGTCCAAGATCAAGATCGGACAACATATTTAAAAAACTAGATTTTAGGGTTAACCGAATTTATGCCGAACTCACCTCCTGCTCGCTCGGAATTCTTAAATTCAGTGTAATTCAGGAAATCTCCAAATTAGTATAACAAGCTTGGGGATGGCGCCCAGATGTCGCTGACGCGAGATCGAGTAGCCCCGTCTCTAAAGTAGTTAATTACACGGTCCCGGTAGGTACATGTACATTCCTTGTTTTTTACGAGCATTCTTCTACGAGCCAGCATGTTCTGCCAGCCAGCCAGCCAGTCAGCCAACCAGTGAGATTAAAAGCTACCTTTTTACAAATATATTTGCAAAAATACGCTAAAAACAAGGCTATAGGGTAAGCCGAACTTAGACTCATCCTTAAATAAGAGTTCTCCATTTTTTTGTTTTATTAAAAGATTATACCAATGCCAAATTTCGAAACCTAGTATAGGCTATTGGGTAAGCTGAATTTATGCCGAACTGGCTTTTGGCTCGCTCGGCATTCTTAGACTCAGCCTTAAATGCTCCCAGTTTTTTAGCTTCAATTTCTTTGCCTTTTATTAAAAAGCTATACCAATGCCGGACACAAAAGTACCAGTTAGAGAAAAGGGAAGAACGAGCGGTGGCACAACAGCGGTATTAACAGCTAATTGAGGTTAGCGGTAGAGAAGGCATGAAGAATTGAGGAAAGAAAATAGAAAAGTGTGGAGGACCTATAATTTGAAGAAGACGTAAACCATAGAATAGCGAATAAAGGATAATAGGTACTTGTGGGATAGGCGGGAGGTAAAAGAATAGATTAAGTGTGCAAAGAAACATTGCTATCAGAACTGGCAGAAAAGAGGGGATGGAAATGGATACATGAAAGAAGATAAACGGAGAGGGATGTCAGGCGTAAGTTAGGCATAAGTACAGAAGAGTACAGAAAAGGATGAGGAAGATTTTTGTGACTTGCCATCAGAAGGCGAGTTCGGCATAAATCGTGCACAGAAGTGGGCCAAATTTATGCCGAACTCGTTTTCAGCGCGCAGAGGCAGTGTTAAATTTTCTCTGCTTGAATTTTCTTGTAATTTGATAAAAAGCTCAACCAATGCTAAGCGAACCGAAGGCGAGTTCGGCATAAATCGTGCTTTCCATCTGGGAGGGGTGAGCTGAACTTATCGTATTCGTAGGTGCAGTGTTAGATGGTTAAATTTTTACATTAGAGGGATGAGAAGGCTGAAGACAAACAGGAGTGTGGGAATTATGGGGAGAGCTCCAACTGGAAAGCACCTAAGAAACCTTAAGGCCGACGCGCACCTAAGCGGCAAAGCGCATTTTTCGCTCACATTGATTTCATACGCCAATACGCGGGTGAATGAGAAGAAGAAGAATAATGAAGACCAAAGTGAAGAGGATGGAAATTAAAAAGAGGAAGAGAGCCAAAGAGACGAAGAAGGTGCAAAGAACAACCAGGGCTAATGCAGAGGATAGCAATAAAATACACGAGGAGAATTCAAAAGACAAAGAGAATGAAGCGGCTCCAAATGGTGCAGAAGACGACATTGCTGAAGATAAGCGGAATGATGAATAAGTCAGCGTTGAAGAATGGTACAAAGAGGGTGATGGACACGAATCAAAAGAGAGCGAAGAGGACCCAAGCGACGCCGAACCCAAGGTTAACTAGGATGTGGAAAGCGAGGTAGATGAAGAGGGACGAAAAGAACAATGAAGACGAATCAAAGGACGCATAAAACAATGTTGATGAAGATAACGAGGAGGAAAGTGCAAGAAGAAGTGCAAAGAAGAAGAAGAAAAACACAAAAAGGCGATGAAAATGAAGAAGACGTAATTGATTAAGGTGCAAGCGTAAAGTTGCAAAATGAAGACGTTCCTTGGAAAATCGTTTTTAGGATCCCAAACTACCTACTTTAGGAATTAAAGGACGATAAAGCATAATAAAACAGCCATAAGCAACCACAATAACGCATCGACCGCACGTGTTCCGGTGATTCCAGTCATGATTAACCCACTTTCAAGGTTTATTTAAATGCTTTGAAGCACTATCTTGAAATTTTTCAAATTTTCGAAGCCTTTTTTAACTTCTGGAATTTTAAAGAATTGGCGAAACTGAAGTCAATTCTGAACTTCTTTAAATTCCTGGAGCCTTGTAACTAAAAATCTTGAAAATCTCCTTCCAATTTCTTCAAAATCTCTAAAAAAAATTTCTTAGAACTCTCCTCAGACCTTTAGTATATTTTTAAAACTTCAAAACGTCTCTTTTCTACAAGGTGTCACAGAAGAGAGAACCAAAATATTTCTTTTTACAAGAAATCAAAGACCAAGTGACAGTTCGGTTTTTGGATACGTAATTTCTTGAAATCCCTTCGACATCTCCTCCAAATCTCTGCAGGGTTTCGAAAAACGGTTCCAAAACCTCATTATGCTCTCCATTTTTTTTCATAATGACATAGATTCTTCAATGTACCTTAGGTCAAAGACGAGCCTTGTTAGAAGTTCTTCTTAAGAACTCTTCTCTACCAAGGTTTTTAATACGATTTATTTTCAATTCGGAACTACTTAAAATTGTATCCTGAAGTTCCAGAAGTTAATTTTTTGATGGAAGGCCGTACACTACTCTTCTTTATTTCAACAGCAGAGCAGAGAAGATTTAACCCTTCAACAATGTGTCTACGAATGCCGAAAAAGCCGAAGGCGAGTTAGGTATAAATTGAGCTCACCCTATAGCCTTGTTATTTTTTAAATATGTCATCAGACTTTGTTCCTATTATGTTGGACAATGCACCCTTCCAATATAGATCGCTCGGCATCAAATGATATCAAATTCTTGCATGGAAGATTTAACCCTTTAATATTGTGTCTACGAATGCCGAACGAGCCGAAGGTGAGTTTGGCATCAATTGAGCTCACCCTATAGCCTTATTATTTTTTAAATATGTCTCTGGATTCTTAAGGCTCATATATTTGTCTAGTGAAATTCTTCATTCTTTCTGATTCCTCGAATTGTTTCCATTGTTCTGATTTTTTTCATTCTTCGGCCACTTTGGATTTTTCATGTTGGAGTACCCGCTTTGGATCAATGCATATTCGGTTGCTTGACGGTTCTTCCTAATGGAATTCCTTGCACTCGTTAGGGCTCTTCTGGTACTGGTACGTCATCTTGGTATTACGCGTTCTTCTGTTTTCATCTTCCCCCATCATTCAAATTAATCCTCGAATGAATAGTAATCCCATCAGTAGTTGATAGAGGTCAGACTGACATCCACGCGTTATCCCAGTCTCAAAGGTTCGCATGGCGAAATTATGATAGTGATTAGTGATGGTTGATTGCCGCAATTGAGGTTAACCGCAGCGCTGAAATAGATTAAGATTCCGGGACACACTTTGTATGGCACACTTTTTTAATCAAGAAAATTGGTTTTCTGGGTGAATTCAGATTGCATGTTACGTTGAGTGCCAAATAATCGCAGAGATTTTTAATGTTAACGTTTCTTAGAAGATCTATCTAGTGAATTCTACCTTCAGAATCTTGCCGCTAGTGGATGAATCTAGCCGGTCATTTTTCTACTGACTGTTCTGGTAAATTTCTTCTACTATGCGCATCTTAAACCTTTTACGTTAAATTCGCGATCTAATTCTCGTAATCTCAATCTTAGCGGACGACCTATACGCTATGGCAACTGTCTCTCTCCTTTTCCTTGACTCCGTACGATCTAGAAAATGGAACCACCGCAAACTTTACGACACGCGTCTATATTGCACCAACCGCAAGCAGATGCAACGCAACGTTGACGACTCGCTTGTATCTTCACTTCCCCTCCCCCTTACCGTCTACCCGCGATTACTATTCGTATGAAGCGGTACATATTAAATTTCAGGGAACGGGTCAGGAGCGAAGACTGGAATGGTTTGGACACGTAATGAGAAAGGAAGAAGAGTATACTAAATGAAGAGTGGAAGTGAGAAGGTGCGGAGAAAACCAAGGAGAAGGAGCAATTGTTGTTATACTTTTATTTCAAATTATGTACAAATATTCACTTAAACTAGCGTGTAAAAAAAATATCAGAAAACTTGTCCTATTGTTCTGGTATTGGGGTGAATTGCAGGGGAACCGTTCCCAGATAAAACGGAATACTGGCGATTAGATCGAAATGCGGGTACGGCAACACCGCTTTTCCCTAAAACCGAAACCGTCTCAGTTGCAATTGGTCACAAACGTCATCCTGCGCGCTCACCACAAGTTCGCAGTGCATCCTGAGCATGTGGCAGCTCGTCAGGCTGGGAGCCTTCGTCTGTTCTGGAATCTGGAGCTGCGCCCGAAAGAGTTTCTGCATGCCCTTCGGTACCTGGCTGTCGGGCACGTAGATTTTCTGCAGGAGCCTTTCCTTTCTGTACGTCTTGGACCGCCCCACCAATTCGAACACCTGCGCGTGGATCGTCAGTGGTAGTCCGACGCGAGGAGGCGCTTACCTGGATTATTTTGAATGAGACCTTCGAGACGTTCATCATCGACTTGTTCCGGACGAAACAGGCGACGTTGACGATCTCCGAGGGCACGTATCCGCCTTGGGGCAGTTCAATTTTGAGCGAGAGCGGCTGCATTTTGAAGCAAATGCAGCAGGAGTCGTTGACGGAGGTCGCTCGCAACGGCCTCTGAAACACGCACCATGTACGCGTTTCACGATTGAAACGGCTTACCCTGATCGGCATCAGCACCGTGTTCAAGTCGATGTAACTGCAAATTGTAATGGACTTGGAGTCTTCGAGCGGCTCCATGAAGCCCTGCACGTCGACCTCCACCGTAACTCTGTAGGAGATATTGAGGCGCTTCAGGGAGAAAGTCGAGGGTAGGTTGTTGGGTAGTTTAATGAAGTACTCGAAGAAGTGGTCGCCGGATTTAATGAGCACTATCTCACGTTCCTCTACAACAGACCGGGAGGGTTAGGCAATGGTCCCAGACGACTTGGAGCAACCTACCACTGTTGTACTTCTTCAGCTTGAGTATCTCGACTTCCTCATGTATATACTCCTCAATAATCGGGTCGCCTCGATTCTCGTGCGCTATACGCAGGACACCTTCCCCGTGGAGGGTAACCGTTATATCTACAAACAGACCGCTTGCGTTCCTTTTCAAAGTGATAGACCTTACCTTTCACCCTCTTTCCCGTTTTGAAGCTCAGCTCCACCGTACCGGACAGCGTCTCTCCCGGAAACAGCTCGCGTTTGTCGACGTTTATTACGCATTTCTCAGTCATCGCTCGCTACATCTGCAACAGAAAGTGAAATATCACCGATTGTGTTCACGCCGTGTCCTGTACTATACTGTCAAAACAACGAACAGGTGCTTTCGTATTGTATCCAAAATTAAAAATCGGGCACATATGCGCAACGAGATTAATCTGTGGTCGGCTGCCAAAACCCATTTGTCTTCTGTGGGAGTGAATTCTTTTCTCTTAATTTTTTTTGTGAATATACGCGGTGATATTGTGGTATTGTTGGAAGCGCGCTTAAATAACACGAATTTTAAGGTTCGTACCAGATTTTTATCATAATGAACGTTATCGCTGGAAAATCCGACGTTCTCTCTCTTTCTTTCGTAATTTTCAACGTAGATTCTCACCATTCCGACACCACCTGATTTGACCAGGAGCAAGGTTTGCCTTATTAGCTCCTGGTGGCGCCCGAGATTACCATACCGTTCCGCCGACTACTGCAGTTGGCACGGTTTGTAATAAAATTAATGCATACATCGATAATTGTCGTTTCATTATTTCTTCGCTTTAATTAATGTTACCGTTTGTCGCATTTTTTCCAGAGCCCTCTAGCGCTGTCTGAAAGTGTTCTAAAAGCTTTCCAAAACATTACAAGTACTTTAGGGCTCTCTTGAGAGGTTTTATAGGTCCTTGTAAGATAAATGACAGGTCGCTTTCAAAACAGCCTAGGGGGATAATATAGTGACATCGATTTTCTAATGGCGTTATTTATCATTTATCATTTATCATTTATCATTTATCATTTATCATTTATCATTTATCATTTATCATTTATCATTTATCATTTATCATTTATCATTTATCATTTATCATTTATCATTTGTCATTTGTCATTTGATATTTGTCATTTATCCTTTATCACTTATCACTTATCATTTATTATCATCATCATTTATCATTTATCATTTATCAATTTATCATTTATCATTTATCATCATTTATCATTTATCATTTAATCATTTATCATTTATCAATTTTTTCATTTATGCATTTATCATTTATCATTTATCATTTATCATTTATCATTTATCATTTATCATTTATCATTTATCATTTAATCTTTATCATTTATCATTTATATCATTTATCATTTATCATTATCATTTTCATCATTATCATTTATCATTTATCATTTATCATTTATCATTTATCATTTATCATTTATCATTTATCATTTATCATTTATCATTTATCATTTATCATTTATCATTTTATCATTTATCATTTATCATTTATCATTTATCTCATTTATCATTTAATCATTTAAATTTATCATTTATCATTTATCATTTATCATTTATCATTTATCATTTATCATTTTCATTTAATCATTTATCATTTTATCATTTATCTTTATCATTTATATTTATCATTTATCATTATATCATTTATCATTTATCATTTATCATTTATCATTTATCATTTATCATTTCATCATTTATCATTTATCATTTATCATTTATCATTTATCATTTATCATTTATCATTTATCATTTATCATTTATCATTTATCATTTATCATTTATCATTTATCATTTATCATCATTTCATTTCATTTATCCTCATTTATCATTTATCATTTATCATCATTTATCATTTATCATTTATCATTTATCATTTATCATTATATCATTTATCATTTATCATTTATCATTTATCATTTATATTTATCATTTATCATTTATCATTTATCATTTATCATTTATCATTATCATTTATCATTTATCATTTATCATTTATCATTTATCATTTATCATTTATCATTTATCATTTATCATTTATCATTTATCATTTATCATTTATCATTTATCATTTTATCATTTATCATCTTTATCATTTATCATTTATCATTTATCATTTATCATTTATCATTTATCATTTATCATTTATCATTTATCATTTATCATTTATCATTTATCATTTATCATCTTTATCATTTATCATTTATCATTTATCATTTATCATTTATCATTTAATCATTTATCATTTATCATTTACATTTATCATTTATCATTTATCATTTATCATTTATCACATCATTTATCATTTATCATTAATCCATTTATCATTTATGCAATTTATATTTATCAATTTATCATTTATCATTTATCATTTATCAAATTTTATTTATCATTTATCATTTATCATTTATCATTTATCATTTATCATTTATCATTTATCATTTATCATTTTATCATTTATCATTTATCATTTTCATTTATCATTTGTCATTTGTATTTGATATTGTCATTTATCCTTTATCACTTATCACTTATCACATCACTTATCACTCATCATATCACGAAGTACGAATTGTTTTGGATTCTACGCACCAAAATTAATAAGAAAAGTGTTTTCCCGAGAAATTTTGGTGCAGTCGATTTTTGGTAAAAAAGGAAGGTTATACACTGCCTTTTTTTGAGCCCCGAAAAAAAAATTGTCTCAGATCGACACGGAAAAAAATTTTCTTATAGAATGTGGCCTGTAGAATCCATAATTTCAAACAGTTCCAAGATTGGGCTACTAGTTCAAAAGTTACAGCCCTTTGAAATTTATTTCGAAATTGGTTTCTAGTCTATAACTTTTGATTGAGAAGTCTGATCGAAAAAGTACGAATTGTTTTGAATTCTACGCACCAAAATTAATAAGAAAAAGTGTTTTCCCGAGAAATTTTGGTGCAGTCGATTTTTGGTAAAAAGGAAGGTTATACACTGCCTTTTTTTGAGCCCCGAAAAAAAATTGTCTCAGATCGACCCGGAAAAAAAATTTTCTTATAGAATGTGGCCTGTAGAATCCATAATTTCAAACAGTTCCAAAATTGGGCTACTAGTTCAAAAGTTACAGCCCTTTGAATTTTCTTTCGAAATTGGTTTCTAGTCTATAACTTTTTATTGAGAAGTCTGATCGAATTTATCATTTACCATTTATTATTTATTATTTAGTAATTGTATAATAGTTCGGTTGATTTTCGTGGTGATTTTCTGGAATTTACGTTCTTCAGTGTAAAGTAAACTCCACGGCACAATAGTAGTCTGGTTAGTGCCTTTGACTTGCTCGGCATATGCTGGATTGGTGATTGTTTGGCGTCATGTGTCCAGTGAAAAGAAATTCATTACCGAGCGAGCCGCAGGCGGGTACGGCACAAGACATCCCCGTCTCTTTAAAATAAAGCTCAACAGCACAATAGTGCCCTGATTTGTGCTGTGCTGTCGTCTTACTCGTCATAGATTTGCCTTTTTTTACTTGATATACGCCCTACCAAAAAACTGCGGGCGAATTCGGCACAAAATACGCCCTGAAGTTTAAAGTGAAACTCGACGGCACTATAATCGTCTGGTTTGTGCCCAACTCGCTTTCGGCTCTATTGCCATGGATTATTTTGATGCTTCTTTAGCTTCATGCACCTCCCACTTAGATGAAATGGCATTGCCGGGCGAGGCGCAGGGGACTTCGGCACAAAGTATCCCCCTCTCTATAAAATCAAGCCCAACAGCACAATGGTACCCTGATTTGTGCCGCGTTGTCGTCCCGCTCGCCATAGATTGATTTGGTAGGTACTTATTCAACTTGATATGCCCCTACCAAGAAACAGCAGGCGAGTTCGGCACAATATCCATCCTTCGGCTGATAATGAAGGTCTACGGCACAATAATAGTGTGATTTGTGCCGAACTGGCCTTCGGTTTGCTCGGCATAGCTCTTAGTGTTTATTTAGCGTCGGGTAGCTCCTACTTAAAAGAAATGTCATTGCCTGAAGCCAACCTATGCCGATCGAACCACAGGCGAGATGAGCACAAATGGGCCCCTTTATTTAAAATGAAACTTGAAGGCACAATTGTGCTTTTATTTGTGCCGAACTTGCTTTCAGTATTTGTCAGGCGGGCCGCAAGCGAGTTCGTCACAAAATAGCATCTTTGACATGATTTGTGCCGTTGGTTTTCATTTATTTAATTTGATCTACCTTCCACCAAAAGGAGACGTTATTGCCTCAGAACAGAAACGAGTTCTGTACAATGTACTGTTGCAGGTGGTCGCTTTAGGCTTAGAAAGATTTGGTTTCCAATTTCAAAATTTGCCAGTGTAGGCATTTTTATACGTGTACCGCTCCATAGTAAAAGAGAACAAAACGACATGTGCGAGAGAATGAAGCTCTTTCAGATAAAACTAAAAGAGCCGTTACGGCATTGAGACTCGGTTCGGAAAAATTGGGTGGGAGAGAAGGATTCTTTGCTGAACTTTCAAGTTTCGAGTTCGACTTTATGTAAGTTGAGCGCGGCATTCTAGATCGTGTAACATTTATTTTCAACTAAAAATTTCAAGACGAATTCGTATAAAGCGAAAGTTGAGGATAAAAAAAACACTGTGTCCTAAATTCAACGTATGTGACGTGAAATTCTCTGCGAGTTGCCATTACAAGTAAAACGAGCGAGCATTTGCGTTTTGTTGGGTTATTGGTTCAGGGGGATTGCGTTTAGATAAATTTTACTACGAGAGCGTTGTGGTCCAGGGTGCGCAACGTTCATTGCGTTTACACATAATATACAATACATAAAAAAGCAAGTTTATTTTCTCAATATTTTGTTTCCAATTGGTTTCCAAGAGCCTTCAAGAACATTCATAGGCCTTTTACAAACTCAAGTTTCTTTAAAGGTTTTTGAACCTTGCGGTTTTTTAAGGTTTCTCTTCTTTTTAAGGCTATGCGGATCTTTAAAAGCCTTCATAAAGAAACAGAGGGAAGTTCGGTGGAACACAACAAAATCAGTTTATCGAAAATAATAGGTTAAGCCCGTCCTTTGGATGCGGAAAACATCTATATTTATGCCAACGAAAATAACAATAGCAATATTAGGTCGTAGACTTTCGATTCTTAGGTAAACAATCGTCTCTGCCAAGTGTTTGCGTTTTTACCTACTTTCCGCAGACCCATAAATTTTCGCGAAAATCCCAAAAAGTGATTGCTCGCTTACGTAAACCGGCGGCGGCAGGAAACTAAAT